GTGCAAGCTCCCCCTGTATGAGAATTTCAGGTACATAATAGAAGGAATGTCGTTGATACACACAATTTGAGTAGTAAATGAGTCAGTGGTCCCAAAAAACCTTATCGTCCTCACATAATCTCCCATCGCATGAAACTTATAAGTATTCAGATTGAACTTCTTTACCTTGGGCCCCGTGGATTCTGGGGAGACATTGTGGGTTTCAGGACACTGATCAAACCTTCTTTGACGAGCCGCTCTCTCTTTTGGTAACTCCAGAGTGTTGAAGGCAGCACATGTGTCGGTCCAAAACTTTCACAACTGCTGGGAGAGGTTTTGAATGATTCTTCCAGAAAAACCAAGGTAGAATCTGAATGCAACCTGAGTTTAGCAAGTGCATGCCATTCTGAAAACCGATATAGCAGAGACTGTACGGTTGCATCATGGTTGGGAGGGAAAAGCCCTTCAAAAATTGGAATAGCACACTGGAGGGAATGTCAGTGAGCCTATGCATAAACTTAAACAATGAAAACTAACCTGTAGGATATCTTCGAAGTCACGGGCTGCCAATTTCTTCATCTCGGAAGTATTGTTCGCAAATTTGTGAATCACTGCCGCTACCAAATGTCGGGACTTGGCGAAATCTGACACGAGATCGAGAAATTGAAAACTCATTAGTGCAATGATAATCTATTTGAACCCCACATACCTCTCGTCAGAGGGTCGCGACAAGCTGAATGCCCCCAGGGAGGGCATAAAGGAGCCTCAGTAGGTGTGTAAAGAGCGCCTTCCAAGTACCTAGTTCGCACTCATGCATCAGGTCGACGACAAGCATCCGAAATGGATCGAGGCCCAGAGGTCCCAGCTTCTCAGACGAATTGATTCTGCAATGACGAGTTTGAGCGGATCACATCTAATAAGGTTGGACTTACCAGAACAGGAACCCACGAGCCTTCTCCGAGAGTATTGTCGACCTTTGCACCATCGACAGTATTTCCAAATCCATAGATGAACTCGTGAGCCTTGGCAACCTTAGTTGTAACATAAACTCGAAGGTTACTTACGCGGCATTTCATGTCCTTTGCGAGTCCGAGGTAACCAAACAAGCCTTTCGGTGTGAGACAGTGAGGGCATGGGCATGAGCCCATGTCTTTGATGGTCGCAATTAGAGCCCTAGAAATGTGTGATCCATCCGACATTTTTGACAATCACAATGGAAAATGCACTTCTCCGGGTAGTCAGCTGAATATGTGAAGATTCAAGGATATACTCTCTGCATGACTCCATCGGCACATTTCACAACAAATCCGTATTGATACACATAAAGAAATTCTGTGTCCAACAAGATTTCCCAGCACGCATGAAATAATTCCCTTCGGCAGTGTGTCTGAAGGGAGGCCAAGCCGGTTTTTGAAATTCTAGGCAGGCTAGTTAGAATATCTTTAATATTATCAGGAAGCTGACGAAGATAGTTGATGTTAGCGGTGTTTGTTGAATATACAATCAGGTGGGCTCATGGAAGGTAAAAATCCTACAAGGTGACATGACCCTGATGTAGGCGACGAATGTAAGTATTTCGTGAGATTCCCGAAGTATGCATAAAGCGGCCAAGCCTTGGCAGTTCTGAAGTTCGCCAGGTGAGTAGCATCGGAAAACAACATCAAACCTGCGATTACATGTTCCAATGAACACCCGGACTTCTTTGGCAGTTTTTGGAGATTGTCTTGAGCTTCCAGCCAAGCATCCAAGGTATAAAGCTCGTCAGTATATTTCGCTCTTGATGATCATCTAGAGGATCCTTCCAAAGACGTTTAAAGGGCAAAAGATGAAATGCCCATGCTTGAGCATCTGTGAATGCGGCACGTATAACTTCTACCAGAGGGCAATAATGGAACCCAGGAATACTGTAAGGCCTAGAGAGATCCTCCTTTGACTTCGTTGGAATGTTGATCGTGATGCTAGTCTCAATCCAGTCATCTGGAAAGGTGATTTTCTTCCCACTTTCATCCTTATCCAACTCTCGCAAACTCTGTCTCACTGAAAACCATTGAATGTGTTTGCGGTCAAAATCTTCTGCGAGCATTACATCTTTCACAAGGGCTGCGACTTTCAGTTTCTGATATCCGACTAGTGCCAGAATTCATCCAGGACATGAGGCGATAAATTGTTATATTAGGAAAGGGGTATGGTGGAGCAAAGACCCTTGGCAGAGAATCAGTTTCTTGAGGGGCAGTTGGACATGTTCTTCCAAGCAATGAGGATGGAACAAATCCATCTGGCTCGAAGGAGGGATGATGAGGGTATAGTCGACTGAGGCCAAACGAGTTGAAAGGGGTTTGAAGTGTGTCTCTGAGCGTTAGAAGAACGTGTCGGAATCTAGATTGGGCAGGGAAGGTGGCCAGATTTTGAGTTGACAGACTCTGACCTGACTCAGAGTAATTGATATCTTCCTCTGAGTGCGCAATGTCGTCGAAAGACCTTGGAATTCGTCTCATAGGGCGTGCCGGTTCCTCTGAATGAGTCGAGAGATCAGAAATGGAATGCAAATGACTGCTATTCAAAAGAGACGGACCAAAGCCAGATCTATCTTCCATTTCAACATCAACATCATTTTGTGGAATTTCTTGGTCGAGGGAGTGTTGCAAGTCGGCAAGATTGGAAGTATTGAGGACACGGGCGGTAGACCCATGCCTTTGTCTCGTTGCATGCGATCAGCGTGGGGCAATTGGTCTCGGATGGCACATTACCTTATGTTCAAGTTTACATGAGTTACTACTACTACCAACAATAACAGTTGTAACTTACGTGTGAAGTGTTCACAGACAGGTTGCCACTGCGGTGATGAGGCTGCAAATTTGCAAGCAATGCGGCATCTTTGATGCGTTCCTGTCTCTTCTGAGTTGCATGAACGCTAGACTTCTTATATAAAAGACAGGATGCATGATGCCTGTTGAGTCCATGAGTGTCTGTTGCCCTCTCCCAAGAGCAACCTGATGCACCACACAACACCATTAACAAAAACAAAGCAGAGAAAAGGGCAATAATCCAACTTGAACTTCGACTCAGATATCCTGCGATACACATTTGTGGCACTTTGGAGGTGCTGACAAAATGCAGCTCCTCCCCAGTTGAACTGGCTTGGAGGCGGTCACAGTGGCCGTCGAGTCAAGACTCTGAGTCTTTCAGATTTCGTGTGGCAGCTTTGAACGTTTATACAAGCCTGTTGGACTCCAACTCTGATGTCAGCAAGTCACGGTTGACTAGCAATAAGGTTAGGCCCGGGTTGCAAAGCTGACTCGGACTTGGAGTTGTTCGATTTGAATACAATGATCAGATACTCACATCTACGCTCGTACCATGACAGGTTCAGGTGCCGTATTTGTGACTTAATTTGAGCGATGACTTCAGAACACTTCAAACAGCGGTAACTCGTGGTAACTTGTAGTAAGTGCCAAATTGTCAGTGTCAATTTGCCATCTGATTCCGAGTCAATTTGCCTTGCGGTAAGTGACGACTTTGAGTCTGCTCTCAGATTTTGGAAGTTCACCTTCTGCAATGATGCGTCAGGTTCATTGAATTCGAATTCGAGTTGCTCTGACTGGCAGAGCTGAAAAAGACTCGAAGGTCAGTGACAGAACTAGTAGTAGCCTTAGTAATTAGCAATCAAAATTTGCGGCAAGACATTTCTTCCCGATTGGGCCAGTTATTGTAGTTATCAACACTTACAGCAGTTATCCTGAACTTTATTGCATCTTTTGCGTCATTCTGTCCTTTGCACATTGAAATATTAACGCTTAATATTTAATAATCTCTGTACCAACGTGTTGGCACCATGTTGAACGATCAGCAATTCGGGTGTTGCTGATTCGGAAAATGTATAAGTCAACTTTGAGGGGAAAGTGGAACGCAGACTGAGTTCAGAGTCACTGATCAGACCAAATTTACAACGAGTAATTCTCAATTGCCATTGAAGTGCAGCGATTGGTCTTCCCTCAGTATTCCTCGGTTTGTCTACTTAACAATAGGTTGTTCACAGCACATCCACTCATATCTTGCACTCCAGACGACTTGACAAACCCTCCTCGACTCCCACCTTGGTTGAGCCTAGTAGCTCTCCCACTTTGTTGAACCCAGGGACTACTGCTACCACTGTTGCTAGTGCATTTGCCCCTCAAGTTGAAGAGGGTAGCTCAGCAGCAACCATGCGAAGAAATATAGTGTGCCTTCAAGTTATTTCAAGCCGGCAACCATGATGAGGATTGCGACATACCGACAAAGAGATTCAAGATTTTACAAACAACTGTGAGTACTTCTCATAATCTAGATCCCAATCTCAATTCTAAAATTCATTTCAAAGTGGAACTACACTCATGAGTCCAATTCTGATAGTTCAAACTACATCAACCAGCATATGCTCGAGCTTTCCCAGATCACTCACCAAGCCATTGCCGCAAGAATGCGATACCAATGTATTCGCTCTCATGAACTAGATCTGATAAAGTCCATTCTTGAAGACGAAACACAGGTGTCGCAAAAGCATATGAATAGCATTGATTTGCAAATCGGCTCCCTTAGAAACATGCTTCATGACGGAGGAGTGACAGTGATAGGAAACAAGGGATGTAGGTCTGACCGTAGCGGCCATAACCAGGCTTGGTGTGAAAGCTCTGATTCATCTGACAGTTTGATTGATGACAGTCGCTCAGCCTGTGAGTCAGGCTTTGCGTCCGAGTTAGAGGAATAATGTGATCATCGATCCAGTGTATTGTGTTTTGCCCTTATGATCTTTTCATAACATATTTGCGGTACCCCAGGCCACTATTACATATGTCTATATGTAGTTTTGTACTGACAGTAGCTCATTCAATTATTTGTTTCACAAGACGTTGGAACAACATCCTGATCAGAGCGCCGCGTTTACTGCGGTGGGGCTTGTGTAAACTCTTCCCCCCAGCGACATGAAGTCACAAATATTTTTCAAACGCACACCTCCTATAGCAGAAGTTTGAAGGTTGCTGACAGTGAACGAGGAAAGGTTTAAGACCTCTTTCGAATCTGGGCTTCACTAGCATTCACCTAGTTATATTAATTTGCGAGTTCAATCAGGTTGGTGACCTAACCTGATATTAGCCTAAGGTTCTAGTCACAGTAGAGCAGGAACAACTCGAAGGTTGAACGGGAAAAAGAATCAAAGGTGAGTAATGGGTGTGTCTGCCAAGATGAAAATCTGACCAGACTGTGTTGGTGTGAGCTCCTGGATGGTATTACTCATAGTGACCGCGATGAACATGGGGCAGGCAGAACCAAGAGAAGTGATGAGTTGAGATGAAAATTTTATCAGGAGGTGCCTCGAGAGCGTCACGGTATTGTTGAGAGGGAGGGTCGCACTGATACAACGCGCATTTGCCCCTACAATCTTAAGTCACAAGAATTGCAATATGAGGTGGTTGATAGCGGGGTGTACTAGTATATCTCCCTCAGTGCTAGTCCGAGTCAGACTCAGCCAGGATTCGGAGGTTTTGGGAGGCCAAAATGGGAGAATTTCTGCAAACCACCATGACGAGCATAGGAAGCAGAATCATGAAGCGGGGAAGGCCTCGTGCAGCTTTAATGTCAATCCACGATGCAATCTAGATGAAAAAGAGAATAACTGTTAAACTAGTATCATAGTGAACTTAGGAATTGACCATCCATACAGTGATCACCAAGCGGCGTCTTCATAGTACCTATGTGGTATCAAGATGCATGAAGAAGGGTGTGCAAATAGTACGCTAGTTTGTCTAAGACAGTGACTTGTTCAATGAAGGTTTGCTATTTTTTGGGGGGGACAAAGTCCACACTACTAGGCCCGGCAAGTTTTGATGATGGGCCTGAGCGCGGACTCGGATAAGTCGGACCCAATGATTGTGCACGATTATGTAATGTGGACACATATTGAGGAACCTCATCTCTCACAGTATTGCAGCAGCCAGCTGCATCATCGCCCTTCGCTATTATGCATCACACAAATCCAATCCCATAATCAATTGAAGCTTGAAGCTTAAAGCAGCAAAGTAAAATCATCACTTAAACATGAGTTAGACAGTGGGAGGTGAATTGGTTGTGTCCCTTTCTTGGATCATGAGTAGAGTCTAACTAGTATGGATTTCAAAGGTGAGTATATCATAATACACATGCACCCTAGCTTGATGGAATCAGGGTGTCTGGTCCGGATTTTCACCAAGTCTGCTATGTCCCTCTGAATCCAGTCTGACTCGGAGAAAGCTGCCACATCTGAGTTTCCGTCCATTCATTTGTGCATGGAAACCAGTTGTAGTAAGTGTTGCCAATTGGTTTCCTCATTCATTCTGTCCATGTAATTCTTAGACCATTCCTTGGGAAAGGTGTCCCCAGCGCCCTCTGCCACATATGTAAAAGGTCCGAGTCTGTCTTGTTTTCAGCTGATCTGCTTCATTTTCCAGCGCGAAAAGAGACTCTGAGTTCTAGAGAGCGAGATGGGTCATTGTCTTCCGATCCTCTTGCTGCGCAACAATTTACTGCTGCATCAATCCCTCTTCTTTTATCAACATGGCATGGACTATGGATACCTTTTTCAATCAAATGCTTCAAGTTGTATGGAACAATACGAAATGCGTATCCAATGTTGTACCCGAGTATAAACGAGGACTCACTGTTTGAAGCAGATATAAATATCTGGCCGTGGCTTGCCTGAGTATGTCTGGATTGTGTTGACAACGTCAATTGCTACACGTCATTATCACTAGCATTCTTACTAAGGATTATCAGACAGACTCAAACTCAAAGCCCTGGGGGATTTGGTTGACATCATTGACACGCACCAATGCCCCGAGTCCGAGTCCGAGTCACAAGTTGCAACTCATAATGCTACTAGTCATGGTACTAAGTGGCGAACTGCATCGACTCAGACTTACAAGAATTCCCACCTTGATTCGGAAAAATACCTCAGGCTTGGCGGCAACACTACATCGTCTTGATGTCACATTTAAAATGGAGATAGAGACGTTGCCGTTGGACCAGTTCTGACACGACTTTTCAGGAAGCAAGCAGCGTTCTGGGGCACAAAGGTTGAAATATAGGAGTCCGAGTCATGGGGGCACCAGCTTCGAAAAACTTACCCAATGGGCTAGACTTGCTTGTTGTCGTCTAAGCTTTCAAAAATATTTTTTAGAGTTTATAGACTCCATCCAAAGCCCCTTGATGAATTGTTCATTCGAGTTGATTAGTGATCATGCACCACAACACCTAAGAGCCTTTAATTAGTAAAGTGATGAATTCGAACCAAGAGTTCCCCACATTTTTAAAAGACCCAAATTACATGTAGACCGGATCTTATCCACAGATTCAGCCGCACAGCCATATGAAGGCCAGGTCTGGGTCTTGGGAATACATGTCTTATCGAGGGCAAACAGCCTGAATCGAACAACTTTTTTGACTTTGTGGCTTTTATGTCCTTTCAGCTCTTCAACTTCTCAAGTTTTCCGGCTTTGTCTACTTTTCCGACCTTTCTGACTTTTTCGACTTCTCAACTTGCACTGACTTTTGCATATCTTGCTTCACAAGGCTCGCGTAGTGTCATCGTAAGTAGAATCTGGTACCTGCTAGAATCTAGTGTCGTACTGCTTATGCCAATTCATTCTGTCAGGAACAGATTTCGTCATCGGACAACTCCAATCATTTCTGCCCAGTCACGTCATGGTCGCCTGCAGTGCTGTCCAATTTTATCCACCTTCATCGTGACTAACCTCAAGCATAATCTCGTCATGATCATGATGGAGGCCTTCCATATGACAGCCGCTTTAAACAATATGATGAAGTCGAAGAGCGGCCATGAGTCATGGAGCGTTCTCCATTGAGTCAGTGAGTCAAACTATCATACTACTGGTGTACGTCCAACGACTCTTGATTGGGATATTATCATTGAATAGCAGACACTCCAATAGAATCTATTCATTCGATGCAATTTATCTGACCAAAGTCGATGATCACCGTCGACGGCGCCTCCGATTTAACCAGTTCTATCAGATGGTATCGTGACTCCTGAAAACCTTCAATTTGAACTTTAGCACATGCAGCGTTGGAGGGTTACCGTGACCGTAACACTATCGTACTCAGGATTTTGTTATATTTTACCCTTTGTCGACTATTGACTATCTAACTCACCTGAGTCCTAGCTTTCCCTCTTCCCACTTGAAGCATCCAAGTCATGACCACTCCGTCTCAGGCTGTACTCGGGAATTTCCAAACTATACCATACAACCCCAAAAATCCCAGGCGGTGTGTGACGCCTTCAGAACGTCAATCGCACCGCTTGCAGCCATACGGTCGCGCTTGCAGCATGAGCGAGGTGACACTGTACTCAGACTCCTCAATGGCATCAGGAAGCTTTGTATCATTGGATACCGGCAAGAAAAAGGCAAAAAAGCTGGCTCTGAATGATCTGCTCCCAAATGAGCGTTCAGCCGTGAAATGGGCGTGTAAGCGCCTGTTGATGGATTTCTTAACCATGCTTGTGTGGCCGCAAAACGAACCAGATGAAGATAAGAGCGCCTATGTTAATGAGATAGTCGGTGAAGCCAATGCGTTATTTGGGACCAGTATGTGTCAAGAACACCACTGTCGCAGTACCAACTACTCATCATATACCAGATCTAGTGTTGACAAAGGATCTCATCTGTCTGATCAATCACGCCATCACACAATTCCGTTCCGGTCTTATAGATCTTGTTGATCAGTTTGCAAGCGAGTTTATGCTCGAACCCCCGGGTACGATGTCCAAAGATCAACCCCTAGCCTACGTGGCGAATCGCAGAATAGCGCTCCTCGATTCGTCCGAGGAGAATCGATGGCGATATTTTTTACATGGTAAGGTGTTCAACAAGGACTCCAACTGTGACAAGTTGCTCGTGTTTAGGAACGAGACTTTGGAAAAAATCCATTTGCTTCATTTTTACGCAAGCGCTTATACGCCACTTCGCGATGAGAAATTCCTGATGGAGCTCAACACAACAACACCCCATATGTTCTCACATGTTGCAGTTGGAGTGAGTCACAGATACTCTCGTGTTCATCGTATTAACTATTTTTTCATGGTTTTTAGGCGGAGTGCGGTATCGATAAGGTTGTAGAAGAAGCTTTCGGGAGAAATGTGCGGTTCCTCGGTGAACGATATGCCCCACAACAACTCTCCTACTTCAACGCCGTCGAGCATGCCTTACAGCTTCCAATCCACAAGGAGACTTTACTGGCACAGTTCATAGACCTTCATAACAGAGGCCTGTAAGTAATCTCTGCTACGTTGATTCAGAATATGACGACCACGCTCATAATTTCATAGTCAGGTCTTGAAAGCCAAATCGGGCTTGTTGCCTCTGGAAAGGCTTATTTACGTGCCTGACACAATGGAGCAATTATTTAGACCGCATCAAGCACTGGCAGGTGCTACTAGTAGTGATGGTAGCGTGCTGTACCCACAATCATCGTCTGTCAGCGCAGTGCCACAGATGCCTGTCCAGGAGGGGCTGCTGTACCTGCAGTACATGACAGGTGACCTCTCAACTGGATCTTCCATGGTTGTACGTTCTCAGGCTAATGCAGGTCCTGTCTGCCATGACACCGAATGCTACGAGCCAGAGAATCAAGGTACTGCCGACAACACGTTGTGGCCTGCGGGATATTCATTTTTTTGAGCGGAGTGCATATGGCAACTTGAAGAGGTGAGCATGGTCAGCCTCAAGTCGCACTCCATGAGCTAATTTTAAATACAGGCTGCATTCGTGATTCTGAGTCTGTATACTGCCTTGTACTACTTGTATAGCATGCACCCGGGCCGGGTCCCCGGTTGTCTGCCCCATTATTTCCATTAAGGTCGTTTACGTTTCCTTTCTTTGATGTGCACACCACATGTGTCGTGTTTGGCATTCAACATGCACCCTATACTCCTTGTCTGCTGTGTCCAATCTTCTCGTGATTGGCTGTCTACTTTTCCCGAGCTCCTGTACATGTATACGCTTGTGCTGTGATGTATTTACCTCCAATGATTTTAAATACTCGAGGCGGCCATACCACCGTGACAGACACTGGCATCAGCCTGGATACATACGGATCCCCAACTTGAAAGATCCGCAATCCATCACAGATGGATCTCATGAAGGGACAACTTGAAGATGAACTGACTCGGAAATATTGAACACAACTTGACTCCATCTAGTACTTGATGAACTTGTAGAGCCTGACTCGGAGAGGACATGAAAAGCCTCTCTTCCTGATACTACTAGTACACCAAGCGGACCAGAACCCAAGCCATCCACGTCCTTTGGCATCCAATTTGGCTCGCAATCGTCAGGTGTTTCATGCAAACAACAGTCCACTGGTGATCATACAGATACGTCACACATCAAGGTCAAGCTCCCATTGCTCTCATTGACAGAACACCATGGCCATGCTTTTATCAAAATTCTTGCTAACGCTTTTCAGGCCGCCATTGTGTATCCACTCCTCGCTGATGTTGCTATCTTCTGATACATTCTGTCCTTACTATCTTTTCCTGTCAACATGTGATCTTCTCCGTCTCTGTGCTCGCTCACCTTCAAAATTTTGTGTTCAAATATCAGTCTGACTGTTCTGTCCCCAGCCAAGAATTCTCCTGTCATCCCTCTTCCTTATGAATCAGTTCAACTTGAAGGTGGTCACGGTGTTCCCTTAGCGAATCACTTCTTCGTTTTCAAAACTTCGGCTACCACACCAAGTTGGCTACGTGACGCCAAACCTTTCATCACCTTTCGGTGTCTAGGCATGCCATGGAACTGCGGCTGGGTTGGCTGCCACCTTGACCCTCATTCGGCAAAGTCCCACTATTTAGCGATGTTTCGTCAATACCCATGCCTGCTTGGACTGTTTGAATGACCATTGCACTCAGCAGCACAGCTACATCAGCCTCGGTATTTAAATTCTCCAAACTTAGTACACATCTGCCCTTACCACTATCCTCCTGCTTATTTCTTTTACAAACCTGCAAATAATGACATGTCTCATGAAAAGTGTCTATCCAAGTCTTTTTGCCATCACATTCAAACGTTACGAGACAATTGAAGCCAAATCAAGTATGTACAAAGGCTGCCCGCTGTTTCCCTGTCCGTTTATGGCAATACCATGTTACTTACCATGTTTTTGCACTTTTAGGATGCAGGACACTAGTTTCTGTTGATTATGAACAATCTGTTTAAACACCCCCACTGAGTCAGGAAGCAGTTGACTAGTATATATACTGGGTACTGGTAAGTTCCTTTCTCTCATCTTCTTTCCTCGTTCATTGTCACTGCATTATACCCCCCCTATCAGGATGCGCTGCAAAAGAAAGGTACACCGTCATTTCATGCGTTGAGTTGGCTTCACTCAAACATCTGTCAGGCAAATGAACTACTATCTAGCTCAAGGAAGAGGGATCAGGTGCGTCGTCACTTTATTCCACAGTATCGAAGACCTCATCACCGAAAATGACAGAAGATATGATGACAACGAGGACATGGCTAATTTTGAGTAAGTTTTTTTTGACCTTGGTTTGTCACCAGCGTCCTCACATCGACTTTTTTTATGTAGTCAAGAGCGACTGCAAATAGGGTACAATATCCTAATAAGAACTTTGCCGTGGTTGCGAAAGACATCCTCCGACATGGAGCACGACAAGTACATGCGCATGCTCAAAATGGTGTGTGCTGTGCCGATGCTGATAGTTGACTTTATCATGTCAAGTCTTTGTTTACTAGCTTAGGCAGGGGGCTGATGGAGCTCGAGGCGACAATACATCGAAACAGACTCTTATTGCCGACTGGGTCAATCGTGAACTCAAATCGAATTCCCTGGTGGACCCTGACGACAAACATTCTCGTGGATTCATCAACGATGCGTGTGGCAAGTTACTCTGCCCAGCTGAGCTTGATTGGAACAGCCCAATGTACATAGTGTATCCAGAAACCTCAAGCAATACTAACTGTTCACCAGCACAAAGGCAGGGATTCAGGATCGTTCTGAAGGTTATATCGTGACGGACCTCTCTTTTCCGGCCTTCCTGTATGAAAAGTATACCGCCAATCTGGAGAATTTGGATGCAAATTATCAAGATGGAGAAAGTTACTCCCTGCTCAATTGCATACATCGCCTGTCAAGTAAGTTGTTGTTGTTGTCGTCGTCATCAGTGCTTTCATCCTACAATGACAGGTACGATTTGCGCTATCTTCTGTCACGTCATGGTGGACTGTCGATGGTGACTTCGACTACATACAATTCTGGCAGTCCATCGTGGATTTCTTCAAACAGCCTCCTGGTCGGGAAGCACAGCATAGGGTCAACAGACTCCTTGAGTGGTGGACTAGGTGTGGATGTTATACTGATACTCTCAACAAGCCTCAATTAATGTAATCAACCTGTCCAGGAAAGTTTTCGGTAGGAGCCACCGTGAGGATCTCAGCGACGCGGCTCGGTCCAACATGTCTGTCAATGCTCTCGCAAGGCAGAGGGCACAACTCGATGATGCTGTTTTGATTCAAACTAGAGACATACCATTGTTCGAATCTATTATTATCTACATACGGTTCTTGATGTCGTAGTTTGTTATCAATTTTGTGATTTGATGATACATGCCTGGCATGAAATTGGGGTCCATGATATCATACCACTGACATTCTTGTTAACAAGTATGAATTATTCCAAGCATGATTCTGGCTAAAATTCCACCTGTATATTTTAAATCGGCTGAAAGTATGTGTGTTCCGGCCTTCGTGGCAATCCTCGCACAGAAAGTACGGACTTACAGTGGCTCAAAAAACTGTCCGCATGTTTTGACATTTTTCACTATCTATGATATTGTGTGAGAATGAACAAATTCCTCAAGGACATACTTATACCACATTGTAGTATGGCTTCAGGGCTTTCATTTGAGCCCTACACCGTGGGAATCGGCGGAGATATGGTGGAGATATAAGGCTTATAAAATGATGACTCATGTGGACAGTTTTTTGAGTGTATATTAAAACTATATAAATCATTATTTATGACACCATAAAAATCATGCCACTATTATATAAATTATAAAGTGGTGTCATTATGTTATTTTATGACTATATCTAACTATATAAACCAGAATATCTCATGTATCATAGTCATAATCACCATGAAAGCCATCTCCTCTGCTCAAAGAGATAATATCCTCTCTCTGTCTTATGCTGGCCTCTCTGCTCGCCAAATTTCCTCTAGAACTGGAATATGCAAGTCCACTGTGGCCAAGTTCATCAAAGAAAGCCACCCAGACAAGGAAAACTCTTGTGGAGGACGTCCATCCAAGCTTACCTCTACTGACAAAAGGGCTATTATCCAACATATCACTACAGGAAAGGCTGATAATGCTGTCCAAGCCACCCATTATATCAATTCCACCATCACTACCCCTGTCTCTTCACAAACTGTGAGGAATGTTCTCAAGGCAGCTCATCTCAAGGCAGTAACAAAGAAGAAAAAGCCTCTTCTCTCCATCAAACATAGGCAGAGAAGACTAGCCTTTGCCTTAGCTCATCAACACTGGACTGTAGAGGACTGGAAGCATGTTATATGGTCAGATGAGACCAAAATCAATAGGATTGGGTCAGATGGGAAGGTGTATGTATGGAAAAAGAAGGGAGATGGCCTAACAGACAGAGAGGTTAATGGGACTGTCAAGTTTGGAGGAGGTTCTTTAATGGTATGGGGCTGTATGGGGCTGTATGGGATGGAATGGTGTGGGAATGCTTGCTGAGGTTGAGGGGAAGATGAATGCTGAGCAGTATGTGGACATTTTAAATGACCACTTGCTGCCTAGCTTGGCAGAATCAGGGATTGATGAAGAAGATATCATTTTCCAACAGGATAATGATCCCAAGCACACATCCAGAAGAGCTAGGGAATGGTTTGAAGAACATAACATCAATGTTCTTGACTGGCCAGCACAGTCTCCTGATGTCAATGTCATTGAACATCTCTGGGGAACACTCAAGAAAAAGCTTCAAGCCTATGAAAACCCCCCTAAAGGAGTATGGGAGCTTTGGGAGAGAGTAGCAGTGGAATGGGGGAAGATCACAGCTGAGGATTGCCAGAAATTAATTGAGAGTATGCCTAGAAGGATAGAGGCAGTAATTAAAGCCAAGGGAGGTCATACAAAATACTAGAATACCTGGTTATTACTGTAAAATACTTGAGTCAAAAAACTGTCCGCATGAGTCACCATTTTGTGAGCCTTGTATCTCCACCATATCTCCACCGATTCCCACGGTGTAGGGCTCAAATGAAAGCCCTGAAGCCATACTACAATGTGGTATAAGCATGTTTTTGAGGCATTTGTTTGTTCTCACACAATATTATAGATAGTGAAAAATGCCAAAACATACGGACGGTTTTTTGAGCCACTGTAAGTGCCTGATGCATTGCAAAATCCTGATGCTAACAGCTTGTGACATACAGTCAAAATTGTGCAATATGCACGCGTTAATACTGAGGACAGATGCTGGACATCGTCTTCTCTCACGATACCGCAGGACACTGAACAATAGGGATCTCGACCAATCCATAAAGCACTTCAAACGTGCCTATGATCTCTGCCCCACGGATCATCTCTGCCGCCCTGTAGCACTGTTCAATCTAGCCACCGTGAAGTTTGTTAGTTGCCAAACTAGTGGATCATACCCCGACCTTGACGACCCTATCTCACTCTTCCAAGACACCCTTGATTTGCGTCCCACTGGTCATCCGGACCGGCCCGCCACCCAACTCCATCTTGCTGTGGCTCTGCTATCTCGTTTTGTGAAAGGGCATTGTCAAATAGATGCGGATGCAGCTGAAGAATCACTGAATGCAAACCATGTCGGAATGGAGGGAACAACTACACCCATGCTTCCGTGTTTGCCGGACAAACTATTTCATCGAGCGAACCTTTGTTTGCAGAGAGATGATCCACATGCCTTAGACGAAGTGATATCCCTTCATTACAATGCACTGGAATAATACAGCGCAATGCATGCTCTCCGAGGGCAATTGCTGTGTAATCTGGGTGTTGGGCTGGACATTCACTTCCAGCGTTGAGGCAACATCGAAGACCTCCACAAGGCTATCGCGCTTCACAGAGAAACGCTGGCTTTACGCCCTGTCGGTCACCCAGATAGGTCATCGTCATTAAATAACCTTGCCAATGGACTTTGCACCCGCTTCAAGCACTTATTCGACCCATCCTCGATTTGCTTGCCAGCGATAATGAAGAAGCGGCCACGACAGCTGTCCGAGGGTTATTGCATCTAAATCAGCATCTCCCTCCTGCCATGGCTCATTATACATTCAACCATCTTCTTGATGCTTTCACGGAGTCATCTTCTGCTCATAGCCCCCTCCCAAGGCTGGTGATCTCTCACAGTTTGGAAAAATCAGCAAGGGCCCAGCCTGTCAAAACCCTGAACTCGCTGCTGAGGTGTCCGCAAAGCCCAGTCATTTGTCGAGTCAGAAAACGAATGTTGATCTTGGTCATGCTGGTGCTCCTGAGCCCACTGTACAGCGCAGGAAGCTCCAGCTCCTTCCACGGTCTGTTCTTGCTACTGAAAAAAACACCACGCCTCCTTCAGAAGAAGAACCTGAAAGCGCACCTGCAGCCATGTCAGAAGCAGACGTGAAGAAGAAGATTGATGAAGATGTGAGAGAGTTCTTTGCTGTTTGCAATCTTCAAGAGGCCGAGGTTTACTTCACCAATCTTCCTGACGAGCACCACTTCCGGCTTGTGGGCAAGCTGGTTGCGTCCGCGCTTGAAAATCGCCAGGTCTCATTGTCATTAGCGCCACCATGTTTTGGGGTGTTGCTCTCAAGGTCGCATGCTACAAGAAAGAAGAACCTGTGCACGATGTATCAGCATCGCCGTTCTCGTCAAAAATCAAGACCGGCACCAGCGTGAAGCAGCCATAATGATGTTTGGCTCTATCCTAGACAGTCCTGATCCCCCAGTTCTCACCCCTCTCGTCAACCAGGTGCCTCTCCCATCCCATCAACAACCTCACTCACTTTGACTCCAGCGGGTCCTTCAAATCCTCTTTTAGGCTGTGAGTCATTTCATCTATTGGATTTTTGTTAATGCAAGTACTATTTTATTTCTTTTTATATCATACACATGTGCATCCGGGCATTTACCTCCCAGTACCCATTATATTTCACTGTATTCTCTACAATATTGAATAACAATTTCTAAATGAATGATATTGCAGTGTGACTTGTGATTCAGAGACCGAAGGTCTATCTCTACCTTTAGCATGGAAGCCGCCTCCAATACTATCTCTACTTACAGGTGGTGAATCACCTCATGACTCTTATCTTGTACAGGGACTAGAACTGTCGCATTCAAGTGAATCTATGGTGACTATAAAGGCCTCCAGAAATGCCCAGGCATGTCTATCCCCCCCCACATCCTCTATGTACCTATCAATATGGAAGACCTCATCTGTCTAGGGTGCAGGAAGGTTTTCCCATCCCAAAAGTGCTTGAGTGGTCATGAGGCCCGGTGTGAAGCCGACAAACTTCTAGATGCTGACGTCTACAAGAGTCAGCGTCGCCTCGAGAAGGGGCGTAAGAAGCATAGGAAGACGAGAGCTCAAGATGAGACCAGGTCTCTGGAACGCAGGCAAAGGAACACCTCTCCTGAAGCTGACATGCAGATGGACCTGGGTGACGACCATGTCAATCCTGAGGTGATTTTTTTTAAATGTACTTGATTTGTATTATACTGATACAATAATTGTATAGTATGGTGATGTTGCTGGACCCTCAGGATATGTTCCAGAACCGGAACCTCCAGTGCCTACCCCAGATGCACCTGCTGTTGTCTCTGCCCGTTCTGGGCAGCGAATACGGATGCCTGCACTGTATACTGACTATATCCCAGGCTCGGCAACTCACCTCGCTCACATGCCCCCGACCAATCATCAGGAGCGCGGATGACCCTCAAATCACCCTACCGGTGAGGTCCAGCCTGAGCAACCACAGGCACCAGATAGTCCTGCCTCTGAAGACATCCCTCACCAGCCCCCCCTCGTCCCATACCAAACAGCCCCTGATGAAATGGGACTTTTCCGTATCTATGCTGCACGTCCCACCCTGATACCAAAGGGAGATGCAGGTCTTGATGCAGCTATTGATGCTCCTACCTTGGATTGTAACCTTGATCTTGAGAGTTCTCAGGTTGTCACTGGTCTTCCTTCCCCAGAAATTGGGCCCAAGGACATTTTTTTTTTCTCTCCTTTCAGTAGCCCGACAGCAGGGCTCCTCATGTGCTGGCAGTACTCTGGGGTTAATTCCAAGTCAAATGTGGAGATGAAACACCTCACAAGGAACTTCCTTGATGACAATGAGTACAAGAGAGAGGATGCACAGATTTATTATGATGTATGTGAGAAGAGGCTTATCAGTGCCTATCTCAAGGATTCAACTAACCCGTTCCGTGCCAAAAACGGCTGGCGTGAGTCTACAGTCCAAATCTGCCTGCCGAAGGAGAAAATGAAGTGGGCATCAGAGGATGAAGCACCTGTGCTTGAGATACCTGGTGTCTACCACCACTCACTCACTGATGTCATTACGTCAGTCTTCCAGGATAGTGTCGCCTCCACCTTTCACATGACACCCTTCCAACAGTGGTGGAAGGTGTCAGAGGAATGCACCGTCAATGTCTATTCTGAGGCATACTCATCCCCTGCTTTCTCAGAAGCTTATGAGGAGGTCAACTCTCTTCCTAGGGAACCTGATGACAACTTGAACGTGTTGTTGCCTCCCTCATGATGTGGTCAGACACCACACATCTTACAAACTTTGGTGACAGCTTCACTTTGGCCATTTTACTTGTTATTTGGCAATCAGTCTAAATACACGAGAGGGAAACCAACAGCATCTGCATGCCACCATGTGGTGTACATCCCATCTGTAAGTCCTGTCTTATAACATGTCATCGGATACTTATCTTAACAGATCCCCAGTGACTTTCAAGACACCTATTTCAATATTTTCGCCAATGCATCCTCAACTGACGTCTATACGCATTGTAAGTGTGAGCTCATGCAGGCCATCTGGGCACTTCTCCTCAATGAGAAGTTCATGCATGCCTACAAATATGGTATTGTCATTCGCTGCGGAGATGGGATCACATGGCGCGTATTTCCCAGATTCTTCAGTTACTCCACGGATTACCCTGAAAAGTAGGTTTCGTGATTGACCTTCATCAGATTGCAGTATCTAATTGAGTTCTACTATCAGGATCTTACTTGCATATATAAAATTCCTTGGTGAATGCCCATGTCCACGGTGCCTCATCAAGAAATCTGATATCCCTATGATGGGCACCAAACTCGATATGAAACGCCGTGAGAGGACTCAGCGGACTGACAACAAACGACGACACTGTCGTGTCGAACAAGCGCGAGCATTAATATTCAAGCAGGGAGCTAGTATCAATAGTCAGCGCATCCAGAATATCTTGAATGAAGAGTCACTGGTCCCTACTCGGGTAAGTTATTCCTCACAAGATATTGGATTTTAAGATTGATTTGTTAGTAGAATGCCTTCTCTGAGCACCTCACAGAGTATTTATTCAATTTCTTTGTGTTATTCGTAGTGGACCTACTACACAAGTTCGACCTTGGGGTTTGGAAGGCTATATTTACTCATCTCATGCGCATCCTTTTTGCGGCAGGTGGCGCTGCAGTCCAGGAGTTGAACTGGAGGTATGTACTTAGGGATTGCAGTCATACTTATGCTCATGCGGCTTTTTACAGATATCGAAGAGTACCTACCTTTGGACGGGGAACCATCCGTCGGTTCCACAACAACGCATCAGCAATGAAATGTCTCGCAGCCCAAGACTTTGAAGATCTCCTGCAGGTGAACTTACACTCACCTCATTTATTCATTCATTTAATTCTATTGTAAACTAGTGTGCTCTGCCCGTCTTTGAAGGAATCCTCATCGACAAGGAATCAAAGGACAAGGAAAAGGCTATCCATAACAAGATTATATTAGACCTTCTCTTCGATCTTGCATCATGGCATGCATACGCCAAACTCTGCCTGCATACCGACGACACCCTCGCATTTTTCAATTCTGCAACTGTTGCTCTGGGTCAGTCCGTTCGCAAATTTCAGCGCACTGTGTGCAAACATTATCACACAACGGAACTTCCGCACGAGCACGCTGCCCATGGACAACAGTCAGGCTGCGCTAGCCTCAAAGCAACTAGGACCGTCACATACCGTTGTGGAAATCACAACCTGACTAGATACTTGTAAAAGTACTTAGCCAGTATATGTGGTCGTAGCTCTGCCTAGCTGCTTCACTTGCAAGCAAGAGCGTTCGACCCTAAAGGGGTCTGCTGTCTAGTTAAGTTGAAATTAGTCAGTACCACACAAGGAATAAAACCCGAAGGTGGAAAGGTCGAGTCCAATGATAGGAGATGAAGTCTGACGTAGGGGATACTGAGTCCGACGTTTCGGGGATCAGGGAGGACGGGAAAGCAAGAGAGGAGATGGGAAAAGTGCGGGTTTATAATTGAAACGCAAAGGAATGCTTAGGAAAATGAGCGACTGAGGTTCAGATCATAAGGAGAGGGAATCAGGTATATTCAGCAGTTATTGACCAGTATCAGGGAATTTCTCCCATCTACAAATTGGTACAGTACGATCACCTACGAAGTCCTATTTAACTAGCTACGTGCGAGTCCAGGATACAGTAGGCGAAATTAGTAGCGCATCGTCGGACCCGATTAAGTATGTAAAAACACATGAGGTGCTGCGGTCAGCGGAAATCCTCGTAATAACGCTGCCTATACTATCAATAATAAGAAAATGGACGACTATGCACCTAATGGGGTTAAGCGCGATAGGACTGGACATAGGTAGGATGAGTCCACAGGGTATATGAGTGGGTCCGCCCATCGGGTGGTGTCGGGGATGGCGGGTTGCGTCGGGGATGGCCAGGGGAGAGTCGCACGACATGGGGTATGGTCGGGAGTCGTATACTAGCTTCATACGAGCCTAGCGAAAATATAGTTGTCACACCGTCTCTGGTCCAAAGGTAAAGAGATTGAATTTGAACACCTACAAATACCATGCGCTCGCAGACTACCCTAACACCATCCGAGAAAGAGGTACAACTGATAGCTTTAACTCGCAGTTGGTATGTACTAGTTTAGTTCATTTACTATTGTCTTCTAATGTGCCCCCAGGGAGAGCTTGAACACCACCTGTCAAAGTGCCGGTATCCACGAACACCCAAGAAAAAGGATCAAACAACACACAGTATGACCTCTCAGGATGCAATTGAACGCTTGGTGAAGAAAGTCATTGTCACACATGGAACCATTGTCACGCAGAAGGCCAATCCCAGACCAAAGCGTCTCCGCACTTCCCCCATAGATCATTACTACATCGCCAAGTATTCTCGTGAAAGCTTTGATCTCACAGCTTGGTTAGTAGATTTGGCCAATGATCCAGCAGTTAAGGTATGTCTTTCTGTGTATACGTTTCACTCAAGTTTCATTGCATTTTTTTTAGAACTTCATCCCTCGCCTGAAAGACCATTTGCTTGCCCGCCTCCGTGAGCTTGAATATAATGGTGATGAATACAACTTTTCCGATGAAGACCGCGACTCTGTCCTCATTGGTGAGAACAAGCTATTCCAGCATAGCACATTGTGTATCAACTACACGACATATGATCTACAATGCGAACAAGACACTATCAATCCACGAACTCGTGCTGATGTTATGGTACTTGCCCAAGAGGATGAGCGCACGCATCCTTACTGGTATGCCCGCGTTATCAGGATATTTCATGTCAATGTAGAGTATCGCGAGAACGAGGAGTCACACTATTCACGACCTAGACACATGGATGTCTTATTTGTTCGTTGGTTCCAACGTGATGGATCACCCACTGCCTTTACTGCTAAATGCCTACAGCAGTTGGAATTATTTGACCAAGACAGTCTTGGGGAAGCATTTGGATTCCTGGACCCCGACTCTGTCATCCGCGGGGTACACATTATCCCTGCATTTGCCTACAGTCACACTGACACACTGCTTGGACCGTCCTTTGTCCGAAAAGAGGAAGAACTTGATACGGACTGGCGCTATTACTATGTAAACATGTATGTGCTTATTTTTTTTCTTATTATATTTCTCATTGTAGTACCTACTACAGGTTCATTGATCGCGACATATTCATGAGGTTTCATGGGGGTGGGATTGGTCACAAGGCCATGCGGGAGTGGGATGAGTTCCTGCAAGGTGGTGAAACTGAATCAGGTGCACAGGAAGACTCCGAAATGCGAGGGGATGAGTCGGATTTGGAAGACGAAGGTGATATGGAAGACTTGGAGGAAGAAGGCACTGACGAAGACGAAGAGGGCACTGATGAAGACAAGGAGGGGAGTGACACTGATGTAGGTCAGGACAATGACGATGACCGAGTTTTGGCTGATGAGGGCGAGGAACTTGACGATGACCTGTTTGCAGAGGAGGGCTATGGCGCACTTTAACTTAATAGACTCACTTAATTTTGCCAGTCAATCTGGGTAATACATTGTATATGTCATGTAGATACAATGTACTACATGGTAATCCTATCTTGATAGCACTGCAGATAGGTCCAATGTCATTGCGAGATGTTTTCTATCACGTCCGGTTGTTGCCGAGATGGTCTGACAGTGACATGTCAATTGTTGCGGCACACAACAGTCTAAATCAGGTAATATCTCAGTTCTGCAAATTTTGTGATGAATGAGTACACAATGTCTTCCTCCAACGTCGTGACACGTTGATGCCCATTGCAGTTTCTCTCGTGCATCTGTCATGCCCAGATGGAAGGCAATGAGCACCCATGCATGTATGCCTGTCGAATCTTCTAACTCCTGCATGATAGCGACAGACTCCTTGTGGTTGGGAGAATGGTCGCCGAGATACAGTGACCAATCTGCTTGGTAGAAAAGGACGACTATAGAAGCCAAAAACTCCTGGATAGTCCATCCTCGCATGTTCCAAGCACTGTTTGCGAGTGCGCCAGACTTTGAAGAAGGCGGAACATCTGACATGTAAATGATGGTGAGTGCTGAGTGTCGATACCAGACAAACATTGAGTTGACTGATCGTTGGACCTCAAAATTGTTATTCTGGTCTACACAACATGTGTTGCTCCATGCCCAACGATGCCCTGCATCGCAAGCGACTTTGCAGAACATCTGCAATTTCACAACAGTTCTGACTGGGTCTAATTCATACACGATCTTATCCTGAATATCATGTAGCAGCAGCTCCTCGCTTTCCCATCTATGTGACAACATGACCCAGCTGAAAAACTTCGCGACTACTTTTTTGATAGCATTTGTACAGATGGGGGCATGCATCATCGATAAATACAGCTTTTGTATTCTATACTTTCTATGAAGGTATTAATCTGTGCCTTTCGAGTGCATAAACAACCAGTGGAGGTGTTGAGTACATGAAGTGGAGCGTTTTCGAGTTGAGCATCAATGACTCATCGAATGCATTTCACACATAACCTTCCTACCTGTGCTCCTTTCTGCACATCCCAAATTTGTGGGGTACTGTCACGGTTTCTTGAACCAATGACGACTCGTTGAATATCTTTGAAGAACGTGGTCACCGACGATAGTAAACCTGTGTGCCCTCGTATTATCTGCGTCGGCGCTGGTGGCCCTCTCACAGTAAGATATGCATTCCCTGCTATATGATCAGGCCCTGACATGGACATGTCATGTTGATCTAATCACAGATATACATAGACGGTGTGTAGTACCAAGTTGAGATGCAGTATTTGAGGCACGTGAGAATTCTGATTAGTCATCATGAGTCAGCACTGCCACCCAACACTGCCCCCATCAATAGACTGTTACGTTAATACGTAAACGCCCTAACGAGATTTTAAAGATGCCGATTTCTCTCGTACAGGCTACACAGTCCACATTAATCCGTCGTAGTTGAACGTTGAGACTCTGAGCGTGGACCATGTCTTCCTCTACAAGTAAGACGCCAGCGATCACACCACAGCAGACCATACCGAACGGGTAGCGTCTTGGAGTTAGTCGTTGAGAAGCTGGACTCGGAAAAAGCCGAAACGGTATATTAAAAGTGTAGTTACATTTTGTACGGTACTCTACGCGTTTGCAACGGGTTCCCTAGTTGGATCGTCCTTTGATGGACGTGTCTGAGATTTGCCGAAAATCAATAGGTGATGTACTTGCCTGGCAGTCCTGACTCATCAAAACTTGTGACGGGCGGAGACGAGGATTCGGAGTGGGTACAAATCTGGGATGCGAAGATGGACGCACTTCTCAACGAACTCAAACGCAATCCTGCCAGGGTTCGCCGCTTGGTATAGACATCGGACAGGAAGAAGGTTATCTGTGGTTCATCTGACCTGATTAGAATATTTGAAACTGCTACTTGGCAGCAGATCGCCGTCCTCGAAGGTCACACAAATGATGTCACTGACTCACTGCCATCTCCTTGTCTCGGAACGACCGCCTCCTTGCAAGTGCATCACTCGACTCAACAGCGCGTCTATGGAATCTCAACACCAATCTCCCAATTTGACCACCCCTCCAGCACGAAGATGATTTGCGCTCCGCAGCCCTCTCTCCTGATGGAAAGGTACTATGTAGTCACTGGTTACCAACACAAAAATGCGTACACATGGGACATTCACGCCATCCTCAAAGAAACTGGCCTTGAAGATCCCCTCTCACCTATTTCTAATGTAAATCTTATTGTTTTTCAGTAAAAAATACTCTAATATCCCACTCGCAGGTCCCAACTCAAAGGCCGTTAGTAAACGTACGTGACGTATTCCTTAATCTTTTCAACCACTTTAAGGTTGTCACTCTAGAACAATGCTACGCGACGTCCACCTATCCAAGCCCGTTGAATACCACAATGCCTTTTCGACGGCGTGCAAAATGGTGCCCAGGTGAGTCATCTGCATTTTTGACCAGTTCCTGTTCTTACCTCTGTTCTTTCAGTCCTCTGCAGCACGCGGTACTCATAGTTGTTCTCCTGGACAACACACTCGCAGTACTCGGACATCCCTTCTCGAACGCTGATCGTCGTTCGTCCGCCACTCTCGCCCCGATACCGATGGAGCAATTGAACTCCAGCAACACTCAAGGTGGTCCATCTTCTCTCATCGCGGTCCTCGTATAGTCGAAGTTCCTGTAGTACTAAGACAGACAGGTATGTATCTCTTCACGTGCGTTTCGCATGGCCGTAGTTTAATCATTTCCTTCCAGTCTTTGTATGTTGCTCGGCCGGCACAGAACACACAGCAGCAAGCCCAATCGCACGGCCAGGGATCGTCCACGGCACCGCCTGTTCCAGGTACTAACACTGCTACGCCAGATGCAAGACCTGCGCATTCACGACTCGTACGATTGTTGGCTCATCTCGTGCTCTTTCTCTGCTGCGCATCCCCTCAACACACCGGTGGCAATGCACACCCAACACAGCAGCAATCGCAAGGCCTAGCGCAGACCCATGCCACATTGTCGCAAGCACAGCACCAGCAAGGTCAACCCCAGGCCCAGGTGTCATCATCGCAGACTCAGCCTGCCGCCCCCTCCACGTCTGCGACACCTACTGGTCTTAATGCTCATACTACCGCGCCAGGTGTAGCAAGCGGGTAGCCACGCCCCCTTCCCCTTCCATTGCAGACCCGTTTCGTTCTTTTTCTCTGCTATACATCTCTCCCGCATACAGATTGGCACTAACACTGCAACACTCATTTGAACCTGGTTCTTTTGTAATCATTGTTATCGCTTTGTTCACGCCACGAATGTGTATATTTTATTTCACCACTTCCTCAATCTCGGGTTCGGTTCAATGATATCAATTTTAATCTCGAGCAGTCGCTAGAAACATGTCCTGGTTGCAAATCCCGGTATTGTACATTTTGTGCACCACTTGTCCCATCTGCATCTATTCCTCGGGTACCTGACGGCAAGTATGTACATTCTGCCTTGCACTGGATCGTTCCCTCACCGAACTGCACATGTGCACCTTCTTAACCGTGTTTCCTGCAATGCATGCATGCTGCTCGGCCAATTTTTAACACGCCATGGTAATCTCGCGGCGGTTTTCCTTTATATGATTTTCCCCAGAGGATCTGGTAGGGAGGAGCACTGATCGGTCATAGGCTTGTTCATGCATATTAGAGATTCACAGTATTATTATAAACACAAGCTACTAATAGTCTTCCTGCCTCAGTGATCTTGTCTGATTGAACTTCTGATGAGCAAGATGACTTTGTCCAATGATGAAAGGACTGGTGGCCGAAGTCGAAACCGAAATGTATAAATTGCAACAAAAAAGTCGCGTGACACGACAAGTCGCAACATGTCCGGTTCTCTCGATGCTATAGCAGAGCAACTCGCCGGGGTTAGATTCAGACACAATCTGAGAGTCAAGCTATAGGCATCGACACAAACCTCTCGCGTGCTCAACACACCCCAACCCTAAAACTACAAAATAGATTAAGAAACCCATTTTAATATGATGTTTCTGGGGTGGCTTAGTACCAGTATTTAGCGGACTGTGGCACTCGTCTTACCAGACGTGCCAAAATACGATATATCCAGGTACTGATTTAACCACGTACTTGCCGAAGAGAGTTTGAAGCAATCGACTTGACCTTAACAGCCCAGAGATGCCAGGAGAGCATGGTGAGAAGTGGTCGACCACGACGATTCTCTTGCCATTCTAACTTCTGACGCCAGTCAACAAAAAGTTGTTTCAGAGGGTGTCCGTATGCGCCTCGCTAACACTGTGGGATCAGGTCATATCGGGTTTCAACGCCATCTGGTTGTGTGCAATTTAAATCTGTGGCGTTGATTCTCTCAATAGATGGGTCATTTAACGGAATATTTAGAGTCGAGACAAAGTAAACGTTGATTACATTGCACTAGTCGTCGAGGCTGAAGATAGGCTTCAAGTTTTCGCTTGTGAGCTGGCTAGTCAAGAGCTTTTATATTGGTACTTACAGTTTGCTGTGGGATCCCTCATGGGTCAATCAGCAACATTGGCCTTTGCCGCCGTGGATGCAGCTTTGCGGTTGACCTTTGGTAACAATGGGACAAGTCTAGTTCCCTGTATTTCTGGGCCCTTTTTGCCCAAGTATCTGCAGTTTCAATCAAGATAAGGATAAGTGATCGTTCATCCAGTGGGAAATTCTTGCGACCTTCGAGTTTCGTAACTCCAACAATGGTTTGCTCGAGCCCATGTTGCCATCCCATCAAGATACTCCTTGACTAGAACATCGGTGGAAGGTCCCCATGAAGGCACCTTCGCAAGACCGTCGGCGAACCTTTTCTCAACTTCAGCGTGATAGCTTGCTGCCCAGGCCATCGCACCGCTTCTGTCGAGGCCGATTTCCACCATGACAGTAGTGATCAAGTTATGGTTCTCGTCTCCCATCGCTTGCTCTCTATTGTACGAGATCATGTCCTGTGAATGTTGTTAATAGGCGCAGACCACGTCTTCAATACAACTTTACGTTGTCAATCAACATCAACTCCGTAATGCATTCAGTCAGTTCAGCAACGACGGGATGATAAAACACATCATCGGGCAGATCCATTCCCATTTCATATAATGCGATGGCAGGTTTTGCAGCACATGTATCCCGCCGGAGCTTGATATAATCACCAATACTACGGCAACGAGCCTCGTCGCGGTCAAGAGCCTCAACAACCACTGCACGAAGGTATGCAGTATAGCTATAAACGAAGTGACGTTGAAAAGGCAGGCTTGTGGTCTGAATCGCACGAGCCCAAAATCTATGCAAAAATTCATTAGACTTCAGCATGCATGATCAAACAATTTAAAGATACTTGCTGTCGTACGATTTCACCGAGGATACATTCGCCTTCTGGTCGTGTCTTATGAGGATTGTGTAGGGCATCAATGGCGATGCCCACCATTGCCTCGGTAACTGTTGCATTCTCAATGTCGGTGTACATATCCACAATGCCGAGGACATTAATGAAGTCGCAGCCAATTCGAAGATGTTCTATGTTGTAGGGATAAGAATCAGGGATGTGAGGTTTCGTATGGCCCTAGCTAGGGTCAAACACGAACCTCTTGATGCGTTGGGATAAGCCAATGCTGCTAAACGGGCTACAAGGATAGTGGGTGTCAATCTTCTTTAGGTTGACTAGCAAAAACATTGGTCAAACCAGAATCGTATTTGTTGAACGCTTCTTGCGACTCAGGACTGAGATCCTTGAAATTGCGGAACGAAGCGTCGACTTCAGCTTTCACCGCTTCATAATGAGGACTCATTGCGCGAGGCCAAGGCCAGTTGGCCATGGTATCCGGGAGGTAAATTACTCTTGGACGAGCATCCATGCTTTTCTAAAGATACTTTCCAGCGACAGTGGAAGTAAGGGAAAGGTTGTTGCCGGCCGGTCGAGGGATTCGAATGTAGGATTTGTAGTAGCAATGCTGCAGAACCATAGAGGCGTCACTTGCAGAAATGGATCCTGTTGCAAAATTACGTACGTATAGATGTTTTAGCGAAAAGTGGTCTGATCAGCGAAGTAATCAATGTCCAAGCTTTAACTTTACATGCACTGGCACTTCAAGTTGTGATGCAAAGGACTTGGTGCAACTACGACCAAGCTACGACAGCCTCAGGCTTGAGTCCAACGGATATCAAGCTCATAGTCATGCTAGCCATGAGCCCCACAACGAGAATCGTGCGCGTCGAATCGATTCCTGGGGTGTTCCGATCAGCGTATCAGTGACTGCGCAGGCTATCGAACCTGAGTACTGAGTAGTAAGCAGTGAGTCAACCAGTGATCGATCGCAACCACCACTGTTCACACAGGCCTTAAAGATTGAGATAGTCGATGCGACGGACATGAGAGTCAGAAGAGAGAACAACGAGCGAATCATTGACTGCGTTCGAATGGTGGATTTTCGCCTATATTCGGCCGCATGGTCCTGTGCGCAGTGTCACCTCCTACCGATTGCCTGCCAACCTCCGTCTCTCGCAGAGTCGCAGGCTGAGGATGAATGGCATAACCATTTAGTACTTGCGGTACTCACTGTACGTGCATGCCATCATTGCCATGTTTTTTTTCCGAGATATATTTTTGCGTCTACAGATGGACCGTGCGCAGTATACCTCACCGTCGCTGGGACAGCCCTATATGCGGGAGCAAGCCTCTACCTTCAGTGCCCTGCTCTACAAACCAAAACCCTTTCCGCGGAGCTTGGTGCAGCTGCGCTTTCAATGGTGTGTGCTCAAAGGATTCGCTGGCAACGGAAACTGATGGCCCTGCGGGTGTTACTGGCAAATAAATAACGGCAAGGCCAGATGTAAAGATGAGTTCATGATAGGGAGCTCAGGAGAGCTCAACACTCAATGCCCTTGTGAAGACTGACAAAGGCTCATATGTTGAATAGGAAGAGATCCATTCGGGGTGCATTTGGATGGAGTCTAGGTCGTACGTGACCCGAGACAGATTACGCGTCATCAACACATCGAAGATGTCTTCATGGCAAATGAGCGCAGGAACTGCAACGAAGGGAATTTAACACGTACAATCTTGTTGTCCATGCCACTGGACTTAATCTTCTCCGCATTGGTCATGAGCTGGTCTTGCAACACAATACGAATTGGATCACGGTGAAAATTTATCGGGTTAACTGTTTTATTGAGTGTAATCGGGCGAGCAGAAGCAACGGAACAACGTCTGAAATACAAAGTTCCAGTACGTACGGATGAAGGAGCACAGCGATGAAATCTCTAAGGTCGATGGAGAATGGCCAGTCCTGCTTTCAGGTTACAGGAAGTTGATAAAGGCTTGAATACGTGGAGAAAATCCGGCAGCTGCCGGTACATGGTGCTAGGCGAACAGAAGGTCGACTGTCTCGCCACCATCCCAGGCCGTTCTCAACATCGATTGTGCAGCGTAGCCAAGAAGTTTCGCGGATTCAATACCGAATGTCGATAAGCACCCAGCCAGGGTAGAGGTTTGGCGCCCATGGATATAGATAAGCATTCAGACTTGACATGCGTGATTGCTCACCTATCGGCTTGCCAACCCCGTTAAGGTGACATTGTTGAGATCAGGACGTCCGGTATATGCTGGAACATAGGCCGGAAGAAACTTGCGGAATGGAAAAGTGCAGGATGCTGTCGAATGATAGTTAGAACTATCAATGTAGTCCATATGTATAGGAAGATGCGCATAGCGCCGGTCGCAGACCTGAGCGCTTCATATACACAGCAAGTCCATTGCTGTGAAGCAAACACGAGGACAATGCATGGGACACAGCTTTACAAACGGCATAAACGAACGACTGCCCAACTTCTTTAACTCCCAACCAGACACCCATTGATCTCCGGTAATCGAGCACTGGGCACGTCTGAAAGGTGCTTCCCGTGAGTGATACTATAGGCAGTTAAAGCTGAGGACTTGCTTACCAGCGAATTCAGATACCCACAAGGATCTCTGGCGTATTCTCGAATTTCGCAGCACCTGCATACATTATCCGTCTCGTCATTGAGGATCGAATCCTGCAAGCACACTGTATCGTGAGCCATGGCTTGTATGATTCTGACATGTATCAAATTGAAAGGAGACAGGCTCCTGGACTCACCAAAAATCATTCCCGTTACCGGATAACCTAGCCTGATTCCAAGATCCCAGCAGACTTCTCTCGTATACACGATCTGCCGTAGTTGACCTCCGAGCACAGACCATGACTTCTTCCACCAGTAAGACGCCAGTGATCACGCCACGCAAGACAATGCGAGGTCATACCGGCTGGGTAAACGGTGTTGTGCACTTGCCTGACAGACGACGTATCATCACAGGTTCGGATGACGGGTCACTCCGACTATGGGACCTTGAGAACGGTGCACAGATAGGCGAGGAATGGCGGGACGAGAATAGCACAGTGTGGTCCATGGCATTGTCTCCAAACGGAAAGACAATTGCAAGTGGAAGCGGAGTTGGTGATTACGGTGTGAGGTTGTGGGACGTTGAGGCGAGGAATGTCATTTCAAAATGGACAGAACACACCAGAGTTGTGGGCGTATTGTGTTGGAGTCCAGATGGTGAGCGAGTGGCGAGTGGATCCTGGGATGGGACAGCAAGAATCTGGGATGTTCACAGCAGAAAAACTATCCTGACAATTAAAACCGGGCATAAATGGGTGTATGCGGTGATGTACTCGCCTGACTCATCAAAACTTGCAATATGCGGAGACGATGAGAACGCCGTAAAAATCTGGGATGTAAAGACAGGCGAGCTTCTCAACACACTCAAACACGATGACATAGTTTACAGCTTGGCATGGACATCGGACGGGAAGAAGCTTTTCTCCAGTTCAATAGGCCCGATTAGGATATTCGACACTGCCACTTGGCAGCAGATCGCCATCCTTGAAGGTCACACATACGTTGTCAGATTCATCTCCTTGTCTTGTAACAACCGCCTCCTTGCAAGTGCATCACTCGATAAAACAGCGCGTATATGGAATCTCGACACAAACCTCCCAGTTGGACCACCCCTCAAGCACGAAGATTTTTTACACTCCGCAGCCCTTTCCCCTGATGGAAAGGTGCTAGTCACCGGTTGCTGCGACAAAAATGCGCACATATGGGACGTTCACGCCATCCTCAAAAAAGCTAGCCTTGAAGATCTCCTCTCTATTCCTAATGTAAAACTTGTGGTCCTTCAGTAAAAACTACCCTAATATCCTACTCCCAGGTCCCTACTCAAAAGTCATTGATGAACGTACGTGTTATATTCCTTACTCTTTTCAACCGCTCCAAGGTTGTCACTCTAGAGCAATGCTACGCGACGTCCTCCTATTCAAGCGCGGCGAATACCACAAGACTTTTTCGACGGCGTGCAAAATGGTGCCCAGGTGAGTTGTCTGCATTTTTGACCCGTTCTTGTTCTTACCTCTGTACTTTGAGTCTTCTGCCGCACGCGGTACCCATCCTCGTTCTCCTGCACAACACCCTCGCAATACTCACACACCCCTTCTCGAACGCTTTTCATCGCTCTTTCGTCACTCTCGCCCCGATACCGATGAAGCAATTGCACTCCAGCAACGCCCAAGGCGGTCCATCTTCTCTCGCGGTCCTCCTTTTGTCGAAGTCTCTGCAGTGCAGGACAAAAAAGTATGTTGTTCTTGCCACACTTTTCTAATTGCCGTGGTTCAACGATTTGCTGTCAGTCACTGTTTGTTGCTCGCCGGCCCAAACGTGACAAGGCGAAACGGCCACAGCAACAATCGCACAGCCAAGCCAAGGTGTGATCATCACAAATCAGTCCTTCAATGCCTCGACCTCCGGCACACCTGCTCCAGCTACTACCACACCACGTGCAAAACCTGCGCACTCACGACTCGTACGATTGTTGGCTCATCTCGTGCTTTTCCTCTGCTACGCATCCCCTCAACACGCCAGTGGCAATCCACACCCAACACAGCAGAAATCGCAAAGTCAAGCGCAGACCCATACCACATCGTCGCAAACACAGCACCAGCAAGGTCAATCGCAGGCTCAGGCTTCATCATAGCAGACTCAGCCTGCCATCCCCTCCACGTCTGCGACACCTACTGCTCTTAACGCTCATACTACTGCGCCAGCTGCAGCCAGCAGGCAGCCACGTCCCCTTCCATTGCGGACCCGTTTCGTTCTTTTTCTCTGTTGTGCATCTCTCCCGCATGCAGATGGGCATTAACACTGCAGCTTCTGGATACCCATCTCATCTTTGCACCTGGTTCTTTTGTAATAATTGTTATCGCTTTGTCCATGCCAGGAATGTGTATTCGATTTCCCAACTTCCTCGATCTCGGGTTGGATTCTATACTATCGATTCTAATCTTAGCTTGAACTCGTCGATCTATCTTAAATAGTCTTAGCCGAGTGGTTAACAGATTCCAGATCTGTTCCTCCTAAGTCGTGCAGGTTCGAAACCCGCCAACAACTTGGGCATGAACTCGTGGAGAAGTCTTCGAATGCCAACCATATGACTCATGACCGAGTTATAAACAGATTCGAAGTCTGTTTCTCCTGGGTGGTGCAAGTTCGAAACCTGCCGATAATACTTTTTCTCTGATCTGGACGCTGCGTATCTTAGTACAATGGCAGTCATTAAGTGGGAGCAACATCGAATTGCACGTGTCTTCAAATACTCAGTACATGTGGTGACACCGTGATATCTACTCTAATACATGAAAGACGCGGGAACCACCTTGTGAGAACTGCAAAGCAGCGTATGTCTGGATGTCTGGAACATGTTCAACCTCCGACGGGGAAGGGGGTCTGTTACTAGTAGCCGCATTAGTACTTGCGGTCTGCAACATGATCACACTAGGTGTCCCTGCTAATGGCATGCTGCTGCTTGCGGCACCAGCGTGGGCTTCCTGGCGAGGAAGATGTGGTAGGTGCGCCAACTTATGCCCTTTTCCACTGTGGGCGTTAGCAGTGCGCTACGAGACAATATCAGCATCACAAGATGGATGTCGAAAGGTTAGGAAAACTTACATATTTGAATTTTGCTGAGGGTCGCAAAAACATTCACAAGGGGAATCCTGAGTGGACGAGGAGTATGGCCTTGGGGAGCAGAGGAGCGAGAAAAGAGACGATTTATCATGTTCTTCATTCCAGACCCTTCGGCGTGGAGAGCGGTGGTAGTAGAGCAATTGTTGCGTCCAGGTGGAGGACATGGATAAAACTGTCAAAGGATAATGAGCCGTGTGCCGACACTAGTGTACCATATAAAACTCTCGCGGAAGAATTCCTGATTGCTGCCTTCGATAAACATAAGCTTTGGTGGGGCATTTCTGCACGACGTACGTACAGATGGAAAGCAGACGCAAAGTCAAAAGCCACATGGAAGAGAGATATTACTAGTCTTGTATGATTGTCCTACCGGGATCAAAGGGCAACGAAAGAACGCATCATGGGGTCAACGTGGTGTTGGCACAACTCTTCACCCGTCGGGAAAGGGGCGATCCAAACTTCCGAGTGTCTGCACCGTATCAGTATATTCAATGACCACCCTTGACATGTATCGCTCACCTATCAGCTTGCCATACTTTCTCATACACATTTAAAACTACATATGGGGTATGTGGGAGTTTGAACATTGGCTGGAAGACATGTACGGAATGCAGAGGGAGCGCGGGACGCTGTCGAATGTTTGTCATAGCCATGAACGTAGTCCTTACGTATGGGAAGATGCACAGCACATAAGTAGCGCTGGTCGAAGACCTGAGCGCTTCATTTACACAGCAAGTCCATTGCTGTAAAGCGAACACGAGGATAACGCATAGAACATAGCTTTACAAACGGCATAAACGAACGACTGCCCAACTTCCTGAACTCCCAACCAGACACCCATTGATCTCTGGTAATTGAGCACTGGGCTCATCTGCAAGGTGCTTCCCGTGAGTGATACTGCAGGCAGTTAAAGCTGATGACTCGCTTACCAGCGACTTCAGATACCCACAAAGATCTCTGGCGTATTCTCGAATTTCGCAGCACCTGCATACGTTATCCGTCTCATCAATTGAATCCTGTAAGCACACTGCATCGTGACCCATGGCTTGTGTGATTCTGACAAGCATCAAATTGAAAGGATATAGACCCCTGGACTCAGCAGAAATCATTGCCGTTACCGAATAACCTGGTCTAATTCCGAGATCCCGGCAGACTTCTCTCGTATACACGATCTGTTGTAGTTGAACGTTGAACCTCCTAGCGCGGACCATGTCTTCCTCCGCAAGTGAGACGCCAGCGATCATGCCACGCCAGACAATGCGAGGTCATACCGGACAGGTACACGGTGTTGTGCACTTGCCTGACGGACGACGCATCATCACAGGTTCATCGGATGGCTCGCTCCGATTATGGGACCTAAAGAGCGGTGCACAGATAGGCGAGGAATGGCAGGACGGGAATAATGGAGTGCGGTTCATGGCGTTGTCTCCAAATGGAAAGACAATTACAAGCGGAAGCAGCGATTACAGTGTGAGGTTGTGGGATATTGAGACGAGGAAGGTCATTTCAAAATGGACAGGACACACCAATGTTGTGTTTACATTGTGCTGGAGTGCAGATGGTGAGCGAGTAGCGAGTGGATCCTGGGATGTCGACAGCGGCAAAACTATCCTGACAATCAAAACCGGGCACAAATGGGTGTGGGCGGTAATATACTCGCCTGACTCATCAAAACTGGCGACAGGCGGAGATGGGGAAGTGTGCAGTAAAAATCTGGGATGCAAAGACAGATCATCCAGTTTGCAGAAGGGAAGAAGCTTTTTTCCGGTTCATATGACCTTATTAGGATATTTGACACTGCCACTTGGCAGCCATGCTTGAAGGTCATGGCATCGGCTCTGTCGACGTCATCTCCTTGTCTCAGAACAACCGTTTCCTTGCAAGTGTATCATGGGATAAAACAGCGCGTCTATGGAATCTCGACACCAACCTCCCAGTCGGACCACCCCTCAAGCATGAAGATTTTTTGCACTGCGCAGCCCTTTCCACTGATGGAAAGGTGCTAGTCACTGCTTGTAAAAACGGCAACGCGTACAAATGGGACGTTCACGCCATCCTCAAAACATCCGGCCTTGAAGATCTCCTCCCGTCTATTCCTAACGTAAATCTTATCGTCCTTCAGTAAAACTATCCTAATATCCCACTCCCAGGTCCCAACTCGAAAATCGTTGATGAACGTACGTAACGTATTCTTTGATCCTTTCAACCATTTCAAGGTTGTCACTTTAGAGCAATGCTACGCAACATCCACCTATTCAAGCCCGTCGACTACCACAAAACTTTTTCGACGGCGTGCAAAATGGTGCTCAGGTGCGTCGTCTGCCTATTTGACCAGTTCTTATTCTTACGCCTGTACTTTCAGTCCTCTGCAGTACGCGGTACTCATAGTCGTTCTCCTGCACAATACCCTCGCAGTACTCGGGCATTCCTTCTCGAACGCTGGTCGTCATTGTTCCGCCACTCTCCCTCCGATGCCGATGGAGCAATTGCACTCCAGCAACGCCCCAGGGGGTCCATCTTCTCTCGCGGTCCTCCTATTGTCGAAGTTCCTACAGTACAAGACAGAAAGGTATATATTTATTCGCATGCGTTTTGCGTCGCCGTGATTTAATCATTTCCTTCCAGGCTTTGTATGTTGCTCGGCCGGCACAGAACACACAGCAGCAAACCCAATCGCACGGCCAGGGATCGCCCACGGCACCGCCTGTTCCAGGTACTAATACTGTTACGCCAGATGCAAGACCTGCGCGTTCACGACTTGTACGATTGTTGGCTCATCTCGTGCTCTTTCTCTGCTGCGCATCCCCTCAACACACCGGTGGCAATTCACACCCAACACAACAGCAACCACAAGGCCAAGCACAGACCCATGCCACATCGTCGCAAACACAGAACCAGCAAGGTCAATCGCAAGGTCAATCGCAGGCTCAGGCGTCATCATCGCAGACGCAGCCTGCTGCCCCCTCCACGTCTGCGACACCTACTGCTCTTAACGCTCATACTACTGCGCCAGCTGCACACAGTGGGCAGCCACGTCCCCTTCCGTTGCGGACCCGTTTCGTTCTTTTTCTCTGTTGTGCATCTCTCCCGCATACAGACGGGCATTAACACTGCAGTTTCTGGATACCTATCTCATCTTTGCATCTGGTCCTTTAATAATTATTGTAATCGCTTTGTTCACGCTGCAAATGTGTGTATGTTATTTCATCACTTCCTCAATGTCGGGTTGGTTTCGATGCTATCAATTTTGATCTCATGCCGTCGCTAGAAGCATGTCCCGTCCGGGTGTCTGGATGGCCCAAAATATTTCATTTGATGCAGCATTCTTCGTTTCTCGCTCTCCATCATTTGGAACGCCAACGGACGCGTGAACAGTTTATATTAAAATTGTATGGAGACGACACTGAGATCACCTTTCCATAGCCTCAACCATTCTCAAGTACACGCTCATCTACGACTTTCTCCCTCCTCTCACCAGCCCGCACAACCTCGCAGACATGCGAGGGTTTCAGCAACAACTATTCTCGCTCAGCCTTTTTGTTCAATCTTACTTACCTTGGAATTCGACTTGGACGTACATCTGAATGGTTGTGACGCCAAGTGCTGAGGTCCAAAAACATCAAGATTTTATTGCCAGAGTTCGAAAGATCAAGAGCGATGTGACACTGTCGTGTATACACCGTCAGTTGAGACCCGCTCTCTCGGGCAACTGCTGCGAAGCTAATGTACGACTGGGGTAAAATGGTACGTTGACGCAACAAATTCACCTTGTGTTATCGTTCTGGGCTTCCAATATCGACTAACTTGACCGCGATAATACGCGGATGTAGTCTTGCAGCGGGTAAGTGGTTGTTCTCGGCACATAGCCCCTCGAGTCTGCCAGAGGGGAATCGATGTAGCTGATTGGTTCTGAAAAGAGACTAACCAGATATCCACCGAAACTTGGCCTCAGGACCAGCAGCCCCCGTGAATATGCAAAGATCGGGCGGATACAGGACAAGCTGATGTGGAATGTCGAGGTTAATATTATGAGTACATAGTCTCGTTGATGTCTACAAGAGTTCCGCGGAAGCAAATGATTCCCTATGCACTCAACTCCAACAATCATATTGCACAACTCTTGTACAAATTATGACGCACGCAAAGTGTCTTATCCCCGTGTATCTCACCATCGTGAACTTAATAGTTAGCATCTTGTTGAATGAGCCCAAGGGCAGTTGCAGAGCGAGGCGTGATTGAACACTTGAAAGGTTTGGGGTGGCTTGCAGTGTGTTAATCCAGACCAGTGCTGGACGTAACAAGATATGCGACGTACCTGATCGTACCCAGTGGTAAGGCTTCAACCTCGGGGGTGATCTCAACACCATTCTCGACAACCTTTGAAATATCAAACACGGCTAATGACATCATGATGGATATCCAAATGGAGGCGTCAGCAAGGTGGAGACCTGTACACAAAAAGCAAGCAAATGTCAGAATACTGTTAGTTAACTGGTGCGAGTTGGACACACCTGGGCAAATACTGCGGAACAGAAAATCAGCATTCCGATCAGATTCAGAACTGACTTTATGCTTACCGTCTACCAAAGCCGAAGCAGGCCATTCGAGGCTCCATCTCGGGATCCTTTCCATCCTTAGCCAGGAAGCGTTCAGGATTGAATTGTGAGGGGTCCACATATGTCCGTGGATCGTTGAGCATGAACCTACCACAATGATGAACATTACACTCTGTTCATCATTCGAAGGGGAGTACTAACCAAGCGTTAGGTATTATCAAGGAGCCTTTCGGAATATAGTACCCGTCATGGATATCGTCTTTAGCCACACAGTGGGGGAATCCTGTCAGTGGGAGACTCGTCGTCAAATAGAAGTGTCATAAACGAGATCCAAATACCTGTAGGAATGACAACGTTCCAGCGGTGGACTTCTTTGACAAGCGCATCAGTATAGGGAAGGGAAGTCGCGGTCGGCAAAGGTAGGAAGACGGTCAGGACCGACAACAGCATCTATTTCAGCCTGAGCTTTCTTCTTTACATCAGGGAAAAGTGTCATAGCTAGAAAAAACGAGTAGATTGCAGAAACAGTCTGAGGAAATAGGTTTGGCACTCTCAGAAGATGTTGTAGGGAAGGACTAACCGTGTCGGAACCACCACCGTACAGGGAAACAGCAGACCATTTCACAGTGTGTTCCTCTTCCGCAGACAAATCACAGCCTTCTAGGAGATTCGAGGTGAAAGACATGGGGGCGGTGCCATCAGCCTGTTAAATTTAAACTTCAACACATGATTGCAAAACTGCAAACAAGTCACCATCTGATCTTTGACGAACTTGTGGGGTGCAGACACCATTTCTTCGAGGATCTCATGCCATTCACGTGCTAGGCGTTTGAAGCCAGCACCGGGGAACCACGTAGGGACTTTTGCCACTGAAATAGCAATGTCATCGAAAGCAAATGCAAACGGCGGAATAATATAGCTTACAGAACGGTAGAATATCAACCATGAAAGCACCGGGAGCTGTAGTCTGCGAGGCACTGGTTACAACGCGGTCTGCAAGGTCAATGAAGGGATCATTGTTCTCTTTCACTTCGTAACCATGAGAGATGCGCAGAATGACAGCGCCAGCAGTGCTATGGTAAACATTCAAGATCATGTCATTGCGAGGACAAATAATACACACTGTCGGATATGCTCTTGCAGCTGGTCGGGTTCCGCAAGCACGCGCTTCAGGAATCGGTGAGTCTCAACTTCCTCGACCACGTTGTATACGTCCACTGCGGCGCGACTGCCGATGACCCGATGGAAGTTCCTGCGGTGCTGGCGAAAAAGGTCACCATAAGGAAGGAAAGGCAAAGAGTCCTTCCAGCCAACAAGTTCGCCCGCCATAGGAAGAATAGGACGGTCAGAATACAAAAGGCTTTTACTGTCCATCATTTCCAATGCAGTCTTGGTAGAGTTTAGCACAATTATGTGCCGACCCAGAACCTCGATATGCGTGATATCACCTACAGATAAGACTTATGAAAATGCATGAAAAAGAGAGGCACTCACCATACTTCTGACCCCACTCAGTAAATGTGAGCCAGGGCTTGATGCGAGGCATATCTAAAACATTGCCAATGAGAGGCCATCCCCGGGGACCAGGTGGATACGGTGCAGGATTCTTCCTGATGACCACCCGCTTTACCAGATAGACTCCGACACCTGTAAGGCATAGTAAGTTCAGCCAAGCAACGTTGGCGATTGACAACATGCTCTACTACTAGTAGAGGATGAGCAACTCAAGAACGGGAATGTAGAGCGAATTGCTCAGATAAGGGGACATCTTGTATTTAATACATTGGAAGGACACGTCACAGGAGTTATGTCGGAAACTAGGGGTTCGCTGTGCGTTGCCAAGAGGTACCCGCTCGGGAAAAAGTGTACCTTATGCCCTTACGACCCTCACAGGCCCTCCCTGAGCATATCTGACTTTTAGATTTGAAAAAGTCATTTTGTCTTCTTCTGCGAGCTGGTGCCACTGCTGCACATGTCACCGCAGAACCAATCTGCCTCAGGGGCATCAAGCAAACTAACACATTCAAGATGAAACTATCCAAAACGAAATCAGCCGCGGTGATAGAAGCATGTTGAAACAAGACAAGCCTGTATCCATTGATTGCAGCTATCAAAGTCGCATTGCACCAGTTCTCCGGGTTCCAGCCCTCGACACCATCAAAATTCATATTGTCGGTCATCGGGCAGACTCGTGTCTGCATTCAGAATGTCATGATTCTTCACTTGAAGCGAGCTAGGGGGAGCTACCAGGGTGATGGTCAGACGAGGTTTCGGTGCAGACGGCATCAGACAATCCTCGCGGATGCTTACCAAGCAATGCAGGCATACGTGCCAACATGCCACTGATAGATACGGTTAGAGCGACATGGTGGACGACGGAGCGGACAATTGTTCACCCACCTTCATCAGTAAATTGATGAGTGCGAGAACGATAGACGCACATGTACATAATTGTGCTCCTACCGAACATGACTGCATTTATACTCGGGAGAAATCTCAGGTAACTTGTATTGTTGATACATGAGCTTGTACATTCCCGCAAGGTCGTGTTCAAACTTCAAATGTCAAAACATATGTGATTACGTGATTCGATCACGTGATTATTTTTCCATGAAAATAACTTCACTCAGTGTTGCAAGTTGCCAACCAATATTAGCCGGTGCCCAATTTCTCCACTCGAAGCTAATTTATGTGTTCTAGGACAAGTTGAACGAGCAAAGATCCAACTTCGACAATTCAACTTACCTGAAATTCAGACTTTTAATGAACTTTCCTTCTCTCACCATCATCAGTGCATTACTGTTGCCATCGTCGCAAATACAACACCAGCAAGGTCGATCGCAAGGTTAACCCCAGACTCCGCCTGTCGCTCCCTCCGCGTCTGCGACACCTACTGCTCTCAATGCTCATACTACTGCGCCAGGTGCAGCTAGCGGGCAGCCACGTCCCTTCCATTGCGGACCCGTTTCGTTCTTTTTCTCTGTTGTGCATCTCTCCCGCGTGCAGATGGGCGTTAACACTGCGGCTTCTGGACACCCATCTCACCTTTGCATCTGATTCTTTTGTAATTATTGTTATCGCTTTGTTCATCGACGAAGTAAGTAGCTCGTAACCAAGTAGAGCATGTTGTCAAGACTCAACATCATTCCAGAGCTGTCAAGAACTAGGAATTACCTTCGACGTTGCGCTCAGAAGTTCAGAAGTTCAGAACTGGCAGTTGATTCACCTCACGCTCGGGCAACTTAACATTATGCCGGACCCGTTACTTAAATAGTATGTGTCCTCGAAGTTTTTTATCCGGTTTTTGTTGCCACCTTCTCACTGCATTCTCTTAGAGTGCCTTTGATTTGTAGTGGCTACAGATTCAAGGTTCTCTAAGAGTATGTACCTAGCTATAGTATAGCTAGATACATTTCTCAAACAATAACATCTTGAACTTTCAAGTCCTTCGCTTGTTCCGCTCTTCCACCCACGTCGCCTTTCCACATATATGACACCAGCTGATCTGGTTCGTTATTGGTGAGTTTTTATCCTGTTCAGTTCTGTCGAGTACCTTTTTACCACCTCTCAGTGCAGGACAAAAGTCAAATGTTCTTCGAAGTGAGTGTTTGAAACTCTGGGTCCGACTTCAAATATTTAATCTCTCTTATGCGGCGCCCCCAATATCTGCTGCTGTTTATGCTCCTTCCTTAGGCCAGCGCCTGATATTAGGTGTTCATCAGAGTCGCAGCGTCATCACCTGCAGTGATAGCACATACTAGTTGAAGAGATCACTGAAGTTGGTGTCGCTGCGTTTCGCGCAGATCATGTATATACTTTTCACTGTGGGTTCGTACCTTGCCTTGGTTGGATCACACACTGACCACGTAACCTTGATGGTTTTACGCCTCGTCTTTCCCTCCCGGTGCAGGAGAAATACACCACCACTGCCAAAAAAGCGTCACTTGGGACTCATTGCAGACACACGCGGTCCCCCGATATTGGGTACAACTTGAATGGTAACTCCTGTTTGCTGCACCTGATATCGGGCGTTCATCGGAAGTCGCAACATGTCACCTGCATTTTTCTCTATAGAGTCCTTTCTAGAGTTCTTTGCCGTCGGTGTTGCTGCGTTGAGCAGATTGCCAAATTGCTCTTCATTCTCTAGGTTCGTGCCTTGTCTTGGTTGTATGGCACAGTACACGTACTGACCACGTACCCTTGACAGGTCTGCGCCATCTCTTTCGCCCTTCCCTGCGCATGAGAAAGGCACCCCCAAAAAAAAAACTGACATCGGTCCACTTTGGACTCGTTGCAGACACGCGCAGTACCCCCAATACCTGCTGCTACCCACAGTGCTCCTTTGGGCAGCACCTGATATCGTGCCTTCATCGGAGTCGCAGCATCATTACCTGCGGTAATCATCTTGAGATGTCCGTTCAAGAGATCCTCGCAGGTGGCGTCGCTGCGTTTCGAGCAGATCGCAGGGTTACTCTTCCAAGCTTCTAGGTTCGTGCCTTGGCCTGGTTGCATGCCTTGTCGAGGTTCTCCCAGAAAACATCAATGTTCCTTTCGGCAGGGTCTGAAATCCGAGTCGCAGCGTCATCGCCTATTGTGGTTTGTGTATCTCTCACAAAGACCCCAGCTGGTGGCGCTGCGTTTCAAACAGATCGCAGAGTTGCTCGCTACTGGTACTCTACAGATCCGTACCCTGGCTTGGCCGTTCGGACACCGTTAAGGAACACATGGTTAACTCAGTACCTGGATATGATAATTGTGACAGGTCCACATGAGACGGTCTGGTACTAAGCACAGCCCTAAGAACGTCCCTACTCTCTGTTTTTCTGCCACTCTCGTCGTCATACTTTCCACTACCACATCGAGGGCCAGGCCGTCGTTTCTGTCCTGCAAATAGTCAAGTTGCCCATATTCTCATAAATGTAAGATAGGGTACTTCACCGATCGCGATTGTCTTTCTCGAAGGCATCGTAACTATGTCTATGCAAGAGATCGCTTTGCCGTACGGACGTCAATATGTCAAGGTCCCATGCGAACCCTTCGCTTATTTCGGCGTTCGACGTTGCATATGAAACTGCAGTGCGAGTTTTTGAAAATCTGGGCCTCGCTGCCTTTTGCATCCACATGGTACATGCAGTCAAGCGCGCGGAAAGTATCTTTGCCTAATATGGAGGCAAAAGTCCCGACAAGAGCAGCGAGGCCGAATTTTTCAAAAACTCGTACTGCAATGTCATGTGCAACACTGTAGATTACGCACTTGCTTGTCACCATTATATGGGTGGTGATGGGACTTCATTTGGTGTTTTCTAGCCATGTCGGGGTCGGAAAGGTTGTAAGTATATATATTGATGATCACACGACTGACAGCTTGAAGGCCCACCCTAGTGTAACAGCCGCAAGGTGACCCTTCGAATTCAAGCTTCAAGCTTCAATTTGTCAGTCGTGTGATCATCAATACAGTTGCGACCTTTCCGTTGGTAGCGAATAACTGATTCGTGATATCAAATGGCAAAGTGCAGTGCCACAAGCTTGGCACGATGTCGTACAATTTTCATTGCCAGTGGGACACCACAAGTTCACGACCCTTATTAACGAGATTCCGATGTTGTCCTATAAGTATTGTAAGTTGGTGATTAGAAACACATCCCTCACTCTTTGAATTTGCCTTTTTATCTGCACAGTTTCATGTCGGAACTAGAAGAATCTCTCTATGCTCTTGACTGGAGTGACTGTATAGGAGGTTCGTCAGTCTTGTTGGAACTGAATCATCGTGCTGAACTTCGTTGTTTTCCAGTTGTAATCATTACCCTGATAATCTATGACTATAGTCGGTAGCTTTCATGAACCTTGCAGTGCAGCTGAACGTAATATTATTTAGTGCTTCAGCTCGAGAAAGAGGTAACGAGGGGTCATTTCATCATTATCGTTAAGTACTCATGATCATATCATTGCAGGTCACGTTTGTTTGGGTTAGAGCTCCACCCCAACGACATGAAGATCCAGAACTGACTAGTTATGCAGGAAAGACAGATGTCGGTGATGGCATATCTATACCTTGTTGTGAGTTCCACCCTGCCAAAGTGCTTCATGGTTTTCCATCTTTGTTGCTATGTCAGGTTCGATATTTTGGTATTGTCCTTGCAATGTACGTCGCGATGGTTGTATCCTTCAGTTAGTACATTGCATGTTGACGCTGACTAGGATTTTCGGCATTTGTACGTGACGTGATACCAACTGAGGCGTCATCAACTGACTAGCGCTAGGGGGAGGTCTAATTTATATGCCTGAAGCAGTGAGTGTATCGATTCTTCAGAGAATTCTAGATTGACCCAGATTCAGCCGTACGTCAGACGTTCATTTACAGTTCGGCGTGATCCGCTGCTGACCTCTTGTTTAGTTGTGAATATGTCGAATTCAACTGAAACTAGCTTTACTCACTGACATCATGGAATTGAAATAGGTTACGGTATACTTGTGTTCATGCAGTGGGGTCTGTCTGGATATTTTTGCTTGGCGGAAGGCAAGTCATATCTATACATTCTCGCACCTTTGCGCTTACCGATTTTGCATCTGCAGTCATTCTCATCTGGCGTCTTTATGCTCTATACAACCAATCCAGGCGCATACTTTATGTGCTACTTGGGTTGTTCCTACCTGTCGTCGCGCTATATATAGGGATGGATATATTTTTGTGGAGTCGACCGTCAGCGGTCTCAGGTGACTTTCTATTTTGATTGAATTCTTTGCAAGCTGATGCCTGGTTGCATAGTGCAGGAAATAGTAGTAACTCCAAACTTGAAGTACTGCGCGGCTTCCTTCCACATTGGGCCTATGCCTGCGATATATGCTTCCATCCCCATCATATGCTACGATATTTTTTTGGTTGTTCTCGCCATTGTCGTCCTCGTGAAGCATCTGAAAGAACGAAAGGAACTTGAAATGAAGCCCAACACCTACGTAGTAATGATCGTCCGATATCATGTCATATACTTTATCCTGTGAGTTCCTCTTCGTTTGTTGTGTTCCCTGAAGGTATTCATTAAATCACGCTAGGAATCTGGCAAGTCAAATCAGCATAGTGACATTGTGGGCCAACATTCCGGTATGATCTCCTGTGATTCTAGAGAGATATGCTCTAATGCATGCATGCACAGACAGCGGAGCGGTATCTCGTAATATTGTTCAAGGATACCGCGCCATTGATCATTGCGCCACGCCTTATCATCAGCATCTGGGATACGCATGCCAACGACAACTGCATCCATGTCAGTACAACGTTTGAGGAATGCGTCTGTTGGACTTCGCCACCGGCATTGGAGCAGCCCGAGATTGACACCTGCGTGTGATCTTTCAAATTGAAGGAGGTAGAGTGAGGTCCATACTTGCCCCTGACTAGCGTCCGCCTCAAATACCTATTCAACTAAATGCTTGTCTCTAGACTCAGTGTAATTCATGAATGTAAATTCATCATAGATACATCCGCGCATTGACTGCTATGACCTGCACGTTTGACTTGGAATTCCAGGTAAGGAGTCAGGGAGGGGACTGTTCTTAGCTCATCCAGTAAGACGTTCCTGTCACTTGAATATCATCCTCATAGCTAAATCGGATGTGGGCAACTTACATCGTGCAGATGACAGACAACAGAAGGGTATTTTGTGGAACATATGGAGCACCATGGTCCGTCTGCGGTAGATAAATAAACAATCATAGTCGTAAGTATAACGGGGAGAACGCTCACTTAGCCTGCCCCGCAGTTGTTACTGGCAAACAGATCAGGGCAAGGGGATCAAACAAGCAGCCGACGCCAAACCTATCCCCTGCAATGCCCCTCTAGTCAATGATAGGAAGCAGACAAGTAACAAATCGACTTTCTCTTTCGCCTCCTATACTCCGTGTCATTCAACATCAAGAATACTTGAAACGTGTTCCATCACATTCCAGTTGATAATTAGAGTCGACGTGACCACACAAAAACGCATGTTTCGTGTCGTATTCTCTCCTATGATATCAATGGCGCACTTGTGAGTCACAACTGAATCTACCGTCACGGCTTCGAGCGAATCAGTCCTTCTCCACGCTTCAGGGGTGGTATCACCGAGTACAATTAACGTTCAACCTTTCTCTGATTGTGGTGTCGGATATTTCAATGTCATCCGGTTGGGTGTGATAGTCAATATCTAGTATTCTCTCCATGGATAGGTCACTTGACTAGATAATTGAAGAGTTGACGATTAGACGAATGGAGTACCAGATATGAACCTGCCGCAAGAAGACTGGAGCATCGCGTTGAGGTAGGAGCTGCCAAGCTAGACACAGACATCGTCGGAGAAGATCCATCAGAAGTACGTGAGACCACCTGAAAATGATTAGCTGCATGAGTAGAAAGGAGATATCTACCATTCTGGGTTACCCATCCCCGAAGATGGGCGATACAAGATGAGAGTAATATAAGAAGTGAAAATCAGATATTGATGATGTCTGATAACACAAAGTACAGCTTGCGATTGAGTTTTCTGCCTTGCTATAACACGATTTCGACACACACAACAACCGTCCGCGATCTCAAAAGCCGCCACGTAGAGCAAGAACATGAAGGAGAACTGATCCTGCGGAGATGTTGAACTCCTTAGCGGTCTTGTCGTCCAGCCTGGGTCATAGCCGAGAATGATACGGTCAGTTTTCGTGATTTGATGGAAGCGAGGGCGACCACGCACATCTGTCTCCAACTGAAGATCAATCTCTGCTGTCGTGGTGGCACACCGGACTGCTCCTCAACCTTCTCTTTGATGCGAGTAATCTGTGTCCCCGTGATTCGTGAGCTCGACAGTGATGAGTACGCTCGGTTATAGGCTAGATACCTTGTCTTCGAGATCTCAATCTGTCCGGACATGACGGCTAGTCATGAACAGATCGCGATAATTGGATTGGGCACCTCCTTGCCAGTGAGAGTCTATCGGTCAATGTTAGTGTAGCGGAACATCTGTTGGGAGTGAGTTTGAATGCTTTCCCTTGGCAGTAGATCGCCATCCTTGGAGAGGTCACAAACACCTTGTCAATGATGGAACAGCGCGTCTATGGAATCTCAATACCAACCTTCCAGTTGGACCACACCTCCAACATGAAGATGTTTTGCAATTCACTCTTTCCCCTGATGCAAAGGTGCTAGTCACTGGTTGCCGCGACAAAAACGCGTACACATGGGACGTTTACGCCATCCTCAAAAAAGTTGGCCTTTCCTCCTGCGCATTCCTACTGTAAGTCTCATGGTTCTTCGGTAAAAACCTCACTAATATAATCCCACTCCCAGGTCCCAACTCGAAAACCGTTGATGAACGTACGTGACGTGTTCCTTCTTTTCAATCACTTCAAGGCTGTCACTCTAGAGTAATGCTACGCAACGTCCACCTATTCGAGCTCGTCGGGTGCCACAAGGCTTTTTTGACGTCGTACAAAATGGTGCCCAGGTGAGTCGTCTGCATTTTTGGTCAGTTCTTGTTCTTATCTTTGTAGTTTCAGTCCTCTGCAGCACGCGGTTCCCATCCTCGTTCTCCTGCAGAATACCCTCGCAGTACTCGCACATTCCTTCCAGAACGCTTGTCTTCGCTCTTCCGCCAATCTCACTCCGATACCGATGGAGCAATTGAACTCCAGCGACGCCCAAGGCGGTCTATATTCTCTCATCGTGGTCCTCGTATTGTCGAAGTTCCTACAGTACAAAGACACAAAGGTATGTATTTCTTTGCGTGCGTTTCGCATCGCCGTTAATCGTTTCCGTCTATTGTTCAGCCGGCACAGAAAACACAACAGCAAGCCCAGTCGCAGGGCCAGGGATCGTCCACGATACCGCCTGTTCCAGGTACTGATACTGCTACGCTAGGTGAAATATCTGTGCGTTCACAACTTGTACGATTGTTGGCTCTTCTCGTGCTTTTTCTCTGCTGCATATCCCCTCAACATGTCGGTGGCAATACGCACCCAACACAGCAGCAATCGCAAGGCCAAGCACAGACCCGTGTCACATCCTCGCAAACACAGTACCAGCAAGGTCAACCCCAGGATCAGACGGCATCATCTCAGACTCAACTTGCTGCCCCCTCATGTCCGTGTCACCTACTGCTCTTGATGTTCATACTACCGTGTCAGGTGCAGCCAGCAGACAGCCACGCCCCCTTCCATTGCAGACCCGTCTCGTTCTTTTTATCTGCTGTACATCTCTCCCGCATGCAGTAACACTGCAGCTTCTGGACATCTATCTTATCTTTGCATCTGGTTCTTTTGTAATTCTTGTTATCGCTTTGTTCATCGACGAAAGTAGCTCGTAACCAAGTAGAGCATGTTGTCGACACCAGGTACTAGAGCTATCACATGTCAAGAACTAGGAATTACCTTCGACGTTGACTTGCGCTCAGAAGTTCAGAAGTTTAGCAAAACTGGCAGTTGATTCACCCCACGCCCAGGCTTACCAAAACAGTGGCCGGGCACTTAACATCACGCCGGACCCACATGTGTCCTCGAGGTTTTTTTTCCATTTTTCGCTGCCACCTTTCTCACTGCATACTTGTAGTTATAGAGAGCTTTAGATCTATAGCTAGGTATATTTCTCAAAATCTCGAACTTCCAAGTCCTTCGTTTGATCCGCTCTTCCACCCAACGCCAACTCGACCGTGCTCGTCTCAGGGCATCACAGAGCTTTTGAAGGCCATGTCGCCTTTGCCGATATATGACACCAGCTGATCTGATTCGTTATTGGTGCCAAATTTTTTTTTGATGAGTTTTTATCCTTTTCGGTTCTGTCAAGTTTTTTTTACCACCTCCCAGTGCTGGACAAAAGTCAAATGTTAAAGCGAGAGTTTCAAACTCTCACTTCAAATATTTGATCTCTCCTATGCAGCGCGCCCAATATCCCTGGACAACACCTGATATTAGGTGTCCATCAGAATCGCAGCGTCATCAGAGATCATTGCAGTTGATGCTACTGCGTTTCGAGCAGATCATGGATATACTTTTCACTGTAGGTTCGTACCTTACCTTGGTTGGATGACACACTGACCACGTAACCTTGATCTTGATAGTTTTACGCCATGTCTTTCACCTCCCGATGCAGGCGAAATACACCACCACTGCCAAATAAGCATCACTTTTGACTCATTGCAGACCCACGCCCTCCCCCCGATATTGGGCACAACCTGAATGGTAACTTCTTTTTGCTGCACCTGGTGATATCGGGCGTTCATCGGAGTCGCAACATATTACCTGCATCTTTCTCTATGGAGTCCTTTCTGCAGATCTTTGTGGTTGGTGTCGCTGTGTTGAGCAGATCGCCAAATTGCTCTTCATTCTCTAGGTTTGTGCCTTATCTTGATTATATGGCACAATACGCGCACCGACCACGTACCCTTGACAGGTCTGCGCCATTTCTTTCACCCATCCCTGCGCATGAGAAAGGCACCCCCGAAAAACACTGTTGTTAGTCCACTTGGGACTTGTTGCAGACATACACAGTACCCCCAATACCTGCTGCTATCCACAGTGCTCCTTTGGGCAGCACCTGATATCGTGCCTTCATTGGAGTCGCAACATCGTCACCTGTGATACTCTTTTTGCGTCCGTTTCAGAGATCTTTTCAGGTGGCGTCGCTGCGTTTCGAGCAGGATTGCTCTTCCAAGCTTCTAGTCGAGGTTCTCCCAGAAAACATCAATATTCCTTTGGTAGGGTCTGAAATCGGAGTCGCAGCGTCACCCCCTACCGTGGTCCATGTATCTCGCACAAAGACCCCAGTAGGTGGTGGCGCTGCGTTTCAAACAGACCCAGAGTTGCTTGTCACTAGCACTCTACAGGTCCGTACCTTGGCTCGGTTGTTCAGATGCTGTTAAGGAACCCTCTGCGGGACATGGTTAACTTAGTACAGCTGGATATGATAATTGTGACAGGTCCCTACAGTGCCACATGTGACAATCCTGGTACTAAGCACAGCCCTAAACATGTCCCTTCTTTCTTGGTTTTTCTGCCGCTCTCGTCGCCCTGGTTTCCACTCCCACCTCGAGGGCCAGGCCGTCGTTTCTGTCCCGCAAATAGTCAAGTTGCTCATATTCTCATAAATGTAAGATAGGGTACTTCGCCGATCGCGATTGTCTTTCTCGAAGGCATCGTAACTATGTCTATGCAAGAGATCGCTTTGCCGTACGGACATCAACATGTTAAGGTCCTGCGAACCCTTCGCTTATTTCGAGGTTTGACCTTAGGCCATGCACCTGCTTGGCAAGCTTATATGGATGGTGATGGGATCTCATTCGAGGTTTTCCGGCCATGTCGGGGTCAGAAAGGTCGTAAGCATATTGATGATCACACGGCTGACAACTTGAAGGGTCGCCCTGTAACAGCCACCGGTGACCGGTGAGTCGCAGTGACGCAGGGCGACCATTCAGTCATGTGATCATCAATATGACCTTTCCGTTGGTAGATTCGTGATAACAACTGGGAAAGTGCGGTGTTGCAAGCTCGGCACGATGTCGTACAATTTTCATTAGGAGATCACAAGCTCACAACCCTTACAAGTTAACGAGATTCCGATGCTGCCCTATAAATATCATAGGTTGGTGATCAGCGACCCATTCCTCACTCTTTAAATTCACCATTTTACCTGCACAGATGTCGGGACTAGAAGAGTCTATGTATGCTCTTGACTGGAGTGACTATATAGGAAGTTCGTCAGCCTTGCTGGAAATGAATCATCGTGCTGAACTTCGTTGTTTTCCAGTTGTAATCATTACCCTGATGATCTATGACTATAGTCGGTAGCTTTCATGAACCTTGCAGTGCGGCTGAACGTAATATTATCTAGTGCTTCAGTTCGAGAAAGAGGTAATGAGGAGGTTGTTTCATTATCGTCGAGTACTCATGATCATATCATTGCAGGTCACGTTTGTTTGGGTTAGAGCTTAACCCCAACGATACGAAGATCCAGAACTGACTAGTTATGCAGGAAAGACAGATGTCGGTGATGGCATATCTATACCTCGTTGTAAGTTCCACCCTGCCAAAGTGCTTCATTGTTTTCCATCTTTGTTACTATGTCAGGTTCGATATTTTGGTATTGTCCTTGCAATGTACGTCGCGGTTGTTGTATCCTTCAGTTAGTACATTGTATGTTGACGCTGACTAGGATTTCCGGCGTCTGTATGTGACGTGATACCAACTGAGCCGTCATTAACTGACTAGTGCTAGGGGGAGGTCTACTTTATCAGCCTGAAGCAGTGAGTGTATCGATTCTTTAGAGAGCCCTAGATTGACCCAGATTCAGCCGTACGTCAGAAGTTTGTTCCGCCTGATCTGCTGCTGACCGCTTGTTTAGTTGTAAATATATCGTATTCAACTGAAACTGGCTTTGCTCACCATGAGATTGAAATAGGTCATGGTACGCTTCTGTTCATGCAGTGGGGTATTTCTGGATATTTTTGCTTGGCGGAAAGTAAGTCATATTCATACATTCTCACACCTTTGCGCTTACCGATTTTGCACCTGCAGTCATTCTCATCTGGCGTCTTTATGTTCTATACAATCAATCCAGGCTCATGCTTTATGTTCTGCTGGGGTTGTTCCTACCTGTCGTCGTGCTCTATATAGGGGTGGATGTATTTTTATGGAGTCGGCCCTCAGCGATGTCAGGTGAATTTTTATTTTTATTGAATTCTTTGCAAGCTGATGCGTGGCTGCACAGTGCAAGAAATAATAATAACTGAAAGTGTGAAGTACTGCACGGCTTCCTTCCACATCGGGCCTATGCCTGCGATATATGCTTACATCCCCATCATATGCTACGATATTTTCTTGGTCGTTCTCGCCATTGGCGTCCTCGTGAGACACCTGAAAGAACGAAAGGAACTTGAAATGAAGCCCAACACCTACGTGGTAATCATCGTCCGATATCATGTGATATACTTTGTTTTGTGAGTTCCCCTTCGTTTGTTGTGTTCTCTGAAAGCATTCATTAAATCACGCTAGGAACTTGGCAAGTCAAATCATGATGGTGACATTATGGGCAAACATTTCGGTATGATCTCCTGTGATTCTAGACAGATCTGCTCTAAAACAGGCATGTACAGACGGTGGTCCGGTATCTCGTAATATTGTACAAGGATACCGCGCCATTGATTATCGCGCCACGCCTTATCATCAGCATTTGGGATACGCATGCCAACGACAACTGTGTACATGTCAGTACAACGTTCGAGGAATGTGTCTGTTGGACTTCACCACCGGCATTGGAGCAACCCGAGATTGACACCTGCGTATGATGTTCCAAATTGAGGAAGGAGGTAGAATGAGGTCTATACTTGCCCCTAACTAGCGTCCGCCTCAGATACCTAGTATTCAACTAAATGCTCTGAGTGGAATTCGTGAATGTAGATTTCTCGTAGATACATCTGTTTTACTACTACGACCTGCACGTTCGACTAGGAATTCCAGGTAAGGGAGTCAAGGATAGGACTATCCTGAGCTCATCTAGTAAGTAGTTCCTGTCACTTGAATATCATCCTTATAGCTCGCAGTCCAAACATCCTTAGATGCTGGTAAGGGTATACTGACAATGGTCGGATCACATCATTCAGGAAATGACGGCAGATGGGATCCGCTCGTGGATTAGATGAAGAGTAGCAAGACAATATCGTGGACAGGATCATGTCGTCTGGGTATTTGTAGACGCTTCTTGTGTAACAATGTTCTCCACCCTCTTCTATGTGGCATTTCCTTTCAACATATTCTGTATAAAATATTCGCCAGCCTAGCAACCAAGTGTAAGAAGAATCGTCCGAAACGAGAAATACTGAATGACTGACCTCGTAGCTACTGCGGACAAGAGGACCGTTGGCCACATAGGAGAAACCCATGTCGTCAGCTATTTGTTTCCATCGGTCAACCTTCAAGTCTTGCTTCGTGGCCCTCATATATTGCCCAAAGGTCAAAACATCGAGATTCGACATTAATGTTGCGAAGTTCTGAACGATGATCCAGCATTATCAGAACGACAGAAACATGTATAGCCCGCTTGATACAATTTATGTGAGCATCGATTCAGAATGAGATGCGACACATACTTATTAGCAACTGATCATCGTCGAAATTGAAGTGGCATGTGCATCGCTGGCGCTGGAAAGTTAGAACAAATATAATATTGGGTGCGTGGGGTATCATGACGAAGAGCCAAGATAATGGACGAAAGCGCTAACCGGCCCCGATCCAAGAATCCCCCAAAGAAGTCGGGATCTCTACACTGTACAGACCCCAGTTTGCTTATTTCTCATAAATGTAGATAGGTACTCCGCCGATTGCAGCTGTCTTCCTCGTCACTATTGAGATCACTTTGCCGTACGGACGTCAACATGTCAGGGTCCTGCGAAACCTTCGCTTATTTCGAGATTCGACCATAGATCGTGTACTTGCTTGTCAAGGGTTAGTGATATGGATCAGTTGTTGTTTTCGAGCACTGCCAAATTGCCAATGCGACCTAATACTTAAGGGGGTCGAATAGGCAGGATCATCTAGAAGGGGTAACAGCCACCGATGCCGGTGACCCCTTCGAGTTGTCAGCCGTGTGATCATCAATATGTAACTTACGACTTTCGATGACGTTAAATGGAAAAGTGCGCCGCCACAAGCTCGGGGCGATGTCGTACAATTTTCATTAGGACACCATCAACACAACCCTTAGTATTATAGTACAAGTTAACGAGATTCCGAGGCTGTCCTATAAGTATTTGTACGTTGATCAGCAACCCATCCATCACTCTTTGAACTCGCCATTTGATCTGCACAGTTTCATGTCGGGACTGGAAAAATCTCTCTATGCTCTTCACTGGAATAACATCGTATCAGGTTCGTCAGCCAAGTTGGAAACGAACCATCGTACTGAACTTCATTTTCCAGTGGCGATCATTACTCTAATATCCTATGAGTACAGTCAGTAGCTTTCATGAACCTTGCAGTGCGGCTGAACGTCATATTATCTAGTGCTTCAGTTCGAGAAAGAGGTAACGAGGGGGCCGTTTCATTATCGTTAAGTACTCATGATCATATTGTCGCAGGTCACGTTTGTTTGGGTTAGAGCTCCACCCCAACGACATGAAGATCCGGAACTGACTGGTTATGCAGGAAAGACGGTGGTCAGTGATGTCATATCTATACCTTGCTGTGAGCTCCACCCTGCCAAAGTGCTTCATAGTTTCCCATTTTTGTTGATATGTCAGGTTCGATATTTTGGTATTGTCCATGTAATGTACGTCACGGTGATTGTATCCTTCAGATAGTACATTGTATGTTGACACGCACATCTAGGATTTGCGCCATCTGTACGTGACGTGATACAAACTAAGTTGTCATTAACTGACTAGCGCTAGGGGGAGGTCTAATTTATATCCCTGAAGCAGTGAGTTCGATTCTTTCTTTAGAGAGTTCTAGGTTGACCCAGATTCAGCCGTACGTCAGAAGTTCGTTTTACAGCTAGACCTGATCTGCTGCTGACCTCTTGTTTAGTTGTGAGTATATCGTATTCAACTGAAACTAGCTTTGCTCATCATGAAATTGAAATAGGTTATGGTATGTTTCTGTTCATGAAATGGAGTTTTTCTGTATATCTTTGCTTGGCGGAAGGTAAGTCGTATCTATACATTCTCCCACCTTTGCGCTTACTGATTTTGCATTTGCAGTCATTCTCATCTGGCGTCTTTACGTCCTATACAACCAATCCAAGTTCATACTTTATCTTCTGCTGGGGTTGTTCTTACCTATCGTTGCGCTCTATATATGGATGAATATATGGTTATGGAGTCGACCCTCAGCGATATCAGGTAACCTTCTATCTCGACCGAGTTCTTTGCAAGCTGATACCTGATTGCATAGTGCAAGAAATAATAATAACTCCAAATATCAAGTACTGCACGACTTTTTACCACATCGGGGTCATGCCTGCGTTATATGCTTCCATCCCCGTTATATGCTATGATATTTTCTTGGTTGTCCTCGCCATTGCCGTCCTCAGGAAGCACCTGAAAGAACGAAAGGAACTTGAGATGAAGCCCAATACCTACGTAGTAATGATCGTCCGACATCATGTCATATATTTTGTCCTGTGAGTCCCCTTTCGTTTGTTGTGTTCTCTGAAAACATTCATCGAATCACGCTAGGAATTTGACAAGTCATATATTCATGGCGATATTGTGGGCTAACCTTTCGGTATGATCTCCTGTGATTCTAGAGATCTGCTCTAATGCAGGCATGCACAGACGGTGGTGCGGTATCTCGTACTATTGTTCAAGGATACTGCGCCATTGATTATCGCGCCACGTCTTATCATCAGCATTTGGGATACCCATGCCAAAAACAACTGCGTATATGTCAGTACAACGTTCGAGGATTGTGTCTGTTTGACTTCGCCACGGGAATTGGAGCAGCCCGGGATTGACTCCTGCGTATGATGTTCCAAATTGAGGGAGGAGGTAGAGTGAGGTCTATACTTGTACTTAACTGGCGTCCGCCTCATATATATATCCAACTAATTAATGCTTATATCTAAACTCAGCAGAATTCGTGAATGTAGATTTCTCGTAGATACATCCGCGCATTGACTACTACGACCTGCACGTTCGACTAAGAACTCCAGGTAAGGGAGTCAGGGATAGGACTGTCCTGAACTCATCCAGTAAGTAGTCCCTGCTACTCATGTCGTCAGCTATTTTTTTTTTCCATCAGTCAAACTCGGAAGATTCCACATATCGCTCAACCTTCATGTTTCGCTTCGTAGGCCTCATATATTGCCCAAAGGTCACAACATCGAGGTTCGACATTAATCTTGTGAAGTCCTGAACGATGATTCAGGAATTATAATCTTGACGCGAATGCTCTTCAGCTCACCTCGTAAAGCGTCCATGACCTGCTCTCCTGTCTCGCCAACACAACGCAGGATACTTATCTTGGTGATACAGACACCTTCCTTCTTCATGTGTTAACGCACCTTCAAACTCTGCCGGAAAGTTGCACGGCAGTCGCACACAAAGGGAGTCAACTCCTCCACAGTCTCACCATTGTATGCATAAATGTCTAGGCCAGACTTGGCCACGAGAAACATTGCCCGAAAAATCTCCTGTTGATGCTTCCACAAGAATATGAGGCGTCCTGTTTCGAGTATCCTGTTGGTGAGCAGCACGAACGAAGTTAGCATGTAGTATACTTTTCATAATAGTCTCTGCGAATTGATGTGCACCACCACCTACAAGGTCTGCAGGGGTGATTATGAGCCTGTGATCTGGTTATGTTCAACGCACCATCTCTGTGAACATTTTGCCCCCATCAACTAAGTAATGACCTCTGCTGTTTTTTCAGGCTCGTGAGGATCCAATGGATGTGGGGCACTGGTGTAACTGCCTGTCCGAGACCCTTGTTAGGTAGTGTAGGCTACCCTGATACGGCTGGAAAACACTAAATGAAGACCCATCACCATACTGTACTTTTAATGGATTACGTTAAGCTAACTAGCAGACATTTGACAACGTTGCTTAATCCCAATAGGGAAGGTGATACATGACTGATACCGTCAGGGAAAATACCTCGTCCCTTGCTTCTTCCGCTTACTAATGCCTTCAAAATCTAATAGAGATGGTAATGCATTGCACTCAGCGCCAGCCCTGGGCCTCAGCTAGGTCATTCATTTCTTCCCTAACACCTTTAAATGACTCGTACCTTCAACTTACTTACCTTGCTTCCCTTGCTTACTACCAATCACCAGTACTTGGCGCAGGGTGACCCTTCAAGTTGTCAGCCGTGTGATCATCAATATTCGGAGACAGTGATTCGTGACGCATGACGAGTCAAATGGAGAAGTGCGATGCCACAGGTTAGGTACGATGTCGTACAATTCTCATTAGGATAACGACAAGTTCACACTGACCCTTACTACAAGTTAACGAGACTCCAATGTGCTCAATAAGTATGGTACAGTTATGATCAGCAGCCCACCTCTCACTCTTTGAATCCGCCATTTGATCTGCATAATTTCATGTCGGGACTAGAAGAATCTCTTTACGCTCTTGACTGGAATGACATCATATCAGGTTCGTCAGCCTTATTGGAAACGAATCATCGTGCTGAACTTCGTCGTTTTCCAGTTGCAATCATTACCCTGATATCCTATGATTACAGTCAGTAGCTTTCATGAACCTTGCAGTGCGGCTGAGCGTCACATTATCTAGTCCTTCAGTTCGAGAAAGAGGTAACGAGGGGGTTGTTTCATTATCGTTGAGTACTCATGACCACATTATCGCAGGTCACGTTTGTTTGGGTTAGAGATTAATCCCAACGATATGAAGATCCGGAACTGACTGGTTATGCAGGGAAGACGGTGGTCAGTGATGTACATATCTATACCTTGCTGTGAGCTCCACCCTGCCAACGTGTTTCATAGTTTCCCATTTTTGTTGATATATCAGGTTCGATATTTTGGTATTGTCCATGCAACGTGCGTCGCGGTGGTTGTATCCTTCAGATGGTGCGTTGTATATTGATGCTGACGTCTAGGATTTGCGCCATCTGTACGTGACGTGATACCAACTGAGCCGTCATCAACTGACTAGCGCTAGGGGGAGGTCTAATTTACATGCCTGAAGCAGTGAGTGTATCGATTCTTTCGTTAGAGAGTTCTAGGTTGACCCAGATTCAGCCGTACGTCAGAAATTCATTCTACAGTTGGGCCTGATTCACTACTGAGCTCTTGTTTAGTTGTGAATATATCGTATTCAACTGAAACTAGCTTTGCTCATCATGAAATTGAAATAGGTTATGATATGTTTCTGTTCATGAAATGGAGTTTTTCTGTATATCTTTGCTTGACAGAAGGTAAGTCATATCTATACATTCTTCCACCTTTGCGCTGACCGATTTTGCATTTACAGTCATTCTCATCTGGCGTCTTTACGTCCTATACAACCAATCCAAGCTCATACTTTATCTTCTGCTGGGGTTGTTCTCACCTGTCGTCGTGCTCTATATAGGGGTGGATATATTTTTATGGAGTCGGCCCTCAGCGGTCTCAGGTGACTTTCTATCTTGATTGAGTTTTTTGCAAGCTGATGCCCGGTTGCATAGTGGAAGAAATAATAATAACTCCAACTATCAAGTACTGCACCACTTTCTACCACATCGGGCCCATGCCTGCGCTATATGCTTCCGTCCCCGTCGTATGCTATGATATTTTCCTGGTTGTTCTCGCCATTGCCGTCCTCAGGAAGCACCTGAAAGAACGAAAGGAGTTTAGAATGAAGCCTAACACCTATGTGGTAATGATCGTCCGATATCATGCCATATACTTTGTTCTGTAAGTTCCCCTTCGTGATGTGTTCTCTGAAAGCATTCATTGAATCACGCTAGGAATTTGGCAAGTCAAATCTACTTGGCGATATCGTGGGCCAACCTTTCGGTATGATCTCCTGTGACTGCGATTCTAGAGAGATCTGTTCTAATGCAGGCATGCACAGACGGTGGTGCTGAATCTCGCAATATTGTTCAAGGACACCACGCCATTTATCATTGCGCCACGTCTTATCATCAGCATTTGGGATACGCATGCCAACGACAATTGCGTACATCTCAGTACAATGTTCGAGGATTGTGTCTGTTTGAGTTCGCCACCGGAATTGGAGCAGCCCGAGATTGACCCCTGCGTATGATGTTCCGAATTGAGGAAGGAGGTAGAGTGAGGTCTATACTTGCCCCTAACTAGCGTCCGCCTCAAATACCTATTCAACTGAATACTGTAAGGAACGTCACTCCGCTGGCTACGGAATTCCCTTTGTGCTACCGGTTATGGACTTAACTTCTACCGGTTCGAGTTACTACTCTACCGGCTATGGAGTTCCCGTTATACTGCTATCATAGCCACTCACTTAGATATAAAACCCTGTCCTTACTTTGCGTATCTTTAGTGAATTCACTCCCCCTCGTTCATATCTCATCACTCGTGATCCGATGATCAATCCCTGTCGAACTCATTAAGCAGCCTTACAATATTCGTCTCTAGATTTAGTGGAATTCGTGAATGTAGATTTCTCGTGGATACATCTGCGCATTGACTGCTACGACCTGCACTTCCGCATCCTGCACTCCGTGTCATTCAACATCAAGAATACTTGAAATGTGCTCCATCACATTCCAGATAATAGTTATAATCGATGTGACCACACGAAGACGCGTGTTTCGTATTGTTATCACTCCCATGATATCAATGGCGTATTTGTGAGCTACAACTGAATCTACCGTCATGGTTTCGAGCAAATCGGTCCTTCTCCACTCTTCAGGGGTGGTGCCACCAAGCATAGGTAGCGTTCAAATTTTCTCTGATTGTGGTGTCGAATATGTTTCAATGCCATCCGGTTGGGTGTAATAGTCAATATCTAGTGTTCTCTCCGTGGATAGGTCGCTCGACTAGATAATTGAAGAGTTGACGATTAGACGAATGGAGTTAGTACCAGATATGAACCTACTGCAAGAACATCAGAGCATCGCGTTCGGGTAGGAGTTGCCAAGCTAGACGCAGACATCGTCGGAGAAGATCAATCAGAGATACGTGGGACCACATGAAAATGATTAGCTGCATGAGTAGAAAGGAGATATCTACCATTCCGGGTTACCCATCCCCGAAGATGGGCGATACAAGATGAAAGCGACACAAAAAGGAAAAATAAGATATTAATGATGTTTAATAACACAAAGTACAGCTTGCGATTGAATTTCTGCCTTGCTATAACACGGTTTCGACACACGCAATAACCGTCCGCGATCTCAAAAGCCGCCACGTAGAGCAAGTACAAGGTGGAGAACTGATCCTGCGGAGATGTTGAACTCCTTAGCGGTCTTGTCGTCCGGCCTGGGTCATAGCCGAGAATGATACGGTCAGTTTGCGTGATTTGATGGAAACGAAGGCGACTACGCACATCTGTCTCCCACCGAAGATCAACCTTTGCTGCTGTGGCGGCACACCGGATTGCTCTTCAACCTTCTCTTTGATGCGAGTAATCTGTATCCCCGTGGTTCGTGAGCTTGGAACTGATGAGTACGCTCGGTTTAGGCTAGATACCTTGTCTTCGAGATCTATGTCCAACTCAATCTGTCAATACATAACGGTTAGTCATGAACGGATCGCGAGAATTGGATTGGGCACCTCCTTGCCAGTGAGCGTCTAGCGGTCATCAGTGTAGCAGAACGTCTGTTTGGAGTGAGTTTGGATGCTTACCTTGACTTTTATGAGCATGATCAAAGATGCACGCCGTGAATCTACGCCCCCGCTTTACTCGATGGTAGCCTGTGTACTTGCCACATTGAGAGGCATAATTATGAAGTTCAAGCTCCGCGAACCTTCTTCGACCATGCTTCCATAACAGTAGGCGTCCGTTGCATAACTCGTTCATCGACATACAACATACAACGAAGCGGCTCAAGTATGCTCATGCACAGGTTTCTTAAAGATCAATGTTAGCTCGCCTAGGACGCAAAAGAAGAGAATCGATACGAGCCATGCATATGCATGAAGAGTCATTTGTCTCTACTTCTAACTAACGATAATCCAAATAACGAGTCATTAATGATATAAAACGAGTGTGCTGCGTAAGTAGTTGTCCTGTCGATCGAAATTGTTGAATGTTCTAGTCTATGCGTTCCATCCAGTGCGATAGTAGTTGGTATTCCTTTGCTAGTTGTTCGGTGTGGTATTGGTGCCCGTCCTTTTGGTGCGGTTGCGTGAATATTCGATGCCCTTCAAGCCCCAAAAATTAAACTCCTATCCACAGATGCATCCTCTTCCTCACTGCTCTCCTCCTCCTCAACCCCTTCCTCCATCCTAGACCTCTCCTTCACATACTCATGCCCCAAGAAATTCATCACGCTACCAACAACACATCAGCACACTCAATACACAACGCAACAAAAAACCACTCACTAAATTGTCCCATCCGCGCACCCTACCACTACCTCCTCATGCGTGAGTTGCATTGACATCGGGTTCTTCTCTGGCACCGCCAAGCCCGTGAACTTGGGCGGCAACGGACCTAGAAGACCTTTCACACCCTCGTGCGTGGCACGAGCAAGCGCCGCCCATGCACCTGACAAAGGAATGATATTTGCATCTATATCTACGCTCGGCGTCGGGGACGAGAAGCATCGGATTTGCATGGTCCGTCGTAGGCCCCGTGTCTTCATCGACTGGACCATCAAGGACATCAACCTTGTCCTTGTCTTTATGGGTCGACATCAGAACCTGGGTGCACGAAATGAACAAATGAGGACCATATTCAGTTAGGAAAATGACGGGACAGACGTACCCTCCGATCAGCCCCCGCTCGCGAACTAAACCTCGTAGCAGTAACCACCCTCCTCTTCCTAGGATCCACTGCCCCAACAGCAACATCAGGCGTCTCTACGAGCGCAACGAGCTTGGGAGGTGCAGTCAGAATCGCCGCCCGCCCGAACCGAATCGCAAACCCATCTGCACCCGCCGCACCCATAGGGGATAACGGTGCACCCATCGGGGACAGCGGAGTGCCAGATCGAGGGAGTAGGGAGAGTGGAGATGGTGATATACCTGAGAGGTGAGATGCGCTGAGATTGGAGGTGAGAGGCGTAGAAGGTGTCCCAAGCGAAAGACGCGATTTGGGCAAGCCCGATGTACTCACCCCAAGTGCAGACTGTCTGCGCTGGGGAGTAGACACCTGCGTGGGCCGTATAAGGGATGAGACAGCGCGTGATCTCGGGTTAAGGGAGGAGGGCGTAGGAGAGGTAAGAGTCCTTCCAGTGAACGTAGGGCTCATTGTAGTAGTCTCGGCAGGAGTCTTCTCGTCTTCACCTTCGGTCCATTGCAGATGCAAGATCACAGATTTAGTCGCGCACTAATGAGAAGCGAATGAGGCACGCAGACCAAAGATAAGTACAACACTTACAGTCATCTGCGAGCCTTTGGCCGCGAACCACTGCAACATATTATTAGGCGCAGAGCCCACATTAAACAGCTTCGCATGCAGCACAGGGTCGCTACCACCGAGTTCACTGAGCTTAAACTGCGAGATCATCTCTCTCCTCTCTGTGCACCATCATCAAACTATCAGCAACAGAGTATAGAGGAACTCGACAGCAAAGAAACCAGAAACTCACTAATCGAGAAAACCCGAACGATGCCATCGATAGTCACACCCACTACACGCTCTCCTTCCGCTTCTGTGCCCCCTTGGACGATCTGCACACCGATATTAATCGTTGTCTGCTGTCCAAACCTCACAATCTTCGTCCCGGCGCGCCAATCCCAACACACGAGAGCCTTATCAGCGCCTGCGCTGACGAGATTCTTGGAGGAAAGCGCAACGGCGCGGATACCGTTGAGGTGTCCGGCAAGTTGTTGAAGAGGCGTGAATGTGACGGAGGAAAAAAGGTGAACGCGGCTGTGGCGTATAATTTTATTTCAAGTATGAGATATACACAAATGGACGCACCCAACATCATGAAACCCAACCACGAAAACCTCTTCGGCACATGAGCTCCAAACACGCGTAATGCACCGTATCAAAAACGACACACCTTCCTCTGCCAAGAAATCCACACAGCTCACAGGCTTCTTCACCTGCAGGCACTTTTTCATCTCGCCGGTGTCGATTGTCCCAGAAACGGATGGTTTCATCATAGGAGCCTGAGATGAGGCGCTTGCCTATGAGTGGATCAGCAAAAGTCCTTGCTTGGGGAGAGCGAAAGTAGAATGCAAAGGAGCAAGGGAAGGAGAAAGGGGGTAGATGGAGCGCAGCTGTGAATCAGAGTGGCTGGAGGAGCAAGACCTGCTTTTAAATACAACTGCTGACCTTCAGCCTTCCTGGTCCACATTCTACGTCTCCTCAGTAGAGTATAGTTAACAGGGTACGCGAGCACCGGAGGTAGGGCGGAATGAAGGGAGGGTAACCATGAATCGGAGTGGCTGGAGGAGCAGGACCTGCAATACAGCTGCTGACCTTCAGCCTCTCTGATTCATATTCTACGGCTCTCCTTCATCAACACAGAAACCCTCCCCATCCCCAAAATGTTCGTCCACCCCCAAAATAACGACACACAAAAAAAAAGAAAACGCCCCTCACCTCTCAACAACAACGTCGTACAGAAATTTGTATGTCCATTCAAGAAGCGTATGCTCTGCGGAAGCGCATGCGCAAAATTGGACTCGCGATGATGGAGGGAGCGGTAGAGAGGGTACCTGCAGTGCAATAAAATGAAAGAATCGGTAAATGCAAGTGTCGAGGTCATGATGGAGAGGGATAACAGAGTGGGAATGAGGACAAAAAATCGAAAACGGAGGAAAGAGAACTCACCATCCCTCAGGCTTCGCCGGTGCCCTCACACGGACCGGATCACTGATAGTCAAGCGCAGACAATGCCACCTCCACAATGCAGGATGACGAGTTGCGGTGTACCATTTTTTCGAGACCTGTCGTGTGTCATCAGTATTCATATGCCTTCGACCAGTGTCTCAAGAAACAAGAGTTCCGAGCGGAACCAACATCTCCCAACATCCCACAAACCATCACAAGACACCAACAAAACACTCACTAGCCCAGCCCTAACAACCTCTTTCACGCTCAACTTGCTCAAGATCTGAAGAGCGATCTCAGGAGCGAGGAAACCGATGATGTCGAATGAGCTTTTGAGGTATTTTTGAAGGAGGAGGATTTGAAGGGGGATGTCGCCTGGGAGGGTTGCTGTTGGCGGTCGAAGGGAAGAGTGAGAGGTGGGGGGAAGGAGAGGGTAGGGGAAGAGAAGGATTGATTAGCTGGCGCTTCCTATATTAACATGTGCGGGACGTACATTCAAGTATGATCTGGATACTACGCGATAGAATGTAAGTGTCAGCATCTTCACTAAAACAGGAGAGTAACAAAGGAAAGAGAGACTAGGGAACACCTCCAGAGGCTGCCACGTCATCTCGCCCCTGCACCAATCAGCAGGCACGACCTCCTTCCATGAACAACAAGAAACAGTAACCCAAACCATAACAAAGAAAGACTCACATTCTCCCCCGCCCCTCCCTCCCCAACCCCCTCATAGCCCTCCTAACACCCCTCTCATCAAGCTTCTTCATAGCATCTACCAAATCGCCACCCTCCGCGGTCTCATCGCCCTCCCCCTCCACATTCCTCCAACTAACCGCGTCCCAATACCCCCTCTTCCTCCCACCACAAACACAATACTCACCCCCCTCCAGTTGCAAAGACCCTTGAGCCTGAGACTGAGACTTGGAACGCAATTCTGCGAGTTGAGCTTGAAGATGATAAACCTGCGCTGCACTACTTGCGTGCGCGCGTTCGAGGAGGCGCTTGTAGGCTAGGAGTTTAGAGGTGTGGAGGGTACGGATTTGGGTGAGGGCTTGGTCGAGCTGTGGAGTTGAGTTAGTTGGGTTTGGTGAAGAAGGGAGAGGAGGAAAGGGATAGGTAGGTGTATGCACGTGAAAGTGGGGTCTGCACAGTGATATAAGCAGGGAAAAAATATGTGCATGCAGTGCGTATCAGAAGGACGTGCGTACGCGACGACAATAAGACCGCACACAATCCAATAATCGCAAAAGCATACAGACACAAAAAAGCAGACAAACGAAACACTAAAACGAAACGAACTCACCTCCTCATCGCCTTCCCCATCCACATCCGTAACCATATCAAACGTCATCCCATCATCCTCATGATCCCAAATATCCTCCAGACCCGTGTCATCGTTCAAATTGATCACGGCACCGTTCATGACGCGTCCGTTCACGTGTCTTGGACCTCCGATGATACTCCCGGTACCATCGCTGAAGACGCTCCCTATTCTTGTCCCGCCCATGGCGCTTGCGGCCATAGCTCTTTTTGAGGCGAGCGATTCGGACAGCAACGCGACGGGCTCTTTACCCATGAAGTTTGAGCCAGGAGAACGGACTTTTGGACTCGGAGAGTGCATATTTTTTGTACCAGGGGACCGTGTCATACTGGATGTCCCTGATGGTGTACGCTGTAGCTGGGTACGAGCGAGAGGAGACAATTTGGAAGGTGTGGTTGAAGGCGTGTTTATTGAAGGTTTTGAGGGTGTGTTGCTTGAGTGGGGCTTAGGCGCAGAAGACGGGGGTACAGTAGTCGGAGTACTCTCCATGGAGACACTCCTGGTCAGAGAAGCCATTTCGCCGCTTCCAAATACTGATGCTGAATTGGAAGTAGCAGAGCTTGCGGTACGCACGCGGACTGACGCGGATGAAGGATTGTTCTTGTGCTTTGCAGGACTTGGAGATGTAAAATTTATAGCTGGTTTGGGAGAGGCGAAGTTGACTGAAACACGGTGTTGATGTGATGGAGTTGGGACAGATGTTTCTGAAACGACGCGTGCTCGAGACGGGGTTGATGACACTGCGTCTCGATTTCCATTCGAGTCTGTAGTGCTGCTAGTGGAAGCATACAAGGAACGCGGGAAAGCACTTGGCGGACCTGTGCCAGAACGCTTCAAGGGCGTCGGCGTCGTGGAGAGCATGTTTGAGGTAGAATTCGAATTCGAAATTGGTTTGGCGGGCTTCACAGTCGTACAACCGCTCGCATCACTTGTGATAGACAGCGCACGCGTCTTAAGGGAAGTACGTGTAGTAGTCGAGTTTGACGTCGTGCGCGACAACGACAAACGTGAGCGGGTTGATGTCTCAGAGGGCGTCGGCATTCTAGTTCAGTGGCTTGTCACTATCGGGAGCAACCACAAAGTAGTAACAAACCGCGTTCTTCCCACGTCCACACGGTGCCAACTTGAATCAGCACTGGCAGAATTTATGTGCGAAGAGTCAACTAGTGATTGGGAAGAAGTTCTGAGCTCTGTCGCAGTACTGTTCTTCCCGTTCTTGTTATTGTAACAGTAAGGCTTTTTACAGACCTACAACGACAATGCCACTCCCCACTCCGGTTCCAATGGTGCTGTAGTAACAGACAGTATGACGTGGTGGACGCAATAGCACCCGAAACTCATACTGCAGGTACTGGCTACTATATATCATCCACCAAAACTTGACCTTAGAACCAGCAGGACATTTCAGGCCTCGTGAACATGCAAAGATTGCGCGGCTGCAGGACGAGCTGATGTGGAATATCGAGGTCATTATTAGAGTACATAGTCTCGTTAATGGTTCAGTGCGTCCACAAAACTTCCGCGGAAGCAAATGATTCCCTGTGCGAACTCCAAGAATCATATTGCACAACTTCTGAGTTTACTATACAAATTACAAACGCATGCTAAGTGTGTAATCCCCGCGTGTTTCTCCAGTCTCACCATCATGAGCTTAGTAGTTAGCCTCTTGTTCAATGAGCCCAAGAGCAGTTGCAGAGCGGGGCTTGATAGAACACTTGAAGGGCTTGGGGTGGCTTGGAGTGTATCAATCCAGACCAGCACCGGACGTGACAAGATATGCGACATACCTGATCGTACCTGGTAAGGGTTCAACCTCGGGGGGTGATCTCAACACCATTCTCGACGACCTTTGAAATATCAAACACGGCCAATGTCATCGCAGTGGATATCCAAATGGAAGCATCAGCAAGGTGGAGACCTGTACATCAAAAGCAAGCAAATATCAGAATACTGTTAATTAATTAATGCGAGTTGGACACACCTGGGCAAATACTGCGGAGCAGAAAGTTAGCATTCCGATCAAGTTCAGAGCCAACATTATGCTTACCGTCTACCAAAGCCGAAGCAGGCTGTGCGAGGCTCCATCTCAGGTTCCTTTCCATTCTTAGCCAAGAAGCGTTCAGGATTGAATTGCTCGGGATTAGCATATGTCCGTGGATTGTTGAGCATGAACCTGTCGTAATCAAGATCATTACATTCTGTTCATCAATCGAAGGGGAGCACCAACCAAATGTTAGGCATCACTAAGGAGCCTTTTGGAATATAGTACCCATCATGGATATCGTCCTCAGTTACACGGTGGGGAAAACCTGCCATTGAGATACCCGAGGTCAAATAAATAATGTCATGATCGATATCCGCATACCGGTGGGAACGACAACGTTCCAGCGGAGAACTTCTTTGACAAGCGCCTCAGCGTAGGGGAGGGAGTCGCGGTCGGCGAAGGTGGGAAGACGATCAGGACCGACAACCGCATCTATCTCAGCCTGGGCTTTCTTCTGCACATCAGGAAAAAGTGTCATAGCCAGAAAAAGCGAATATATTGCAGAAACAGTCTGAGGAAATAAGTTTGGTACTCTCAGAAGATGTCGATTAATGGATGTAGGGAGGGACTAACCGTGTCGGAACCACCGGCGTACAGGTTAAAAGCAGACCACTTCACGGCATGGTCCTCTTCCGCAGACACATCACTGCCTTGTAAGAGATTCGAGGTCAAAGACACAGGGGCGGTGCCAGCAACCTGTAAATTTTGATCTTCAATGCATGATCGCCAAACTGCAAAACTGCAAACGGTCACCATCTGGTCCTTCACCAACTTGTGGGGTGCAGAAAACCATCTCTTCGAGGGTCTCACGCCATTTACGTGCTGTGCGCTTGAAGCCAGCACCGGGGAACCACACGGGAGCCTTTGCCACTAGAATTTTCAAGTTATCAGAAGCCAACACAAACGTCAGAAGAATATGGCTTACAGAATGGTAAAATATCAACCATATATGCACCGGGAGCTGCGGCTTGCGAGCCATTGACTACAACGCGGTCTGCAAGGTCAACGAAGGGATCATTGTTCTCTTTCACTTCGTAACCATGAGAGATGCGCAAAATGATCGCGCCAGCAGTGCTATAGTAAAAATTCAAGATCATGTCATTTCGAGGATACATAATACATACTGTCGGACATGTTCCTGCAGTTTTTCGGGATTCGCAAGCACACGCTTCAGGAATCGACGAGTCTCAACCTCCTCGATCTCGCTGTATACGTCCACTGCGGTGCGACTGCCGATGACTCGACGTAAGTTCTTGCGTTGCTGGCGAAAACGGTCACCATGAGGAAGGAAAGGCATAGAGTCCTTCCATCCAACAAGTTCGCCAGCCATAGGAACAACAGGACGGTCAGAATACAAAGTGCTTTTACTGTCCATCATTTCCAATGCAGTCTTGATAGAGTTTAACACAAAAATGTGCCGACCCAGAACCTCGATATGCGTGATATTACCTACAGATGAGACTTATGAAAAATGTATGATTTTGGAGAAAAAGGAAAGCACTCACCATACTTCTGACCCCACTCAGTAAATGTGAGCCATGGCTTGATGCGAGGCATATCTAAAACATTGCCAATGAGAGGCCATCCCCGGGGACCAGGTGGATATGGTGCAGGATTCTTCTTGATGACCACCTGCTTTACCAGATAGACTCCGACACCAGTAAGGCATAGTAAGTCCAACCAAGTGACACTGGCGATTGACAACATGGCCTACTAGCAGGGGATGAGCAACTCAAGAAAGGGATGTAGAGCGAATTGATCAGATAAGTGGATATTTTGTACTTAACTCATTGGAAGGACACGTCACACGAGAGTTCTATTGGAAAACTAGGGGTTCGCTGTGCGAACTTATGACCTGGCGGCCAAGAGGTACCCGCGAGTCGGGAGAAAGTGTACGTGAGGCCACCTTATACCAGACGAGCGACGGACATGTGTTGCCGAACACCCTAGGCATCGTAGTACAGATGAGCATACTATACGACTTTTGGATTTAAAAAAATCATTTTGTCTTCTTCTGCCAGTGAGAGCTGGTGCCACTGCTGCACATGACACTGCAGAACCAATCTGCCTCACATCCGTAATTATTATTATTAGTTTAATTTACTCACACATTTATTGATTTCCCTTTTTGCGACTTGCCGCCGGCTTGAACATTCACTTGGCATGGATGGATTTTTCAAGGCCCATCTTGAGTAATCATGGCTAACCGTTTGGCACCAGAACAGATTAGAAATCTGCTCTCCCGTAGTGCGGATTCGAAACCTGTGGACATGGACAGTTCTTCGGAGGTTAGTCTGAACTTGGCCAGGAAGCGTCCTGGTAGTGGTTAACACAACAGAATCAAAATTTGTTTCTCTTGTACTAAGTTCGTAGGTTCCAAACCTGCTTAACAACAGGATTTTTTCTATCGGAACACGCCTTGAAGATTCACTCATCCTCGGAGGTTCATCTCAACTTCGTCCTCGCCACAGTGGTCACCACAACGGAATCAAAATCCGTTTCTCTTGGACTACGCAGGTTCGAAACCTGCTGAATAACAGGTTTTTTCTTCTATCGGAAGACGCCCAATTCCTCGGCGGAGTCGGAGGTGCACCTCAACTACCGAAGTGGTTACTACAACATAATCAAAATCTGTCTCTTCAACTGTACCAGTGCAGGTTCAAAACCTGTCAATGAGTTTTTTTTTATCCGAACACGCCTTGAGGATTCACGGATGGACAGTTCCTCAGAGGCTCATCTCAGCTTCGCCCTGGCCAAAATGGTTACTCTAACAGAATTGAAATCTGTCTCTTGGACTGTACCAGCGCAGGTTCAAAACCTGCTGACGAGGTTTTTCTCTCAGAACACGCCTTGAAGATTCACTGATAGATATTTCCTCGGAAGTTTATTTCAACTTCGCCTGGCCAAAGTGGTTACTACAACAGAATCGAAATATGTTTATGTGGGACTTGCGCAAGCTCGAAACCTGCCGACCACAAGGTTTTTTTCTATCGGAACACACTTTGACATTCACTCATGGATGGATTCCTCAGAGGCTCATCTTAATTGGTCTTAACCAAGTGGTTACCACAACAGAATTAAAATCTGTTTCTTTTGCAGTCGGTTCCAAACCTGCTGACAGCATTTTTGCAGTGTATAGATCCTCAGACCTCTGTCTTAACTAGGCCCAGTCATTGCGCCGAAACCTCCTTTTTATGTGATAGTCTGTCCATGAAATAGAATTCACCTTCACGCCTCGTCCGGATCGTCTCAGAAAAATAAGGTATATCCCTGAGATGTGTGCGTGCCAACCTAGATTCTCGACAGGCTAACCAAAACTGTCGGGATTCACCACCAAATGAAACATTGATGGGGCTGGAGGCCTGAAGAATGCACGCAAGCTAAGGACAGAGTGAGTCTGACGGTCGGGCAGATGATGTAACCTCCCCAGCCTCGCTGAAGTCTCGTCGATGAACACTCCTTCGGTTGTTGGGCCTTGGCTCTTCCAAAGCGACCGAGGATGATTCGAAAGCCAAAGGTGGGATAATGGAAAGTGGCAGACCGAGCCATATCATTCTGATGTGTAGTTTGCGTGCGCTCCTGTTTTGTGTTGATACTGGGGCGGAACATACTTTCGATTGCCGCAGCAAGTCCCGGACACCTGGACGAAGATATCAATAGAGAGGTCAACGCGAAACTCGTTCATGCGAAGCAGGCTTAGATACGACGGACACAGCATCGCCTACAAGTTGCTGATCCATTGTGACAAACAAGACAGGAGGGACCAAAGCCAATGGCGAAGACAGCAGAAGACAAGGACGCGGCCATGTGACGAGGCGAACAACGACGGAAGGCAAGAAAGCCCCTCAAGAAAACAAGCATTAGCAAGGAAATTAGAACAGGGGCGAGACAACAGGACAGCTGCAATTCAGTCTGGTCTGTCTCGGAGAGTTTGGCACGCGAGGAATTCGAGATAGCGCGCGCGCGTTTGCTCGACTGAGTAAAAGGCTCATGGAGAAGTTCAGCAGCAAAGTTACGTCTCGGAGCCGCCAAATGCTTAAAGATGAAAAGCAAGTCACCACAATATTCGGTACATAGATGGACACGCAGGAGGCCACACGCATACTAGTAGTAGTAGTGGCGATTATCAGCGCTCTGACCGGCAGTGAGTGAGCGCGAGTTATCATAGGAAAAACATCAATCAAATGGTGGAGACTCGAAGCAGATCTACAGTGTGGGTTGAACAACGTTCCGAATCCTAGAATAATGGAAAAAAAGCTCAAAACCGAACCAAGGTCTAGTGCAAATTTGCTGTCTTTGTTGTTGTTTGAGTCGCGCCTCGATTCTGAGACGTCTGACAAGATACTAGTATAATTCATCCACCGAAACTTGGTCGCAGGACCACCAGGACATTTCAAGCCTCGTGAACATGCAAAAATCGGGCGGCTGCAGGACAAGCTGATGTGGAATATCGAGGTTAATATTATGAGTACATAGTCATCCACAAACTTGAAAGTTCCGCGGAAGCAAATGATTCCCTGTGCACCGAACTCCAACAATCATAGCAATGCATAACTCCTTGTAACGTACAAATTATGACGCATGGTGTTATCCCCGCGTGTTTCTCCGATCTCACCATTGTGAACTTAGTAATAGTTAGCCTCTTGTTCAATGAGCCCAAGAGCAGTTGCAGAGCGAGGCTGGATAGAACACTTGAAGGGCTTGGGGTGGCTTGGAGTGTGGTAATCCAGATCGGCGTCGGACGTGACAAGATATGCGACATACCTGATCGTACCTGGTGAGGGTTCAACATCGGGGGTGATCTCAATACCATTCTCGACAACCTTTGAAATATCAAACACGGCCAATGACATCGCGGTGGATATCCAAATGGAAGCATCAGCAAGGTGGATACCTGTACACAAAAAGCAAGCAAATGTCAGAATACTGTTAGTTAACTGATGCGAGTTGAACAAACCTGGGCAAATACTGTGAAGCGGAAAATTAGCATTCCAATCAGATTCAGAACCAACCTCATGCTTACCGTCTACCAAATCCGAAGCACATTGTGCGAGGCTCTGTCTCAGGGCCCTTTCCATCCTTTGCCAAGAAGCGTTCAGGATTGAATTGCGAGGGGTTAGCATTATGTCCGTGGATCGTTTAGCATGAACCTGTCGCAGTTAAGAGCTTTACATTCTGTTCGTCATGCGAACGGCAGTACTAACCAAATGTTGGGCATTACTAAGGAGCCTTTTGGAATATAGTACCCGTCATGGATATCGTCTTCAGTCACACGGTGGAGGAAACCTGTCATTGAGATACCTGTCGTCAAATAGTAGTGTCATAAACGATATCCCAATACCTGTAGGAGTCACAACGTTCCAGCGGAGGACTTCTTTACAAGTGCATCAGTATAGGGGAGGGAGTCGCGGTCGGTGAAGGTGGGAAGACGATCAGGACCGACAACCGCATCTATCTCAGCCTGGGCTTTCTTCTGCACATCAGGAAAAAGTGTCATAGCCAGAAAAAGCGAATATATTGCAGAAACAGTCTGAGGAAATAAGTTTGGTACTCTCAGAAGATGTCGATTAATGGATGTAGGGAGGGACTAACCGTGTCGGAACCACCGGCGTACAGGTTAAAAGCAGACCACTTCACGGCATGGTCCTCTTCCGCAGACACATCACTGCCTTGTAAGAGATTCGAGGTCAAAGACACAGGGGCGGTGCCAGCAACCTGTAAATTTTGATCTTCAATGCATGATCGCCAAACTGCAAAACTGCAAAACGGTCACCATCTGATCCTTCACGGACTTGTGGGGTGCAGACACCATCTCTTCGAGGGTCTCACGCCATTCACGTGCCAAGTGCTTGAAGCCAGCACCGGGAAACCACGCAGGGACCTTTGCCACTGAAATAGTAAGGTCATCGGAAGCAAACGCAAACGGCGGAATAAACATAGCTTACAGAATGGTAGAATGTCAACCATAAAGGCACCGGGAGCCGTGGCCTGCGAGGCATTGGCTACAACGCGGTCTGCAAGATTAACGAAGGGATCATTGGTTTCTTTCACTTCGTAACCATGAGAGATGCGCAAAGTGATCGCGCCAGCAGTGCTATAGTAAAAATTCAAGATCATGTCACTGCGAGGATAAATAATGCATACTGTCGGACATGTTCCTGCAGTTTTTCGGGATTCGCAAGCACACGCTTCAGGAATCGACGAGTCTCAACCTCCTCGATCTCGCTGTATACATCCACTGCGGCGCGACTGCCGATGACGCGATGTAAGTTCTTGCGTTGCCGACGAAAACGGTCACCAGGAGGAAGGAAAGCCAAAGCGTCCTTCCATCCAACAAGTTCGCCAGCCATAGGAACAACAGGACGGTCAGAATACAAAGTGCTTTTACTGTCCATCATTTCCAATGCAGCCTTGGTAGAGTTTAACACAATTATGTGCCGACCCAGAACTTCGATATGCGTGATATCACCTACAGATGAGACTTATGGAAATGCATGATTTTTGGGAAAAGGACGGCACTCACCATACTTCTGACCCCACTCAGTAAATGTGAGCCATGGCTTGATGCGAGGCATATCTAAAACATTGCCAATGAGAGGCCATCCCCGGGGACCAGGTGGATATGGTGCAGGATTCTTCTTGATGACCACCTGCTTTACCAGATAGACTCCGACACCAGTAAGGCATAGTAAGTCCAACCAAGTGACACTGGCGATTGTCAACATGGCTTACTAGGAGGGATGAGCAACTCAAGAAAGGGATGTAGAGCGAATTGATCAGATAAGTGGATATTACTAACTCATTGGAGGGACACGTCACATGAGAGTTCTGTCGGAAACTAGGGGTTCGCTGTGCGAACTTGTGACCTGGCGGCCAAGAGGTAGCCGCTCGGGAAAAGTGTACATGAGGCCACCTTATACCGGACGAGCGGGTGCCACTGCTGCACATGAGAACCAATCTGCCTCAGGAGCATCAAGTAAACTAACACATTCAAAATGAAACTGTCGAAAACGAAATTAACCGCAGTGATAGAAGTATGTTGAAATAAGATAAGCATACATTGATTGCAGCTATCAAGGTTCAAGTTGCATTGAACCATTTCTCCAGATTCCGGCCCTCGACACCAACAAAATTCATCTTGTGGGTCATCAGGTTGACTCTGTCTGCAATTTGAATAACATGATTCTTCACTGGAAGCGAGCTAAAGCATGCTGGTGATGGTCAGACGAGGTTTTACTAGTAGTGCAAAAGGTATGTCTTGCCAAACTCTTGACCATCACTCGCATCAGCGGACGCTTACAAAGCAATACATAATATTACTTACAGCAGATGACGAGATGTCTGTGCTGATTCAAAGTCAGGCATTAGCAGTGTTGTTATTAATTGTCACTCTATGACGAAGCGAGGCACGAGCGAAGTCTTAGAGTTTGGTCTTTGGCCGAGCGGAAGAAGCCGTCGCTTCTTGTTTCCAGCTCCTCCACTAGCAAAGTCCTCGTCGAGTCGCTCGTCGAGCTCTTTTCTTTTCTTTCCTTCTATCCCATACTATCCTTTCCATAAGCTACACACCATTAATTTAAAGACTTTCACCTTCCTTAAAATCTATCATCTATGGCGCACATCGCATCAGACCCATCATTGGACATTGTTCCTGACTTCGCCTCCGCAACTTTCCAAGGCATAAGAGTCCGCTGTAGAGACTCACGTTTCTGTGGGCTCATATGGGCTCATTTTACGAATTCTGACAACTGGCCTTCATGGCACAACTCGCACTATCATCCACCATGACTTCCCTATAGAGTGCACCACTTTCCCACGAAACGCGCCATAGGCACGATACTTTCCCACACAACTGCGCAGCATTCCCGCGTGCGCGCCTTGCGCACTTTCTCGTGCTTAAGCGCCCTGCGTCACGCATCATCCAGGAGCATCCATCCATCGTCCAACCAGTCCCTTGGTATGTCCCTTTTCGTTATCTGACTATATTTGGCATATTACACTTCCTATTTCCGTCATGGCACCCTTACTTTACATCACTTTACCTCATTTACATACTTAGAGCGCTCCCTATTCGGCTCCTGAGCCCTGGGAGAGCGCTTAGGTAGAACTTACATACTCTCATGTTCGTTTTACAACCCCACTTTTTCCACCTTAGCTTCCTACCACTCAGTATCTATCACCAGTTAATTCCATGCAATGCATGTGTCCATCATCGTTTTGAGGCCCTAGCATAAGTCTATAGCTAGTGGCACCATCAGTAGCCGTCTAGATCTGTGCTTTTCCTCATATCAGTCTCAGTACACATCTTCTACATTTGTGCACCACCTGCACTACCTTCCCGCGCTTCGCGCACTTCGCTTTCCCGCGCGCGCCTTCAGCGCGTTTCTCGTGCTTTCACCGCCATTCACCAGGGTTATTCAGCATCATTCTGTGGATCCTTGCTTTCCTTGCTTCCCCTTTAGGGTCGAATGTTCTTGCATTCTGCGAGTATAGCAGCTAGGCAGAGCTGAGACTCACTTATACTGGCTGAGCACTTTTCTTATATGTGCCTGCCAGGTTGTGATACCCACACCACATCATAGGAAACACACAAGCAACCCACGAAGAAGTAGCCAACAAACTCATCACGGGCTGGCAACAAGACCGAGACATCTGACTTGCAGCTTGGAATGTGCAAGTTACCAAAGAAGCCCAGTTAGCAGCAGAGGCAGCACGCACTGAGCAAGAATGCCGCAAGCAAGAACAACTCCTCCTAGAGCAGGAGGCCAAAAATGAGCACCGTGAGGTGGGGAAGAAGAAACCAAAGATCAACGACTTCAAAACGGGTGCCTCAGTTAGTGACACCCTCACTCACCGGCCGTCCCAATATGCAATACACAAGCTCAAATCCTTCGAATACGTCGAGCTATGGTATTTCAGCCCAGATGGATGCAAAGACACGGCCGACGAAGCCAAGTCGGCAGCAGATGGCACCTTCGGCTTCACAAAAGTTGACGACTTTGTGGCCCTAAAGGCTGTAGCTGCGTTCAAACCGTCCCGTAAGGCCATCCAGGACCATGGTCTTGAATGGCGACAATTCGACATGGCAAAGAACAGCTTCCTAGTCTACATCAACAAACTCAATTGGCCGGAGAAGCACCAGCACGCCCTCACCATGTTCTTCATGAACATTGTGTCTAACCCACAACGTGCTGAACCATTCGGTGAACGGGCCCTGATCCTCTATGCTGCCCGCGTCTGCTGGGACTGGCATGACACCCTCACCCTGGACAACGCCTTCGACATCAGCATTTTCAATTTCACGCTGCTGAAGAACCTCTCTGAGGAAGTCTGGAACAAAATGCGCCTTGAAAGTCTGGCAGAGGTTTGCATTTTTCACTAACATGTTCACAACCAAAAACTAATCCCACTACTATGTTTCCCTTTAATCGCTGCTACCACTTCCTCGCATGATCACACTGCTGCTTCCTGCTTCCTACTCAAAACTGCTCCCGCTACCACCATGCTACCACCAATGCTCCCACCACTGCTTCCTCTACCGCTTCAACGCTTCCTCTCACTCCCGCGCTTCCCTGACGCAGCTCCAGCTGGCTATGTCATCGCACCAGCGAGCACGGGAGACCCCATCCCAACGCAACCACGCTCGAGTCGAGAACCGCCCAGCGCGCTCTCGCTCTCGTTCCCCACCCCGAAACCCTTCAGGACATCTTCCACCTCGGGCCCAATCCCCTGGTCGCAACCGTCCTCGGCAAGAGTCCAAGCAAAATGGCCAGGACAAGCCGTCTTTTCAGAACAGCGCAGCATCGACAGGCCACCATGCCTGCGCTTTATGCCTCAGGCTGTTTCACCCGCAACATCCACAAGTGCAAGAGCAAATTCCTGTGGGACAACAAGACCCCCACCTCTTTCCGCAGGAGCCCAGAGGGCCGGCTCATCAACACTCTCGGCTTGCACCTTTGCTACGACTGGCAGCGCCCCAACGGGTGCTCAAGCCCAAGCAAGGACCACATACACGAATGCTCCTGGGTGCGGAAGCACGGATCATGGAGCTCAGAAGTGTCCTCGAGGCCAGGAAGCTTAATGTGCTCACGCCATATCATGTGGACGCTTGGCGCCGTTTACTTAATAAAGCTGAACTCATACTTACATACTCACACGTACCCCACTCTTTACAATATGGTTTCCTTGGTAGCATTCCCCCCATTACATCCACTTACACCCCTCCTAATAATCCATCGATTGACGAACACGCTAATGCTTTTGCTACAATCCTCGAGCGGGAGTTCAGCTCCGGGAGATACCTGGGCCCTCTCTCAAAGGACGAAGTGGAAGCTCTCATTGGACCGTTCCAGACTGCACCACTGTCCATTATCCCCAAGCCGGGAAAACCAGGAAGATTTCGCCTTATCCAAAACCTATCCCATAGCTCCTCATCCCTCACTTACCCTATCAGCATCTATTAATTCCTCTATCGACTCGAACCTATACCCCTGCACTTACGGCACTTTCTCTACTATCTGCCTTCTTGTCTGGCGCTTACCCCCAGGCTCTCAAGGAGCAACCCGGGACGTGGCAGAAGCTTACAGGACTGTTCCCCTCCACCCCTCACAGTACCCGGGCCTCGTTGTCCGCATGAGCAAGGACAGCTTCGCCATCGACACTGAGTTTTTGTTTCGGCTGCTCCTCAGCAGCCAGATCATACGGTGGCCTTGCTGATGCAGGGGCCGACATCCTCCGCAGCGAAGGCATCGGCCCATTATCAAAATGGGTCAATGACCATTTATTCTTCCACATCCTCCGGGAATTCCTGGAGAGGTACAATGAGCAGCGCAAGATTTGGGCCAAAGCCATCCACGACCACGGGGGTCTTCACATTGATGGCGGCTGGAAATGGTACCAAGGCTCAGCCCTGCATAACAACCAGCCAGAAGAATACAATGAGGATTGCTCCTTTCCCATCATCGACCTCTCCCAAAGCTCCCCACGCTCCACTGAAGACACCCGGTACTCGTACTGCATGGACTGACATCAACACTGTCTCGACCCAAACAGGGACCCCCTGGGAGGTGTCCAAGGATGTCCAATTTTGCTTTGACCCCCCGTTCACGGGCTTCATGTGGAAGCTTGGCCTTCGCACAATCGAGATCCTGGACAGCAAGAAAAAGAAATACCTGGATGCCATTTTGGAATGGGAAGCCCAGCCCCGTCATGTCCTCCTCGAAGTCCAGAAGCTCCACTGGCAAGCTGCTACACACTACCCTCGTTGTCCCCGCAGGAAGAGCTTACATCACCGAGCTGGAAGCCATGCTATCCATTTTCAGTGACCGTCCATTCGTGCCTCATACCCCACCTAGAAACTGCGCTGCTGACCTCAGATGGTGGTCTGCGACTCTTCGCCAACCCACCATCAGTAGACCCGTCCCGGGCCCATGCATCATCCTCAACCCTAACACCTTCTCTGATGCTAGCTCAGGCATGGGCATCACAATTTGGATCAAAGGATGGTAGCACGCCTGGCGCCTCATTCCAGGATGGAAAGCTGATGGCTGCGACATCGGATGGGCCGAGGCCATTGGGTTTGAGTTTCTCATCCTCAGCGTCATCAGAGCAACCAAGTCCAGCCCAGTCCCTTGCTTCAAGGTTTATGGAGATAACAGAGGAGTTGTGGAAGGCTGGTGGAAAGGATGAAGTCGCAATCGACCCACAAACTCCGTCTTCAAGCACATTCACAGTGCCACTCAAGCCGCTTCCTGTATCGTCCTCACGCACTATGTCCCTAGCGCTCTCAACCCTGCAGACGACCCATCGCGAGGCAAGTACCCCCTGCACTCCCTTCTTCTGCCCCCCATTCCTATCGCTCCCGCTATCAGGGACTTCATCATCGACTTCGACACTCCTCTACACACAAATGAATGTAGCATGTCCCAGCATCCCATCGCGGTTCTCACACCCTCCAAGAACTGTTGCTCGCACCAGGATGCTCAACGAGCTGTCGAAAACCGCGCCCTCGAGCAACAAGGAGAAGAGCTCTTCCAAACGTCGCAAGTATACTTATCCTCCTGACCTCAATCTGCTTCCATCAGTACTTCGCCCGCACTGCCCAGCCAAACAGCGTCTACGTCTTTGGAAACCATCAGTATCGAGACCTATCCCAAACGCCCTCGCAACGGATGACATAACGCGCATTCAAGATGTTATGTGCCACGCTTGGGCTGAGAGCACACACGAGACCTATGGTTCCAGACTCCTGGTATATCATGTATATTGTGACTCTCGCTCGATCCCAGAAAAGGATCATGCACCCGCTGTAGAGATTCACGTTTCTCCAGGCTCATATGGGCCAAATTCATGGCTTTTCACGATGCACTCGATATTCTTGCAATGCTCTTCTCATACGACTTCCGCGCAACGCGTGCTTTGGCGCGTACCAGCGCATTCGAGTGCGTTCGAGTGTGTTCGAGCGCGTTACGATGCACTTCGTCGCATTTCCTTAGGATCCGTCGCCTGTCCTCCGCATGTCCCGTCCTAGTCCTCCAAGGTCCATTGGTGCATTTTCCCTTCTTCAGAACTCATACTCCGTCACGCAGGCACTAGTACTTACCATCATATCTCGTTATGGACCCTGACTTACCTCACCATTTACCTTAGTACTTCCTATTTGGCTCCAAGCCGTGGGAACTCGCTTAGCATACCTACACTGTCACCATGTTTGCTTTCCTGTCACTTACTTCCGCTCCACTACCATCGAAGTGTAAAGCTCGAGTTTCTATCTGAATACACCGGTTTTCCTTCCTATTGGCGCTTTGACACCTTTAAGTGTCTATTTCTACAGCTATCAAAGTCCTGATTCCCCCATTTGATTGTCATCTCTACTCGAAGCACTCCGTTGTGATCGCGCGAAGTGCGCTTTGACATTGAAGCGCGCTTTTCTGCACTTTCCACCTTATTAGCACGTTTAGGCACCTTTAGCTAGCGCACTTCGCTTTTGGGTGCATTATTTGCCTCAGAGTCCCATTTAGGCTTCGAGACCGAGCCGCTGGTTATAGATCCCCCTCACCTTTCACTAGAGAATCTTTCTCAGTAGCAATCCCCTTGGGACGACTTTCCACTCGTATCCAGAGGAGCACTTGAGAGCCCACTTCCCACTCTTCCCCCTAGCACGCAGCTATCATTCCTCGCCCTCACTGCATCTTCAATCCTTATCTCAACGTTCATTGCTGTAATAGCAGGCTCTTATTCCGGAAAAACAATCGCTAACTACGTATTTGGGGTCCGTGCATGGCACATCCTCCACAGACTAGAATGGGCCCTCAATGACATTCAAATCGAGACCCTTCTGAAAGCCTCTGAAAATGTCGCTCCTCCATCAGCAAAACGGAAGAAACGCCTCCCATACACCGTCAAGTTCATTTGTGCACTCCGCGACCATCTAGACCTCAACTTACCACTCAACGCATCGGTGTTCAGTTGCCTAACAACATCGTTCTATTGCATGGCTCGGGTCGGAGAGTTCACAGTCCCCACCCTTTCCTCCTTCAATCCAAACATCCATGTCAAACTCTCCGACATGCGCATCGAGCGAGACCGTAACAACCTAGAAATGAGAGTCTTTTGGGTTCCCCGCACCAAAACAACTAGAGAAGGAGAAGATGTATCCTTTGCTCGTCAGAATGGTCTGTCAGACCCAGACCATGCATTGCTCGAACACCTCCAAATCAACAAACCACCTCCCGGAGGAGCCCTGTTTGCTTACTGGCACAAGAAAGGACACCATCCTCTAACCAAACAGAAATTTATTGGACGCCTAGCTCAAGCAGCTAGAGCAGCAGGCATGGACCCCCTACAAGGCCACGGAATTCGCATAGGTTCGACTCTCGAATATTTGCTCTGCAGTGTCCCCTTCGAAGTCATCAAAACCAAAGGTCGATGGGCTAGTGACGCTTTCCAAGCATACCTGCGAAAACACGCGCAAATTTTAGCACCTTACATGCAAGCCGTGCCTAGCCTCCATGAGGAGTTCATTCGTTTTTCAATGCCCAGGACAAGCTAGATCCCTTCCATACTTCATGAGTCCCTTCCTCCTACTAGAGCGGGTGTCTTCAGCTTCGCTGCAATGCGTCATCCTGGACTCCTAGTATCTCGGGGAATTTGCAGCTCACCTCCTTGGGCAGATCTCCAATCGGGGCCGGTCAGCGCTGCACGCTGTTGCCCATTAGCTTAGCGCTTGCTTATTGTAGTACCTCATTGATAATAAAAATTTGTTCCTCAAATCATTCTCACCTAAAGCGATAGAGCAACACCCAAAGATTGTCACTCTATGACGAAGCGAGGCATGAGCGAAGTCTTAGAGTTTGGTCTTTGGCCGAGCAGGAAGAAGCCAGTCGCTTCTTGTTTCTGCTCCTCCACTAGCAAAGTCCTCATCAAGTCGCTTGTTGAGCTCTTTTCTTTTCCCCACCCACCACTCCCTTTTCGCTATCACCCACCAGAGCTCTGTGACAGCGTGCCTCGCATTACGCCAACCGCTCCTGTGGTCTCGATCAACATAATCTCCCTTCCAGAGTCACGCAAGGCTGGCCGCCCACCCTTGCAGCTCACCTCCTTGGGCAGATCTCCGATCGGGGCTGGTAAGCGCTGTGCGCTGTCGCCCATTAGCTTAGCGCTTGCTTATCATAGTACCTCATTGATAATAAAAATTTGTTCCTCAAATCATTCTCACCTAGAGCGATAGAGCGACACCCAAAGACCAGGGTTATAACTGAATAGGTTATAACTGGTGCGTCTTGATTTGAATTAACCACGAAATAACTGGGGTTAATGGGGTTAAAAACAGTTAATTACTTCAAAGTGCTAGCTACTCTGAGTTGTCAATAACGATTGAACTCGATGGACTATTTCCCATGCCTGATGACTCCCCTGGGACATTCCTACTAATACTTTTTTCATCCTTGGGCAGGCGTGACATTATCTCGTAGAATAAAGCCTCACTCTCCATGTTTTTCACACCCTGGAACCAAAACTCGTCCCATCCAACCTCAACAGACCAATTGAACATGCCGCGGATGTGAAACATTCTCTTCTGACTGAAGAAGCAACGAATTTGTCGCTGCCTGCTACTTTCTGAATCCTGAAATGCCTGAGATGTCATCCTCAACCTCAACTACTTGTCCTAACCCTGATATGTATTCCTTTTGCCATGATTTCAACCTTTCTGGCAATATAAGGGACATTATCGCATGCTGTTTGAGTCCGTTATACGGTATACATTAATCATTTATGTTACATGGCATCAATTGACAAAAACTCACCTTCCTGCGTCAAAATTGTGAAAGTTCCTGACAGCCTGCAGTATTCCGTGTGCAACAGCCTGTTGATCAGCATTTGCGAGATCTTTAGCCTTCACATTGACACAATATTTACAGCGTGCTTGCCAGTGCACTTTGTCAACCTTTGCAGTCCCCTGATGAAAATGATCCCGCAGCTAGGACTTCTCCCTACCCATCAGAGCGGCTTGGAGAGGTAATACAGTCCCAGGACGCTGGCACAGAGAGAATCGGAGAGATTGATGATAACGATTAAAAGTTTGGTGACCCCCAATTAACCCAATTAACTCCTAGTACATTAACCCTACTAACCCTCCCAAAATCACAGATCCATTTAACTAACCTCTTAACCGGTTATAACCGGGTTAAGTTAAGTTATAACTGATTTAATGGGTTAGTAACAACACTGGGCATTAGTATGTACTATCACTGGTGGGGTTTTTCAAAATGGGTATTGGGTTTCAAAATTCACTGATCATCATATCGCGAGCTACACACTGCACAAAAATATTCTGTGATTTTAGCCAGTGTTCTCTAGTGTCTATAGAATACAGCTGTGAAGATCCCATAGAAAACATCGAGCAGTTGTGTTCACAATAAATCATCCATTGACATATGTCACACCACTGAGCGTTAATGATTGTAATGCTACAATCTGTATACTTTTTCTTCAAACAGGAAAAAAACCAAGGGAAACCAATATCTGTCCCTATACAAATGATACTTACCACTGCGATTTCTATATCGCGATTGAGTGAGAGCAGAACCATGTTATCAGTGAAGTTATTGAAAGAGTGTATGCTGCACCATGACTATAGTGCAGCATCAATTATAATCTCCGCTCAAAAACTGTACATGAACACTTGTTCAGATATCGAGATTCAAAATTCTACCATTGCGGAGCTATAAAACTCCAGTGTGACATTGCTGTGACAAATTTTGAAACAGCTTAGCCAGTCCCTGCCAAACTGACATCGCACAACTGGATTCCTTCCGACTGCTCGAACATCATCGCAAAAAAATCAGATTTCACCTGGGTGTGATAGAGCACTGAAATTTCCCACAGGTTTGTCAAGAAGCAGAAAAAAAAACCTCTTGATGAGTGTGCTGCGCATCAAACATTGAAAACCTTTGAAAAACCCTGCCAGTGATAGTAGAGTCAAGCGTGTGCCAAATCCTTATCCACACTCGCAAAGTCACTATCAGTCGGCATCATCAAGATTCACACAAGTATTCCCAGTTCAGGCAAGTCAGGGCTTCCATATACAATGACTGCATTCTTTGTCACTAAACAATCTTTTGTATTTGTCACAACCCTTTTAATGAATTAACGCAGGGGCAGAGACTAGGACTCAAACAAAGGTATCACAACAGAAAAGAGAATATGAGCAGGGACGTCTTAGGATTGCTAGCAGTGAGCTAATACAAAAGAGGTTTGAACTAAAGAACTACTGACTACAACGAGCTACCTATATACATATATTGAAACAGGAGACTGAATCTGAGAATGAACTAACTAACCAATCATTAAATAGAAGAGAGAATCATATGATAATCTAAATATAACTACACCTATGATGTCATAAAACGTGTAACAGCTGTGCAAGGGTTCTCGAAGGTTCTAGAGTCACGTGACTTAATCGCTTGTGAAAGGAAGTCGAAATCAGGGATGTCAGGAGATAAAGGTAGTGGGCGCTAATGGAATAGAGAAGTTCGGATATGTAAAGGATGAATTCAGGGTTAGGGTTTGTGAAGGTTATAGGTACAGACGCTGACTGAGCGCTAACGACAGGCGCTTGTGACGGGCGCTTAACGGGTGTCTTACGAATGTCTTTGTAGGTTTCACGAGTGTTCAAGAAAGAATAGTGGTTTGTGTTTGGAATTCATGACAGTATTACATTCAAGTAGTCAGATTCCTCCACATACAATGTTATTTTTCGTTCCTCCGAAAGAGTGACTGCACAGTCACAGGCATCATCTCAAGACGTGATCAGTGCCACCTTTCTTCGCTTTCTCGGTCCTCCATGGGGTTTTGTTACCTGTCCCTTCCGAGGTCCTGACGTGTCTTGCTCGACATTGTTGCTGTCACTGAAATCTGTCCCACGCCAAGGTGATTGTTAATTAGGACCATTTCGAAAGTCTTGGGGAGCCAGCTACCTTGGTTTTTGGTAAATGTTCCTCTTGGAGGCACTTTTTTGCGGTTGCATGACAGCAGTAGCTAATGCAACTACTCTGAGAGGACCTTGTTTGTATTTTGAGGAGCATCCGGCTTGGCGGCAGTGGCCAGAACTTCTCTCCCATTACTAATGACTGGCTAGGTTGCTGGGAGTGGGTGGCTGGCAAGTGGGCTGGATGGGACGCATGAACTGAGCTGCACAGTTTCGGATCAATTGGCGTGCGCACCACTCAGGCTTACTAGTCGCTCGTTGAGCTAAAGGAGATGTGGTAACGCACAAGGTCGGACGATACCGCGCCATCGAAGGTACTTGTGCGATGTTAACAAGTCAGTGAGAATTGTACAGATGATTATGTAATCGAAGCTTGAATGTAATGGAACTTTCTAGTAGTGAACTGAGTAATGAAGCAAGGTTACAGGAAGTACATTTAAGTAGGACAAAAGACATGTTGCATATGAAGGAACCATGCTAAGTTGCATATGATGAAATGATGACAGTTGTTCGCCAGTTGGGGGTGGGGGTTTTGGCTGCGGGCTGAATTGGCTTTTGCCGGGTTTTCCAGACAAGTGCTATCCGTCGAAGTGAAGGTAGTGAGCTAAAAATAAGCCTGCACTAAGGGAAATGTCAGAGGAAAAGACGGACAGGGATAAGCAGACAAAACCCTCGAGTGTGAGGTAGCACTAAGTGAGGTTTTCAGAAAAACACGACACTACCCATGACGAGCCAAGGCTCACAAACAGGTCGTGTTGAAAACCCACGACCCCCCCAACTAGAGATCTTGCGAAGTATGATAAACTGGACAACATGCACATTTAATTAGCCGTAGTTGCGACGGTACATGTCCATGGAAGAATGTACAAGAGAGACACGCGAACTATTGAAGGAATTAATGATAAAAAGAGGCAGGATCGAACTCGATACAGCGCCAGTACTCTAAGAATGCTCTGGATTTCCAGCGGCCTTGCGCTGCTACAATGTCTGGAGGTGTACCTCATAGCAGGAGCTCAGTTGCGCCTCCAATGCGAAAGCAGTGCCCCGTAAGCTGCGGTAGACCTGCGGATGCCCAAACATTGTTGCAACGAGTGATGAACCATGTACGGGTCATAGGTGACCAGCCGTCGGGTGTTTCGAATGCGAAGAAGGGTGCGTGTGAAGGGATAGAAGAATTTGCAGAGAAATGATGAACAAGAGCGTCGAAAGGATTGGTTGGGTCGTCTAACTTCATAGCGATTATGTCCATGCCTTCTCTGTGCGTGGTCTTCGTCCACGGTATGTGGAAAACCGAAAACATGATGCCGTTGGCCACCATGTTGCAACTGACGTGAGAAGAGTGCGACACGTGTCGAGATGAATCAAAAACATTGACGGAAGGAACAACAAGTTCGCCTAACCTGTTGAACCATTAGAAATGAGGAGTATGTGGTGGGTTAATGATTACCTGCAACAACACCAAAAGGCTACGGATGCCATGCAATAGACAGTGGAATCAAACGAATTCGACAGATCAAGAATACGAAAGAGAGCATGCATGTGATCGATGGTTACAGGGGGTCGGCGAACATGTTTCGAAGAATCTGGGACGACCTTGGAGAGACCTGTTTTTAATCAACGAAGAAGAGAGTCACTGTGCCAAGGTGCGTTGTTGAATTGGTGCCAAAAATGCAGACCTGCCAACCAGTTGTCTGCTGTCGTGACGGCAACTTTGCCCGCCCAATGCGCTATAAATGCTGCAAGAAGGATTTCAGAAGCTGGCATACGTTTTTCTTCAGCGATTGAAAGCGAGTCGCAGAACTGGTGGAAATGAAGCAAGCCGGATCCACAGTTTTCGCGAGTTTTTGGTTCAACGGATAAGAGTAGCACGTCAAGAAGATGTAGAGCAGAGTCATGGGAGAGTTCGTCAAGAAGGGCAAGATGGAAGGAGTTTGCGTGAGGAGCAGACCAGAGGCGAATGCGATCACGGGAAAGAATGTGCGGGCGGAACGCTGAAGATGTGATATTACAACCGGGTTTTGGTTTTCTAGGCTTAGCAGCCTTGTGTACAGGACTGTGTGACACTCCGATTCCTGGATGCTGTACCAAAGCGTTTCGGAACTGGAACAGATCTGTCACCGCATCAGAAACACCTGACGATGTGGGTGGTATGTTAGACATAAGGTGAAATGAAGTCCGTCAACTCTGTGGGGAGTTGGATGTGGGGGAGCCGCGAGCTATGTGATCCGACTTCGCCGCGTGAAATCGGGTCTGCTTTGTTAGCTACTGACTCCGTGTACGAAAGGCAATGAAGAATGTTGGAGCTCATTGCGATGACCTCTGACCTTCGTATACAGAGATTGACCTGGAAGTTTCTGCTTCGTCCTTGTTTGAATGATCTGATAACACCTTGGTTGTCTGAATGTATAATAACGGCACAGTTGCGCCACCCTGCTGTGAAAAGGGTAAGAATGGCTAACTCGACCGCAATCGCTTCGAGCCAGCCTATGTCGTGCCCTTGTCCTTTCCAACCGTTGACAAGCGACCACGCATTCCATTTACCCCCAAAGAACAAACCCACGCCCCAATCTGTGGACGCGTCGACCCATAAGTCAATATCCTGAGGTGAGCCACGTGGGATAAGAGGTCGAGGCGATGGTACTGTCAACAAGGTGGCCTGCCACCATTCGAGGTCTGAGATCACCGAAGGTGCTGGGTGGCGTGAGGCATGTCTGGATGAGGTTGAAAAGCCTGCGATGAAGTGCGATAGGTTGGCAAGATATGATCTGCCGTGAGGTATGACGAAGGAGACGTGTGAGAGGGTGCCATTGATACTCATGGCGTTGAAGTATGACAGTTTCCTTGGTCGACCAGCTGAAGGCTTAAGTGTGTGAAGAACATCTCCTAATTTCTTAAGGTACTTCAAGCATTTAGGTTCCGGAAGGGTTACTGAACGGTCAGTGAGATTCCAGAGGAAACCCAGGTAGATGAACAGAAAAGCGAAGTCGGTCCATTTCGTTGGGTGCCAGGGCACGCCAAGTGGGCAAGACTTTTCATAAATCTGAATAAGACCAAATAAGTATTTATAAGGTGCCCTAGAGCCGTCTGGAAGGGTTTCCCCACCTCCGGAAGGGAAATGGAAGATGGAATGGTCATCCACCCATTTCTTTATGGGTGAAATGTCCAGGTTAGCAAGAATGTCAACATTAGCATCAGCGACGTGTCCTTGAACGCCGCCTGCTGTCGTAAGACCGAATGGAAAGGTATGATCGATCCAGAAACGGTCTTCAAAGCTCACCACCAGGAACCTCTTGTGTTGAGGCCACACTGGTATTGTACAGTAGGCCGCTTCAATGTCTAGTGTAGCAGCCTGTGTGCCTGGTGGGGATGAAGACACCTGAAGGAAGTTTAGATGGATGTAAAAGGTGTGTGCAGACGTCTGCATGAAATGCGAAGGGCGGCACAGAAGATGCGGCAAAAAGGGCAGAAGATGCAATGAAGGCGCAGAAGGTGCACAAATGCAAAAGATGCGCAATATTTTGCGAAGGGCACTAAGCACAAAGTGTGCGTTGAATGAAAGAAGCGCCTGTATGCGCTATTGAAAAAGAGAATAGGTACTTACTATCTCGGCGACTTGAAATGCAGTGCCCCATTCCATGGGGAAGTCATCAGCGTCTAAGAAAGAGTTAACCGAATATCCGTCTTCCTTGTTGATGTATGAGAGGTCTCTGATGATTCGGAACTTCCCAGGTTCTCCTGCCTTTTCGACAAGGCCCAGAGGGGAAGAAACGAAGTTGCTGCCGAGCTCTTGTTCAACCTGCGCTCTAGAAAAAGGTCCAGACATTCGACCGAGTGTGCACTCTTCTGCGAGGTAGTTGCGGATGACATCCAGGTGCTCAAGCGCGGATTTGTGATTGGGTGGTGTGTATGTACGTGTGAGGGGTAGAATATTGCCGATTGGAAAGCTGTTGCAAAGGTTGAAAATGAGATTAGGATATTTTTCTGTTAAGCTGAAACGGTCAAGATAGTCCTCATATGCATTGGCACTGTATGGTGTGATGATGCAGTCAACTATCCTCAGCATGAGCGGGTGGCTGCATGGTGAGAGGTGCTTCCGCAAACTGAGCAGGCGTGAATGAATTCGGGTCCGTGCTTGGTGGTGTTGCACTTTCCGATGTTGAAGGAGATGCACACGATTGACGAATTTGCCTTGGACAGGATTTTGTCTCTCCAGTGGCATATGACAGGCTCGTTTTTGTAAGTGTGTGTCTGGGTGCACTCACTGGCCTTGTGTCCAGTCCGACCACAGAGTAGGCAAAGGGGACCGTTGGTGAGTGCCCCTTTGCCCTTTCGAAAGGGCTTGCCGTCTGTGCTGGAGACAGCACCTTCGGACTTTGGTTTAGCTGCAGGGTAAGGTTGGTACCTGTTGCTGCTGCTTGATCCTTCGAGACGAGCAGCTAAAGCCACAACCCTATTGGCCTCACAAATTGCGGATGCGGAGGCCTCATCAGCCTTCTTCTGGGAAATTCTAGTGATGGTGTCGTTCCAACGCCGTTCGTACGCCGCCTCAGTTAAGAACCCTTTGGTATTAAAGAACATCCGCCAGGTCTCTATATCGAAGGCGAGGATCGCCTCGTAGTTGTCAATGAATGGCTTACGCGAAAGGCAGAACTTGCGGTGTCATTTGAAACGCTCTATAATAGCTGGGCCGGCAATGTGCTCCAGGATTTGCATGAAGTTTTCAGTTGCCTCGTGAAAGTCTGCAGGTTGGAGAGTGGTTTCTGCCGGGAAACCAGACGCATCCAAAACTAACTTCTTTGGGTCATCTAGGATCATCCCTTTGCACATTTTGATGCAGGAAGGGTCAGTGTGGATCTTCTCAAAGGCTGATGGCGTCAACAGGGTGAGAGGCACGTGAATGTGTGACTTGGCCAAGTCTATAATTACTCGTGGAATTTCAAATGTGTCGTCGAAGGACGTGAAGAACTTTACTTCCCCGTCGTCAAATGCGTATGCTGGCATAACCACTGATGCATCAGAAACCGGTTGCGGCTGGACAGAAGAGGAAGATGCGGTGATTACGCTTGACACGAGGGCTTCGAATCCAGCGCGTGAACCTGGGGTGAGTGCATTATAGCCTCTGAAAAGACTGATCATAGGCGTGTCCGTGTTGACAGGACATGGATTAGGTAATTCTCGACGTTCCTCTGCAGGAATGATGAAGAGATCCTCATCGTCCTCGACGGCGTCTGTCATCATGGCCCGACGATCAGCCCGAGCCTCGTTACGTTTGGCCCGTGCCTCGTTCTCGACAATAATGTCGTTACGAGATGCCTGAGTTACGCGACTACCAGACGCGCCAATCACTCCCGCGATTCTGGACGCGTCTGCGTCACTAACTCTAAGGTTCTGGTTTAGAGCCAACGTATCTTTACCCCCCGACTCCCTGAGGGAGACCAGAAGTCTGAAAATTAGTCATTAGGTGGTATCTAACTTGTATAAAGACTATATGCGCAGAGTTCTCGAATAAGCGAAATGCTGCAAGCAAACACGAAGGAAGATGACAAGAAGGACGCGTGTCGCCGACACGCGTACGTACGCGTTTGCTTGCTTAGTAAGCACTAGTTTGATCTATTTGCTCGCAGGCTCGCATAAGGATCAAACTGCACCCTGGCTAGATCACGAGCTGAAGGGGGAGTGAGCTTGGTGACATGTTAAAACTGACGACGACGTATCATGATGAGGATGGGGAAGTGAACTACACCAACTCGATCTAGTTCTGAGGTTCGAGTTGAAACAAATTGGTCATTTTCGAAGCGAGCCGAGCTCAACTCAGTCTTACCTCGTGTTAATACTGGCTAATATAGATTATCCACCGAAGCTTCAGCCTTAGCCTAGGACCAGCAAGACATTTCAGGCCCCGTGAACATGCAAAGCTGCAGAACGAGATGTGGAATATCGAGTTAACGTTCAGTGTGTCCACAAAACTCGCGGAAGCAGATGATTCCCTGTGCGAACTCTAAGAATCATATTGCACAACTCCTGAGTGTACTATACAAATTACAACGCATGCTAAGTGTGTGATCCCCGCGTGTTTCTCCAGTCTCACCATCATGAGCTTAGTAATTAGCGTCTTGTTCAACGAGCCCATGGGCAGTTGCAGAGCGAGGCTTGATGGAGCACTTGAAGAGTTTGGGGTGGCTTGGAGTGTGTCAATCCAGACCAGCACCGGACGTGACAAGATATGCGACATACCTGACCGTACCTTGCAAGGGTTCAACCTCGGGGGTGATCTCAACACCATTCTCGACAACCTTTGAAATATCAAACACGGCCAATGTCATCACAGTGGATATCCAAATGGAAGCATCAGCAAGGTGGAGACCTGTACATCAAAAGCAAGCAAATATCAGAATACTGTTAATTAACTGATGCGAGTTGGACACACCTGGGCAAATACTGTGGAGCAGAAAGTTAGCATTCCGATCAAGTTCAGAACCAACTTTATAATTACCGTCTACCAAAGCCGAAGCACATTGTGCGGGGCTCCATCTCAGGTTCCTTTCCATTCTTAGCCAAGAAGCGTTCAGGATTGAATTGCTCGGGATTAGCATATGTCCGTGGATTGTTGAGCATGAACCTGTCGTAATCTAGATCATTACATTCTGTTCATCAATCGAAGGGGAGCACCAACCAAATGTTAGGCATCACTAAGGAGCCTTTTGGAATATAGTACCCATCATGGATATCGTCCTCACTTACACAGTGGGGAAAACCTGCCATTGAGATACCCGAGGTCAAATAAATAATGTCATGAACGATATCCCCATACCGGTGGGAACGACAACGTTCCAGCGGAGAACTTCTTTGACAAGCGCCTCAGCGTAGGGGAGGGAGTCGCGGTCGGCGAAGGTGGGAAGACGATCAGGACCGACAACCGCATCTATCTCAGCCTGGGCTTTCTTCTGCACATCAGGAAAAAGCGTCATAGCCAGAAAAAGCGAATATATTGCAGAAACAGTCTGAGGAAATAAGTTTGGTACTCTCAGAAGATGTCGATTAATGGATGTAGGGAGGGACTAACCGTGTCGGAACCACCGGCGTACAGGTTAAAAGCAGACCACTTCACGGCATGGTCTTCTTCCGCAGACACATCACTGCCTTGTAAGAGATTCGAGGTCAATGACACAGGGGCGGTGCCAGCAACCTGCAAATTTTGATCTTCAATGCATGATCGCCAAACTGCAAAACTGTAAAACGGTCACCATCTGATCCTTCACGAACTTGTGGGGTGCAGACACCATCTCTTCGAGGGTCTCACGCCATTCACGTGCCAAGTGCTTGAAGCCAGCACCGGGGAACCACGCAGGGACCTTTGCCACTGAAATAGTAAGGTCATCGGAAGCAAACGCAAACGGCGGAATAACATAGCTTACAGAATGGTAGAATGTCAACCATAAAGGCACCGGGAGCCGTGGCCTGCGAGGCATTGGCTACAACGCGCTCTGCAAGGTCAATGAAGGGATCATTGTTCTCTTTCACTTCGTAACCATGAGAGAGGCGCAAAATGATTGCGCCAGTGGTGCTATAGTAAAAATTCAAGATCATATCTTTTCGAGGATACATAATACATACTGTCGGACATGTTCCTGCAGTTGGTCGGGATTCGCAAGCAAACGCTTCAGGAATCGACGAGTCTCAACCTCCTCGATCTCGTTGTATACGTCCACTGCGGTGCGACTGCCGATGACGCGATGTAAGTTCTTACGTTGCCGGCGAAAACGGTCACCATAAGGAAGGAAAGCTACACAGTCCTTGAATCCAGCAAGTTCGCCAGCCATAGGAAGAACAGGACGGTCAGAATACAAAGTGCTTTTACTGTCCATCATTTCCAATGCAGTCTTGACAGAGTTTAACACAATTATGTGCCGACCCAGAACCTCGATATGCGTGATATCACCTACAGATGAGACTTATGAAAATGCATGATTTTGAAAAAAGGAAGACACTCACCGTACTTCTGACCCCACTCAGTAAATGTAAGCCAGGGCTTGATGCGAGGCATATCTAAAACATTGCCAATGAGAGGCCATCCCCGGGGACCAGGTGGATATGGTGCAGGATTCTTCTTGATGACCACCTGCTTTACCAGATAGTAGAGTCCGACACCGGTAAGGCATAATAAGTCCAACCAAGCAACATCGGTGATTGTCAACATGGTCTACTACTAGCAGAGGATGAGGAACTCAACGGGGATGCAGACCGAATTGACCAGATAAATAGATATCTTGTACTTAATTCATTGGAAGGACACGTCACACGGGAGTTCTGTTGGAAATTAGGGGTTCGCTGTGCGAACTTATGACCTGGCGGCCAAGAGGTACCCGCGAGTCGGGAGGAAGTGTACGTGAGGCCGGATGAGCGGCGATCATGTATCCCCGAACACCCTGGGCATAGTACAGACGAGCATATACAACTTTTAGATTTTAAAAAATCATTTTGTCTTCTGAGAGCTGGTGCCACTGCTGCACATGATGCTGTAGAACCAATCTGCCTCAGGAGCATCAAGCAAACCAAAATGAAACCATCGAAAACTAAATCAGCCGCGGTGATAGAAGCATGGTGAAACAAGACAAGCATACATTGATTGATTTGCAGCTATCAAAGCTGCATTGGACCATTTCTCCAGATTTCGGCCCTCGACACCAACAACTTATTTCATGTTGTGGGTCCAGGGTCATCAAGCTGAGTGTCTGCATTTGGAATAACATGATTCTTCATTTGAAGCGAGCTAAGACATGCTGCCGAGGTGATGGTCAGACGAAGTTTTGGTGCAGAAGGTATGACTAATAACTATCACTCGCATCAGACAGGCTGATTCAGAGTCCTAGTCAGGGCCGATAGACCGTGACACGATTAGATCGTGCCACATGGTGGACAACGGAGCGGACAATTATTCCTCCACCTCATCGTCAATGATACCAGACTGGAAATTGGATTTGGGCCATTTCCCAAGCCTGCGGTACCTCTTGGACCTTGCTTCTTTTTTTTTCGCTGGGAACTTGTCGCTCTAGTCACTAAGCCAGGTGCTTGCATAAACCAAATTTTATCGACGGGTCGCCTCATAGACGGACTGGTCCTGGAGTTACTGCATGGCACGCACCCGAGTATGCGAGACAGAAATCAATTTGCATCAGTAAATTCACGCATTCCTTAGCACGACTTATTTCGAAAATTAAATGACTTATTTTAACACTATTGTATTGCCGCGGTCTTCTCAACCTCCAGAGCACACTGTGCTCTGATTCACCACCATCAGCAAGGATCTGGGGGAGCTCATTGTCAAATTTGTTCGCTATTGTTCGGAGGGAGAGTAGGACTCGAAGGGGCTCGATAAAGGTGTGAAGCTAGTCCTTTGCAATATTTGGAGGTGCTCGGACGCAGAGAAGACTCGAGGGAACAAAAGATAGAGGCGGTGTGATTTGCTGTTGAAATCTTGCGAGTGAAGATGGTAGTTGGAGTAGGACACGCATGATGCATGGGGGGCCGAGCCATAGGAAGTGCACTGTGAAGGTATCAGTGCCGTTTCAATAGCCGAGTGACTATCTAGAAGGTTCCAAATCCTTTTAAATGTTGGAGGGAAGCTGCCAATTGCAATTAGAGATAATGATATTAGCTATTCACAGGCCTGGGGGATCATGCGTCATGATGTACGGAAGTGAACTACACTAACTTGATGAATTTGGATCGCGAGTCCGACGAATTACAACTCGATTTTTAGTTCTGAGGTTCGAGTTGAAACGAATTTGGTCATTTTTTGAAGGGAGCCAGTGACTCAGTCTCACCTCGACAACAATATTAGTAATACACGGTACTAATCAGTACTTCATGTTAATACCGGCTAATATGTATCATCCACCGAAGCTTCAAACCTTAGCCCCAGGACCAGCAGGGCATTTCAGGCCTCGTGAACATGCAAAGATCGGCGGCTGCTGGACGAGCTGAAGTGGAATATCGAAGTTAATATTATGAGTACGTGGTCTCGTGAACGTTCAGTGCGTCCACAAAACTTCCGCGGAAGTAAAAGATTCCCTGTGCGAACTCCAAGAATCATATTGAACAACTCCCGAGGGTAACAAATTACAACACATGCTAAGTGTGTTATCCCCGGCGGTTCTCCCGGCCTCACCATCGTGAACTTAGTAGTTAACGTCTTGTTCAATGAGCCTAAGGGCAGTTGCAGAGCGAGGTCTGATAGAGCACTTGAAGGGTTTGGGGTGGCTTGAAGTGTGTTAATCCAAACCAGCGCCGAACGTGACAAGAGGTGCGACATACCTCGCTGAACCTGGTAATGAATCAACCTCAGGTGTGATCTCAACGCCATGCTCGACAACCTTGGAAATGTCAAATACGGCCAGTGACATCGCAGTAGATATCCAGATGGAGGCATCAGCGAGGTGGAGGCCTGTCAATAAAAAGTTAGCGGCTTGTCTGTCAACTGACGTGAGTCGGGCACACCTGGGCAAATACTATAGAGCAAGTTAGCATTCTGCTCAAAACCCACTGTGTATATGCTTACCGTCTACCGAATCCGAAGCAGACTGTGCGAGGCTCCATTTCAGGTTCTTTTCCATCTTTAGCCAAGAAACGTTCAGGGTTGAATTGCGTGGGGTTAGCATATGTCCGTGGATCGTTGAGCATGAACCTGTCGCAATTATGAACATTACATTCTGTTCATCATTCGAAGGGGAATACTAACCAAACGTTAGGCATTACTAAGGAACCTTTTGGAATATAGTATCCATCGTGGATATCGTCCTCAGTCACACGGTGGGGGAAACCTGTCATTGAGATACCGGTCATCAAATAGTAGTGTTATGAACGAGATCCCAATACCTGTAGGAGTGACAACGTTCCAGCGGAGGATTTCTTTGACAAGGGCATCAATATAGGGGAGGGAAGTCACGGTCGGCGAAGGTGGGAAGACGATCAAAACCGACAACTGCATCTATTTCAGCCTGAGCTTTCTTCTGCACTTCAGGGAAAAGTGTCATGGCTAGAAAAAGCGAGTATAATGCAGAAACAGTCTGAGGAAATAGGTTTGGTACTCTCAGAAGATGTTGTAGGGAAGAACTAACCGTGTCGGAACCACCGCCGTACAGGGAAAGAGCAGACCATTTCACAGCGTGGTCCTCTTCCGCAGAGATATCACAGCCTTCCAGGAGATTAGAGGTGAAAGACACGGGGGCGACGCCATCAGCCTGTAAATTTAAACTTCAATACATGATCGCAGAACTGCAAACAAGTCACCATTTGATCCTTGACGAACTTGTGGGGTGCAGACACCATCTCTTCGAGGGTCTCACGCCATTCACGTGCTAAGTGCTTGAAGCCAGCACCGGGGAACCACGCAGGGACCTTTGCCACTGAAATAGTAAAGTCATCGGAAGCAAACGCAAACGTTGGAATAATTTAGCTTACAGAATGGTAAAATGTCAACCATGAAGGCACCGGGAGCTGTAGCCTGCGAGACATTGGTTACGGCGCGATTTGCAAGGCTAACGAAGGGATCATTGTTCTCTTTCACTTCGTAACCATGAGAGATGCGCAGAATGACAGCGCCAACAGTGCTACAGCAAAAATTCAAGATCATGCCATTGCGAGGATAAATAATACATACTGTCGGACATGCTCCTGCAGTTGGTCGGGTTTCGCAAGCACACGCTTCAGGAACCGGTGAGTCTCAATCTCCTCGATCACGTTGTATACGTCCACTGCAGCGCGGGTGCCAATGGCCCGATGGAAGTTCCTACGGTAACGGCGAAAACGGTCACCATAAGGAAGGAAAGGCAAAGATTCCTTCCAGCCAACAAGTTCGCCAGCCATAGGAAGAACAGGACGGTCAGAGTATAAAGTGCTTTTACTGTCCAGCATATCCATCGCAGTCTTGACAGAGTTCAACACAACGATATGCCGGCCCAGAACCTCGATATGCGTGATACCACCTACAGAAAAGACTTCTGAAAATGCATGATTTTGGAAGAAGGGAGGCACTCACCATACTTCTGACCCCACTCAGTAAATGCGAGCCAGGGCTTGATGCGAGGCATATCTAAAACATTGCCAATGAGAGGCCACCCCCGGGGACCAGGTGGATATGGTGTAGGATTCTTCTTGATGACCACCTGCTTTACCAGATAGAGTCCGACACCGGTAAGGCATAGTAAGTCCAGCCAAGTAATGTTAGTGATTGTCAACATGGTCTATCACTAGCAGAAGATGAGGAACTCAAGAACGGGGATGTAGAGGATATCAATATCTCATATTTAACACATTGGAAGGACACGAATAGTGGTTACCGGTGCCCCCATTCCAACTCGGTCCGAGCCTTGTTCGGTTCGGGCAATGTATTTATGATATCGCCCCATCATATCCATTCGCTCTTAGTAGAGCTCCAAGGAATCACGTACTCAATCTCGGGCCAATACACTGTAAAATAACCGACACAATCTCGGATGCAGCAAGACCGGTGCTCATTATTCAATGCGACACAAGTGAGTCACTGTTAACGGCCCCTCATATGCGGGCCATGAATGCATTCAGAAAGCACCTCGATAGTCAGTGTACAAAATAACCTGTGGACTAAATCTCAACGCACAGACCGACTGATTTTGGTTAATGGATTCAGCGGCGTGATGGCTGAGTACTGCCACATTGCTCGCAAAACCTCCTCTCCATCAAAACTATTGAAATACACGCTCATTTTCTATTTCCTGTGCGAGGGACACGGAGAGCGAGCGAGCACATGCAGTGGTATTTCCAATGTGCGGTCCTGTGGCGGTAGTTGACAATGAATGATGAGATGAGGGTTGGGGTAGGATACGTATCTCTGTAGATGATCCAGGAAAGGGGAACATAGACGGCTGGAGAGCTGGGAAAAGGTTTGGAACAGAGGAGAGATTAATTGCTGTGAGAGCTTTGAAAACAATATGAACCTAGAACGATCATCCAGTCTTGTTATAATTACGGATGCACGTGAGGCAGAGCCTGGTTCAAGGAGGACGACTCTGAGATACCCGATCTGGGTGAAGGTATGCGCAGACACTGTAGTAGGCACAGGTGACGGAGCTTGAAGTCGGTGGGCGTCTAATCTGCTGCGGCAACTGCCGCGACCACTGGAACCTCCCATTGCTCACTGCTTGTCCTCCAAACCTCGGAGCCATGGAGTCGAGCGTGTGCCGAATCCTTATCCACACTCGCATTTAAAGTCACTATCTGCAGGCGGCATCATCAAGATTCACACAAGTATTTCCGGTCCGGGCAAGTCAGGTCTTCCATATACAACGACTGCCTTCTTTGTCACTAAACAATCTTTTGTATTACATTGTAGTCAGATTCCTCCACACACAATGTGATTTTTCTTTCCTCCGCACGAGTGACTGCGCAGTCGCGAGTATCATCTCAAGACGTGATCAGCCTTTCTCGGTCCTCCATGGGGTTTTGTTACCCGTCCCTTCCGAGGTCCTGACGTGTCTTGCTCGACATTGTCGCTGTCACTGAAATCTGGCCCGCGCTAAGGTGATTGTTAACTAGGACCGTTTCGAAAGTCTTGTGGAGGCAGCTACCTTGGTTTGTGGTAAACGTTCCTCTTGAATACGCTTTTTTGCGATTGAAGACAACAGCAGTTGATGCAGCTACTCTAAGAAGGACTATATTTGTATTTTGAGGAGCATCCGGCTTGGCGGCGGTGGCCAGAACTTCTCGCTCGCCCATTACCAATGACTGGCTGGGTTGCTGGGAGTGGGTTGTGGGCTGGATGGGATGCATAAACTGAGCTGCACTGTCTCGAATCGATTGGCGTGTGCATCGCTGAGCCTGCCTAGATCACGAGCTGAAGGGGGAGTGAGCTTGGCGGCATGTTAAAATTGACGACGACGTATCATGATGAGGAAAGTGAACTACACCAACTCGATCTAGTTCTGAGCCTCTGAGGTTCGAGTTGACACAGATTTGGTCATTTTCGAGGCGAGCCGAGTTGAACTCAATCTTACTTCGTGTTAATACTGGTTATTATATATTATTTCAACCTTGGTCTAGGACCAGCAAGGCATTTCAGGCCTCTTGAACATGCAAAGCTGCAGAACGAGCTGATGTGGAATATTGGGGTTGATATTCAGTGTGTCCACAAAACCCGCAGAAGCAAATGATTCCCTGTGCGAACTCTAAGATATTGCAAAACTCTTGAGTGTGCTATACAAATTACAACGCATGCTAAGTGTGTAATCCCCGCGTGTTTCTCCGGTCTCACCATCGTGAGCTCAGTAGTTGGCATCTTGTTCAATGAGCCCAAGGGCAGTTGCAGAGCGAGGCTTGATAGAACACTTGAAGGGTTTGGGGTGGCTTGGAGTGTGTCCATTCAGACCAGCGTCGGACGTGACAAGATATACGACATACCTGGCCGTACCTGGTAAGGGTTCAATTTCGGGGGTGATCTCAATACCATTCTCGACAACCTTTGAAATATCAAACACGGCCAGTGACATCGCAGTGGATATCCACATGGAGGCATCAGCAAGGTGGAGACCTATACATCGAACGCAAGCAAATGTCAGAACACTATTAGTTAATTGATGTGAGTTGGACACACCTGGGCAAATACTGCGGAGTAGAACGTTAGCATTCCGATCAGATACAGAACCAACTAATTATGCTTACCGTCTACCAAAGCCAAAGCAGACTGTGCGAGGTTCCATCTCAGGTTCTTTTCCATCCTTAGCTAGGAAGCGTTCAGGGTTGAATTGCGAGGGGTTAGCATATCTCCGTGGGTCGTTAAGCATGAACCTGTCGCAATTAAGATCATTCTGTTCATCAAATAAATACGGAAACAGGGGAGCACTAACCAGACATTGGGTATCACTAAGGAGCCTTTTGGAATATAGTGCCCATCATGGATATCGTCCTCAGTCACACAGTGGGGGAAACCTGCCAGTGAGATACGCGTTGGCAAATACATAATGTCATGAACAAGATCCACATACCGGTAGGAAAGACAACGTTCCAGCGCAGGACTTCCTTGACAAGCGCATCAGTATAGGGGAGGGAGTCGCGGTCGGCGAAGGTGGGAAGACGATCAGGACCGACAACCGAATCAATTTCAGCCTGAGCTTTCTTCTGCACATCAGGGTAAAGTGTCATAGCTAGAAAGAGCGAGTATATTGCAGAAACAGTCTGAGGAAATAGGTTTGGTACTCTCAGAAGATGTTGTAGGGAGAGACTAACCGTCTCAGAACCACCGCTGTACAGGGAAAAAGAAGACCATTTCACGGCGTTGTCCTCTTCCGCAGACACATCACTGCTTCCCAAGAGATTCGAGGTAAAAGACATAGGGGCGATGCCAGCAACCTGTAAAATTTGAATTTCGATGCACGATCGCAAACTGCAAATTGGTCACCATCTGGTCCTTGACGAGCTCGTGGGGTGCAGAAACCATCTCTTTGAGGGTCTCTCGCCATTCCCGTGCTAAGCGTTTGAAGCCAGCACCGGGGAGCCATGCGGGGACCTTTGCCACTAAAATTTTCAGGTCATCGGAAGCCAACGCAAACGTCAGAATAATATAGCTTACAGAATGGTAAGATATCAACCATATATGCACCGGGAGCAGTGGCCTGCGAGCCATGGGTTGTAACGAGGTTTGCAAGGTCAATGAAGGGATCATCGTTCTCTTTCACTTCATAACCATAAGTGATGCGCAGAATGACAGCGCCAGCAGTGCTATAGCCAAAATTCAAGATCATGTCATTGCGAGGATAAACGATACATACTGTCGGACATGCTCCTGCAGTTGGTCGGGTTTCGCAAGCACACGCTTCAGGAACCGGTGAGTCTCGACCTCCTCAATCTCATTGTATACGTCTACTGCGGCGCGACTGCCGATGACTCGATGGAAGTTCCTGCGGTACCGACGAAAACGGTCACCATAAGGAAGGAAAGGTAAAGAGTCCTTCCAGCCAACAAGTTCGCCAGCCATAGGAAGAACAGGACGGTCAGAGTATAAAGTGCTTTTACTGTCCATCATCTCCATCGCAGTCTTGACAGAGTTCAGCACAACGATATGCCGGCCCAGGACCTCGATATGTGTAATATCACCTGCAGAAATGACTTCTGAAAATGTATGACTTCTGAAGAAGGGAAGCACTTACCATACTTCCGACCCCATTTAGTAAATGTGAGCCAGGGCTTGATGCGAGGCATATCTAAAACATTGCCAATGAGAGGCCACCCCCGGGGACCAGGTGGATATGGTGTAGGATTCTTCTTGATGACCACCTGCTTTACCAGATAGAGTCCGACACCGGTAAGGCATAGTAAGTCCAGCCAAGTAATGTTAGTGATTGTCAACATGATCTACTACTATCAGAGGATGAGCAACTCAAAAATCAAAAACAGGGATGAAGAGCGAATTGATCAAATAAGAGGATATCGCTCGTATTTAACAGGAAGGACATATTCCAACTCAGTCCGAGCCTTCTTCGGTTCGGACAATGTCAGTCCCGTCAGTATTTCTGATATCGCCGCATAATAATATCCATTCGCTTGCGGGGCTCCAAGGAATCACATTTCGGGCCGACACGATCTCGGAAGTAGCAAAACCGGTGTACGTTATTCAACAGGACACGAGTCACTGTTAACAGCAAAACGCCCCCTCTTAGGCAGACCACGAATGCGTTCAGAAAGCATCTCGATAGTCAGTGTACTAAATAGCTTGTGAACTAAATTTCAACGCACAGACTAACTTCGGTTAATAGATTCAGCAGCGTGGTGGCTGAGTACTGCCACAGTGCTCGAAAAACCTCCTCTCCATCAGAATTATTGAAATACGCGCTCCTATTTTATTTCAGGCGAGCGACACGGCGAACGAGCGAACGCGTGCAGTGGTATTTGCAATGCGCGGTCCTGCGGCGGTAGTCAACGATGGTTGGAACGGAAGAGGGATTGGTCTGGGAGCTTTGATATGAACCTATAGCTAGAACGATCAGACTTGTTACGGATGCACGTGAGGCAGGGTTTCACCTCGTAAAACTTCTGCATTCAATCATGTTCGTTCTTATATGGCAAGTTCTGTGTGTAGTTTCAGTGCGAGATGTATCGATGAGGGACACTAGCTGCCAAATTGAGAGTTTGTCCAATGAAGGATTCGAGACGCTCAACAGAGGACGGTGTAATGAACTTTGGTTTCTCTCACTGAGGCGTGCTAGTATTTGTCCTCTCATACCCCAGAGCACACCACATCACTCTAATTCACCACCACCAGCAAGGATCTGGGAGAGCTCGTTGTCAAATTTGTTCGCTATTGAAGGAGGGGCTCGATAAAGGCGTGAAGCTGGTCTTCTGCAATATCTGGAGGTGCTCGGATGCGGGCGGTGTGATTGACAAATCTTGCGAGTGAAGATAGTAGTCGAAGTAGGACACACATGAGGGGCCGAGCCATAGGAAGTGAAGGTATTAGTGCGCTAGACAGATGGGATCTGATGTATCGTGGTCTTTTCTTGGGCAGCGGTCCAATTCAGCAGTACTAGTGAGGCTGGTGTATGCAAAACAAGGCGTTGCTGAATGGACTCGAAGTAGAATTCGGATTCGACAGGATAATTGATTTGGCGGACTTGACCGTCACATATACACGCTCGCATCAGTTTGTAAGCGAGAGCGCACGCGTTTTGAAGGAAGTGCAAGTTTGACGTCGTGTAGCGTTGAACGTTGAACTTTGAACAACAAATGATAGGCTTGGTTCTTCTCACGTTTAAATGCGTCCTATCCTTGATCAAACAAGAAAAAGCCTCTTATATGGCACTATGGCCGAGTGGTTAAGGCGAGAGATTCGAATCACAGATATCTCTTACGGTTCCCGTGCGCAGGTTCAAATCCTGCTGGTGTCGCTTTTTGTGCTTGCAACCACTATAAATCCTTTTATCTTGGTATTCCTGAATCTTGGAAATTGGTACCCACGCAGGGCATCACTGGGCGTGGAGCGATACATGCTGCATCGACCAGAGTAGCAACGTTGCAACGTTGAGCTCCAACGACCACCCAGTCCAGTTAACTCCATGTTCGTTTGGTATCGCCGCTCAGCACTCAGTGCCACTCACCATCGTATACCTATCAGATGTTCCTCCTTCGTCGAAGTCCGGTGCGCTCGCAAACAACGCCTGGAACACGCGAGGATGGACTGTCCAGGAATTCCTCGCTTCAAATATCGTTGTCTTCTACCAGGTAGATTGGACCCTGTATCTTAATGACTGCTTTCCCAACCATGAAGAGTCTGTCGCTATCATGCAGGAGTTGGAGGATTCTGCAGGCATAGACACACGGTCTCTTACAGCCTTCCATCCGGGCATGACAGGTGCGCAAGAGAAGGTGCAGTGGGCGGCGACGCGCGTCACCACTTGGGAGGAAGGCATCGCATACTCATCGTTTGGTATCTTTGGCGTCCAACTACCTGTCATCTATGGCGAAAAGCAAAATGCACTCGGGCAGTTCTTGCAAGAGATTGCGGCACAGTCGAGCGAGATTTCTGTCCTGGACTGGGTCGGAAAATCATCCGAGTTCAATAGCTGTCTGCTAGCCGACATTACCTCGTACAAACCTCCGTACAAACCTCTGTCATGCACGTTGTTCCTATCAGCTACTACAGACCTCGATCTTGCCGCTGTGAAGCTTTCTTCGACACTGTATAGCCAGCTTGAAAACCTGAATGCTCCCCGTTTCGCAAACCGCAGATTACATCTGCCTTGCATCGCATTTCCCGTCACAGCAGTCAGACGGAGCCGTGGCCAAGACTCAAGACAAGCTGACTCAGTTTTTGCCGGCGCGGCCCACTCGGCAGACGTTCTTGATTGTCTGCCCGTGGAATCGTCACCATCTTAAGCTGCCTGATTTGGTCAATGCGCAGAGCGTGTATGATTGGTCCGAGCTCGAATCCCCGTCAGAGGGATCGATCGGTGGGTATCCTGGAGAAGATGAACAAGGTGATACAGAGTCTCACCCGCGAGTGTTGAAGTTGGTCGTTCGGCTCGGACAGCCTTTTGGCGGGCTTTTACTGGCGCAGCAGCGTGGTAGGGAGTGCGAGAGAATTGCTTCGGATCACAATATCATCGCACGGGTCAAGGTCATGGCTGCTGTACATGATATAATGGACGTCAGGACGTTAGAGATATTGTAGATGTATGCATTTCGATGAACGGGCCCGGGTCTGATGCGTTTTCATTCATACCTTGACGGCACTTACATAGAATAATACCTCTACGCATTTTGTATGGTATGCTGTCTTACAACAAACCACCCCGATTGTAAGATCTCTCGTCTACTCACGCACCCATCAATATCGGCATGTTCCGATTATAGTCATCATGTAATTACTCACCCGTGCGTTGATAACACTGGAGCCCATCCTCGGGATCATATATATCTGAATGTATCATAGTAAGTATTGCACAGATGTCCCTCTGATTTTTGGGACTTTAAGCAGCCTCTGCTTCATGGTTATCTGGAAACCGTCTGTCCACATAGAACTTGGAGTCATGGGAAGTTTGAACAGGATCCAGGTACGTTCAGCGCCGAGGATACCACGCTCGCAGCAGGCACATACCACACCGGACCGTTACATGCATAGTCGCCTTGCACTCAGTCACCGCTCCAGATACCTGTGGCCAATCTGTCACCTTGCTTGCAAGGTCATGTGCCAGGTGGGTACGTGACTTGATACTCCACCGCAAGTCCGCATTTGCAGTATACTCCGAGCATTGCACCGAAAACGTCAACAAAGTCCTCAGTATTCCGACTCGCATTTTAACTTGCGAGCAAGACCCCCGACCCTAGTAGCCACATGTAATGGATACGGGCGCCTAGTCATCGCCCATTAACCATCTTTGACCCCGGGGCATATAGTACCTTACAAAAGATAATGATACCTGAATGCAGAAAGAGCTGTATTGCACCAAACAACCAGAAGCGTGTGAAGAATCAAGGTGTGTAACGAGTACCTAGCGGTGACATGAGTGGCAGTGATAGTTAATGATTTCGCGTTGTAATTAGCACTGCAGCCGCGGTGTGGTAGGAAGCTAAAAATTGCCCTTCAAGTCGGTTTACATGAGCAGAAATATACCCATATATTATACACGCAAGGTAACCATATCCCGAAAAAAATCCTGCTTACCGTCTATCTCTTCGTCTAGGCCAACACGCCATGTCAACAATGGGTGATGTAGCAAGAAATGTGTTGCGGACTGTGAGGGAGTCGAGGCGGATGAAACGAGGACACACAGGTGAAGTGAAGGCAGTCGTATTCTTCAAAGACAGTCGACGGGTCGTCACTTGTTCAGACGATACAACCTTGCGAATTTGGGACGTGCAGAAAGGAGCATTGGTAGGAGGGCCATTCGAAGGACACAGAGACTGGGTGCGATCATGCGCCATATCCCCGGATGACAGGCGAATTGCCAGTGGGGGAAGGGACAAGAGGATCATCATCTGGGACGTCGAGAGCAAGCAGATGGTATTTGAACCGCTGGTGGAGCATACACACTGGGTGGAGTCTGTGTGTTTCTCCCCCAATGGAAAGAGACTCGCCAGCGGGTCGCAAGACTGCACAGTTATTGTATGGAATGCTGAGACTGGTACAGTCATCACAACGCTGGACGGTCATCGTGGATCGGTATGGAGCGTGGCGTTTAGCCCAGATGGCCTAAAATTAGCATCCGGATCATCGGACTGCACCATCCGAATTTGGCACACCGTTAATGCCGAGATTCTTTTCGAGATTAACGCTCACAAAAATCCGGTTCGAAGCGTTGTGTGGTCGTCTGACGGCCAGCAACTTGTCTCTGCATCATATGGAACAGTCAAGTTCTGGAATTCGTCTAATGGGGTCCAAGATGGTTTAACTTGCACCGGTCATACTGACTGGGTCCGCTCGCTCGCCATCTCTTCTGATAACTCATTCATTGCCGCTGCCTCGGACGACAAGACTGTGCGGCTATGGAGCACAACGACCCATCAAAGCATAGGTCAGGCAATTGAACACTCCGACGGGCTTTTATGTGTTGCAATTTCTCCGGATGGAAAATGGCTTGTCAGCGGAGATAATCAAGGGAGGGTTTGGTTCTGGTCCTTGAAGAACATACTCAAGCAACAACGACTTCCTGATCGAGCTTTTGTGAGCATTTATTCCCGCCTTTTCTCTCAGTGCGCCTGTGGAGTCTAACTCAAGTTATCAGAGCACTCTGTCAAATTCGAATTTGAGCGATCTTGCTCACAGTGAAATCCAGGTATGTCCTCATCAATTACTATCCGTCCGCCTGTCCATTCACTCACATCGTTCGGCGTTTAGCCTAGCGATGGCCGCAGCACAATCAACAATCCACAAACTCATGAAGCCTCTAGCAGTAAATCTAGATTCTCATTCGACGTGAGCTGTTTGCTTTCGATACGTCTACTTGAAACGGAATATGACCATGATTCACATAGTTCCTTGCTACAAACACGACGGTTCCAAGTGCAGGATCCTTTCATACATCTGAAGAGCTACCGATCCAAGAGATCGATGACGATGGCAACCATTCTGACTCTTACGCCAATCTCTCGATTATGAAGGCGCAAATTTCCGATTGGGATAATGCACTTCAAGACGCAGACAAGGTAGGGCGCTAAGCATGCCACGACTCGTTGAACACAGGTTGACTTGTTGGTGACACAGTCCATTTCCATTCGACCCTCGTTGATGGGCTACATTTCTAAGGGCATTGCCCTATGCGGCAGTGGGCAGCTTTGGGGTGCTATGGAAGCTTTCGATCTCGCTTCCGTGTTTTCAAATCGTGATCCGATGACCATCGATCTTTTACTGTTAATCAAGGTATGTCACTCTCAGCACTATCTTCAATAGTCTTTCATACTAAGACTTCAATCTCATGTTGTGCAGGCTGTTGCGCTTTTCAATGCTAGTCACCACGACGAGGCAATCCGGCGAGTTCAAGGTCTTGCCACCGTTTGTCAACAATTAGACACACTTCCTTGTACGGTTGTTGATGTGAGCTTCGTATTAAACCTCGCGGATTTTCTCGCTCTAACATAACCTCCCCAGTCATATCTACGTGTACAGCTTGCAATAATCGACTTCCGTGATGGACGCTACAGCGAAGCCGCTGATAAACTCACGGCCAGTATTGCCACCGTAACCAGATTAGTCTTGCGCACAGCACATTTGGAACCTAGATTGAAGATATTCAAATCAGTGCGTCCTTACAAAGTCGCAGAAGTCACTTCCACGAATTGATTATGTGCGCTGGATAGCTATTCGGCTGGGACTTGGACTCGTTGTGGCAAACTGTCAACCAAACACGGTGTAACGCGTTCCTTCACGCCGGTCGACTGATCGAAGCAGTCGAATCTCATCAATACATGATAAGCATGATAAGCATGATTGACGATGTTGCGAAGGACGGTTTCCTTGATTGGTCTACCGGTAATTATTTCAGGATACCAGGCAACCGACCATCGGTACTCATAGTGGTGCTCATTAGCCTTCAAGCAAGACTGCATTGTGCGTTGTATCGCAAGGGCACAGGAGGCTGTTTCTGCGAGTGATTATGACGCTGCTGTAAAACTCTATTCGGGGGCGATTGCGCTAGATTCCTCAAGCCACTCCCTATTTGCACATCGCAGTCAGGCGAAGCTGAGACTAAACTTACACGTGGAGGCTCTTCACGACGCGGAAAAGGTCCGGATGATACTCGTGATGTGTCAAGCAATTGTGCTGATTGTGCCGATCCTTAGGTCATTGAATTCAACCCTTCGTCTTATATTGGGTACGAATTAAAGTATGCAGCGCTTCACGAAGCGCAACGCTACGATGAAGCAGTCATGGCCTTCAACATCATGCTCTCTAAGTTGGAAAACGCATCTGACCCCCAGATCAAAAGTAAGTACTAAATACCTGGTATCGACGTGAAAATTAAGTCTTTCCCTAGAGCTGCGCCAACAGTATAGCAGTCCAACTGAAGTCGAAGATGCTATTAAACGGACTGTTCAATCTTACCTGGACAGCAGTGCCCCACTTCGTCTGGTCAACACTTCCACTGGGCGTTTATGTGATCGACAGGCACAGACAAATTCCTTCAAGACGAGTACAGAGTACAAAGAGCTTCTGTCTTCATTGATAAAGCATCCGCACCTTCAAACGGAGTCCATCGAAAAAGTAGTGGAGAAGTACTTCCGTTGGGTCATGCTATCGCACAGGTGGGAAAATGAGGAGCCCCTGTTACACGACATCGAGGACAAGGTCGTGTATGATCTGGATTCAGTCGGGACCATGGTGAAGTTGCAGACATTCTGCAAAATAACTCGTGATAAGGGTTATCTTTGGGCCTGGAGCGATACGTGCTGCATCGACCAGCATAACAATTCCGAGGTCCAACGATCCGTCAACTCCATGTTTGTCTGGTATCACAACTCAGCCCTTACGATCATCTACTTGTCGGACGTCCCGCCCTCGTCGACGTCTGGCGCACTCGCAGACAGCGCCTGGAACATGCGAGGATGGACTGTCCAGGAATTTCTCGCTCCAAACATCGTTCTCTTCTTCCAAGCAGATTGGACCCTGTATCTCAATGATCGCTCTCCGAACCACAAGAAGTCTGTCGCTATCATGCAAGAGTTGAAGGATTCAACCGGCATTGATGCACTCGCCCTTGTTGCCTTCCGCCCGGGTATGACAGGTGCACGAGAGAAACTGCAATGGGCGTCGACACGTATCACGACGTTGCAGGAAGATGTCGCATACTCATTGTTTGGCATTTTTGGTGTTCACCTACCGGTCATCTACGGCGAGACGAAACAAAACGCACTCGGTCGGCTCTTGCAGGAAATCATCGCTCAGTCGGGCGAGATTTCTGTCCTGGACTGGATCGGAAAATCATCAGAGTTCAATAGTTGTCTGCCGGCTGACATTGTCGCATACAAACCTCCGCCATCCTCATCGCCATTTCTATCTGAAGATCAGATACAGACATCGGTCTTGTTGTTGCAAGATGCAATTGTTATGAAGCTTGCTTCGTCACTGTATTCCCGGCTTGGCAACCTCACCGCTCCCCGTTTCGCAAACCGCAGGCTGCACCTCCCTTGTATCGCATTTCCTGTCACAGAAATTAGACGGACTCGACGTAGTCAAGAACAGGGGACACGTCTCACTTATGAAATCAAGGCAGACGGGCTTCAAGACCTGTTGATCACCACAACCACAGAAGACAAATTGGTTACGTTCTCGCATACAAAGTCTACTCGGCAGCCATATTTGCTCGTCCGTCCGTGGAATCGTTATGATCTCGAGCTGCCTGACCTTGCAGACGATGCGCAGAGTGTGGACGGTTTGTCCGAACCGGGATCCCATTCAGATGAATCCGAGTATTCTGGAGACGACGAGCCAGTTGATTCAGAGCCTCACTCGCAAGCGTTGAGCTTGATCGTCCGCCTTGGACAGCCTTTTAGCGCACTCCTGTTAGCGCAGCAACGCGGTGGGGAGTATAAGAGGGTCGCGTCGGATCACAATATCAACGCACAAGTCAAGGACTTTACTGCTGTTCATGACATGATGGACGTCAGGACGCTAGAGATTTTGTAATTGCATTTTCTGATATGTTTTCATTCATACATTATAGTACTAGCTGCACGGAACAATACCCTGGACTTTCCTTATTCTTATTCTATCATATGTATCATATCCTGTCTTACAACAGCCAAACATACTACCACGATTGCACATCGGATTATTGCTCAGATCAGCTGAGAATGCGGCGGTGTATGTCCATCCGCTCTTCCAGTCATTATCGATGCTTATTATTATGTCCTCGTATTATGTACCTCATGTCAGCTCCTGCACACTGACGTCCATGTGGCGCCTGCGACTCGCAACACCAACAAGCACAGTCGACTCCATTACGGAGCACAAGAACATTTGGGATTGATACTTTTTGCGGAATTCATGTATTGATCGCTTCTCCCTATTGGCTGCTTCAAATCTTCAATAGTGATTATCGTGCTTCTTCTCCAGAACACCAAACCGGTGCTTGACATGGGCCAGGGGAACTGGCAGGGACAGTAACGGGTGGTGGTTCAACCACACGTTACAGGTGCCTCTTGGGAATGATGAGCAGGCTCCGCGGCTGCAGCTGACCACTTACCCCCACGTTCTCACTGTGCATGAACAAGCAGCCTAGACTCGTCCCATCTGGGACACTTGCAAGTCTTCCATAGTGCTCTGCACAGATAGCAGAACTCTGTCTTGCACCGGCAAGTCATGTGAAAACACCCCATGCTAAGCTCAATCATCTGAGCGCAGCCTGGGCAGCGGGACCATCCTGAGGCGCGGCTGAGCGTGAGTAAAACCTGAGTCTCTGCATCTGGAGTGCAGGAATGGGTGAATCTTATGTATCTCCCGCGACATTTTCCACATGTCGTCGTCTTGCATTTAGGGGACGGACATGTTAATATCTTGCTGGAATTTCCGTCGTATAATGGCCCGAGAAAACGGCTGCACGTTGATTCAACACAATAAACACGCTTGAGGGTTCCAAATTCTTGAGCTTTGAGTTCAAACTCGGTGAGAAATGCCTGCGTCAAGTGAGACCGAACTTGAGGGAGCGGAATGTTCTGATGACAACATCGAGGAGGATACAGGCGTTCGTCGTGCACTGCTGACTGGAATAGGTCTGTGATGCAGCCGATATCGAAGAAGTGATTACATGGTGCCAGAACTTCGTCTCCAAAGATAGGATCCTTACAAATCACACAGTTGTGACCGATTGCCCTGCTTATGATGTTACGTTCAGTTTAAACGTTATGCCAGTATCATAACAGGTCTCACCGAGGAGGAGTTCTAGCTGTGATAGTTTGACCCGGGTTTGGTGTAGTCCGACCACTCGATGTGGGCGTCGAAAGAAACGAGTCAACCAATTGAGTCCATATCTGTATCTGTGATCTAGTTCTGAAAGTCTCGTTAGGGACTCCAGGGGAGCGCTACACTTGCAAGCGTACTTTCCGATGTCGGGTTGGAACGCAGCATCTCGCTGTACTGCTGTTGCGGGCCTGCTTCTTGATGTTAACATTTGTGAATTCCGTAATAGGCGGCATTACCTAGGTGTAGGCTCAGCTTCCCCATTTCCGTCAACAGCAAGTCGCTGGGCAAGTGCCAGATCAGCATCGAACTCTGCAAGTTCTCGAGCATTCTGTATCAACAATCTGAAAGCAACTTCACGATCAGAACACCCCTTTCCTCGACGCTCTCTATTATCATATAGGGTCTGCAATCTCTCGACATCGGAAAGACCTAGTTCAGCGATCATACGGGTAAGATCCTCCTCATGGTTGTCTCTTTCTCTTGAACCCGGGATCGGACGTGGACCACGTAGTCGCGAGGGACCAGCGACGTTCATGGCGGCAAGAGAGAAAGAAGTTCAGAGAACCAAACCTGTGCAGCGTAATTATTTTAGTAGCCCCTAATGATATCATGTAACCCACCTGTAATTGGCTTGCGACTTTGCGCTCGGACTCCTCACATAGGTTAGGACATCCTGGCTCTGATTATACTCGCCTATCTATTGTCCACCACTGATTTCAATCACAACTTGCAATGTTGTAGTAACGAGTGGCCATCTAAATTCGCGTCTACTACTTAATTGTTTATACGATGGGACAGATGCGGGCATGTTCCATAATTCTGATTTGTCTGTTGACATATTGAAATCTTAAGCACCAGGAGTATACTTCTAGCGTGCATATGAGCGAGGAGGCCTGAAATGCGGCAACCGCTATCTCGCACCTTATCATAATTTTCGACCTTAAGAGACCTCGTTCGTCCAGTTAGACACTCAAGTGGTTGCAAGGTAATGACCATTAGATTGAGCCTTTCCCAGTGAGATCGCCGGAGAGGTAATGGAATGTTGCAAGGTCGGCCTTCGGGCGGCGGAAGCAGTAAGTTGTGCTTGGCGGGTGGCAAAACAGGGAGGGACGGGATATACCGGAGGCGAGTAAGTACATGGGCGTAGAATAAACTTGAAGGAACTATCCAAGCCAGGCACCAGATCCTTTGCTCGATAAATTTGGTCAGAATGATATGGGCGCCTATGTAGGACAGGATTTTGATTCACCGACAAGTGATGTATTACGTCACTCCTTAGTACCGCTCCTGCACCACTCACTACAGCTACTAATACTTAGCCCGCAATAGAATGACACTATAGCTTGCGGCAAGGTAGTTTATGGTTAGAGGAGGGTTAGTTGGGGGATAGGAAGCTTCGGACTCGTGGCAGCATCGGGATCCTAAACCCACTCACCAAGGGACCCTTACAGCGGTTTCCGAATTCGAATGTTTGATATGCAACACACTCCGAGTCTAACATTATGTACCGTCGGTGGGCTTCTAGTTGAAGAAGAGGTTCTTTCGATTATTTTCGGTTCGCCAAAGATCCCAAACTATAACCGTGGTTATCATGAACATGATGTTCTATTCGGACCGCAGATAATACTCAACACATGAATCTCGACGGGTATAAAAACAACCTCTATTGCTCATTCGTTCTTCATTCCAACCGTTTAGCCCTACTATGCAGCTCACTCTCTTGGCATCCCTCGCTGTTCTCTGCAGCGCTGCTTTCGCTGCCCCTCCTGTGGTCCGTGATCGGTCTTTGGTTGGTGTCGTCGTCGGTATGGCATCTCCTTCCGTTCGCAGTTCGCAGCTGAATGATTTCCAGACGTCGAGGATGTCTTGAACAATGCTACGGTCAATGTTCTCACCAAGCGGGATGATGGCTTGGTTGACGTTGCCGTTGGTATGGTATCTTCTTCTGCTTACAGTTCGCAGCTGAATGTTTTCCAGACGTCGAGAATGTCTTGAACAATGCTACGGTCAATGTTCTCACCAAGAGGGATGATGGTTTGGTTGACGTTGCCGTTGGTATGGGCATCTCCTTCCTCTCACAGTCCGCAGCTGAATATTTTCCAGACGTCGAGAATGTCTTGAATAATGCTACGGTCAATGTTCTCACCAAGCGGGACGATAGTTTGGTTGACGTTGCCGTTGGTATGGCATCTCCTTCCGCTTACAGTTAGCAGCTGAATGTTTTCCAGACGTCGAGAATGTCTTGAATAATGCTACGGTCAATGTTCTCACCAAGAGGGATGATGGTTTGGTCGACGTTGCCGTTGGTATGGGCATCTCCTTCCTCTCACAGTTCGCAGCTGAATGTTTTCTAGACGTCGAGAATGTCTTGAATAATGCTACGGTCAATGTTCTCACCAAGCGGGACGATGGTTTGGTTGACGTTGACATTGGTATGGGATCTCCTTCCGCTCACAGTTCGCAGCTGAATGTTTTCCAGATGTCGAAGACGTTTTGAATGATCTTACAGCCAATGTTCTCACCAAGCGGGATGATGTCGACGTTTAACCCCTGCAAGTACCATTCACATGATTTTTGACTGTCTTTAACGCAACCCCACAGATCCTGACAATGTGCTTACTTGGCCAATCTGTGTGCACCACATTATTCGTCCTCTGGTCCTGGATATCTATGTCTGCTTTATAGTATACCTATTACGAAGTAAACTTTTCTTAGTGTCTTCCACCGTCAACCTTGCGGACTGCTTGTCACTAGTTGGCCAATATTCACTCATTGCGCAGGTCATGCGTTATGCATTGGTATCATTAAGCTCCGCTGCCCTCATGAGTGGTACGTGAAATTTACCTCCTGACCGGAAGAGCCGAAAGGAGATTAAACAATATATAACAATGGATCTAAAATGAGTGATGGGCGTTGTATGACTCTTCTTTATTGTGGAACCCCATCAGGTATAATATTGTTATCACGTGAATGCTCTGGGCGCAGGTGCCCAAATTGACACGATGTTTCATATCCGACTTCTTTTGGTGATGCGACGTTGCTACTATCAATGAACGACGCCAAAGCGCCGTGCGGCTAAATGGACGGCTCCCCCCCTATTTCCATCCACTTTAAAGCCGCTGTTGTGACGCGCGATATAATATTTACATACATGATATTCAGGGATCTACAGAAAGATCGCAAGAAAAGGGCCATGCAAACAGCAGGTAGAAGACTAGGTAAGAAACTCCAAGGTCGACAGCGTGAGTTTTGGCGAGACAGTACATAATAATAGTGATATTTCAGACATACTAATAAATAAAGAGTAGTAATACACTGTGGGCGCGATGAATGTTACAGGAGACGAATTCCAAGGCAGTCGCGCCGTACAGTGGGACCACAGCGGACAAGAATTCTCTAAACACGACTCGGTCATGAACATGCGGCCGAGATATGTTGCATAGACCTTATCTACGGAACTTAAGATTTACATAACTAATTCTTGTTGGCATCCCGGCTGTCTCAGAACATTATGTATGATTGAGAAATATCATGTAACTTCCAGAAGGCGAATATAGTAGTACTCACCGGCACTGATATTCGCCAGAGTGCCGCCGCCACCCCGTGATCGGACTCGTTTATATCTTTATGGGTCACAATATGGTTCGCTAAAGTTGCCATGCAGTCGACAATAATTTGAATAACTAAAAAACACTCTACCTTTTTGAGGCCATGAGCTATCGTTTCAGAGCAAGAGTCTTGTGAGGAGTTATAACATTAGAAGACAATTGATACAACGTACCGGCGAATGCAGAACTAGCATGATGGCCACCTGCTCATCCGAAGTACAAATCGGTAACACAACAACACGTTGACCGACATCGAACCAAACCCTTGCTTACTTTCTAATGGAGTTGCGAGGGTGAGTGCGAGCCCACCTAACGCCACCAAAAAGACAGTAAGTCAGGAGAATATTGCATGTTAAGGACTGGAATTTCCAAAGGAGTGACTTTGATACCTGCGATGGTGAAAATGGAGAGGTTGGAGGGAGGACTAGGAAGATCATTCAGTTCAGCGAGAGATTTTAGCATAATCTGTACCTGGCTGGATTGGAAAGCACGATGTTCTGTGGAAAAAACCTCGAGACTCTAGTTGTCCCAGGTCGTTCCGTATCTGATACTGTTTCTAATGGCCAAATTCTGACGCCAGTTAATTATCTTCAGCCAAGTTCAAGTTGGCAGAAAAATACTTACTAGTAGATAACTTGGTCCCCGTCTGTGTTGTACTGAACGCCAATTCAAAGGTGTGAAGTCAGACTCACAGTTGAACATTAGAAGTTGAGCGTAATTTTGAGCAGTTCATTCAAGTTGTAGTAGACGGTGCCGTCACTGACGCAAAGTGTATGTGTTAGAGCCATCTCGGCCGATGAACAAGAGCGCCGTAGACTATGGACAGAAATTGTGCCAGGTAGTCTAAAATATGTTCGCTGCAAAAGGCCGGTAAACACTGGTAGGCAACTCAATCATTCTAACGCGTCCTACCGTTCACCACCAGGACCGTAGATGGATTTCTGTGGTTCTTTGATGCTTCACACCTCCTTGAGAAATTCAATAGTGCAGGATTTTGTCGGTCAACTTTATCTGATCGGCTTTTTAAAACCGCAAAGTTTGCCCTAGGTCTTTCAATACAACAAGGTAAGGCGCGGCGATAGAAAGTCAAGGAGACGAACACACTACAAAAATGTCAAAGACTCAAGACCAGACAGCCCGTTTAGTGGTGATACTCGTAACATTGGAATAATCAATTCGACCAAAGCGCACATGAGGGAGCTCTCCTTTCTCCAGGGTATAATTATACGTGGCATCGAAAACATGGTCTATGAACTTCGAGACACCTGGATGTCCTGTGGCGACGGTTCTGACGAGGATGCATTAATTAACGGACTATCAAATACAATATACTCACATTATGAGAAACCAAATTCGTTCTTTATCCTCCTCCGGAGTCAATGTTTCGTCCATAATCATTTCTGCGTAGTTCTCAATCATGATGAAAGGTATCCGCTCATCCCAAGTTACAAATGGAGCTCTGGAAACAGATTTTGACTTGGTTAAGACCAGTTAGACAGACCACTGAGGAAACCATCTATGAGTCAAAGTCAAGGTGTGTTCCGATAGAAAAAATAACTGTCATTCGGCAGGACCGCGCCAAGCGACACCCAATCAGATGAACCTCCGAGGAACTGTCCAAGAGGGAATGTCAAAGGGTTCTATGATCGGAAAGAACTGTTGTCGGCAGGTTTCGAACTTGCACAGTCCTAGGAGAAACAAATTTTGACTCTGTTGCGGTGTCCACTTGGCTAAGACCAGTTGAATTGGCTACCGAGGAAACCATCCATGAGTCGATGTCAAGGTGAGTTCCAATAGAAAAAACCTTTCGTTCGGCAGGTTTCGAAACTGCACAGGCCAAGATCCAGGGAAACAGATTTTGACTCTGATAACCAGTTGGCTAAGACCAGTGGAGATGAACTCCGAGGGACTCTCGATAAGCGAATCTTCAAGGTGTCCCGAAAGGCAAAAAAGCCTTGTCGGCAGGTTCAACAGATATTGATTCTTTGTGGTAAGCCACCTGGCTAAGACCAGTTAAGATGGACCTCCAATGAAACTATCCACGAGTGAATCTTCAGAGCATGTTGCGATAGGAAAAAAACTTTGTCATCGGCAGGTTTCGAACCTGCACTGGCACAGTCCAAACTCTATTGTGACAACCAATTTAGCCAAGAAGCCGCTGAGGAAGTTGAAATGAACCTCCAAGGAAACCATCCATGAGTTCAATGGCAATATCAAGGTGTGTTCTGGTGAAAAATAGACCTGTCATTCGGCAGGTTTCGAACGAGAAATAGAGTTGTGGTAGTTGCTTCAAGGGTTAAGATCAACCTCCGATTCTTACCTTACTTGGCATGTCACATGATCATAAACAAACTAGTACTCCGATGTCTAGTACTACTTAGTATACTACCAAAACCCATGTCTGGGAGACCATTGACAGGCACGCTGAGCGCTCGCTGATCAGGTACATGCGAGCATCCTCCAATTGAAGGTTATTGCACACACATGGCTGCCATCGAAGCCTGCTGCATTGGAGTTCCTTCAAGTTGCGAGGTATGGGTCGATAAAGGCGGTGCGGGGCTGGAGCATGGCAGGTGTTCTAAAGTGGGAATCTGAAGCTACAGATACAGGGTTATTTTCCTTCGAGAGGAAGTTATTCAAAGTTGTCCATCCTGGTATGTACTATGGACGTCACCAATACCTGACCCAGTAACGATAAGTACATCCTGCCCTCTGCAAGGACATTATCCTGTGGTATGTCTTGCGTAACATTTCTGTGGGCAGCTTGAGTGACTCATGCATGTGTCGGTTATCAACAACTTTATCGTGCGTTCCTGCCATTTCCCCGAAGTCACAGGCGCCTTGCGCCACTGCGATAAGATATATTTATATTGATAGGTGGCACGGTTCCTTATCGCTAGCGCTCACCACCAACCAATATCGTAGCACATGTAAGTATCTGCTCCCTTGCCATGTTCCTGCTGATCGAGAACCAGAACTAGATTCGATGTCAAATCACACTGTATCTCCACGAGCCTCTACACCCCTTGTCCGAAAGGAAGTACTTCAGGCCGAAATGACGCTCAAGGGTCATGAAGACTGGGTGAGAGACATTGCTTATATCCCTGGTACCCGTCTCCTCGTCACTTGCTCCGACGACAAAAGTCTTCGGCTGTGGAACCTGGACACAGGGCAACAAGTGGGGAAGCCCTTATTGGGTCACAGTGACTATGTCTTGAGGGTTGCAGCATCTCCCGATGGGCGCTGGATTGTTAGTGGAGCAAGGGATGGAAGGATCCTGGCATGGGAGGTTCCGACGACGAAAAGCCTGAGCGTGCCGGTCGCAGACACGTTCGAGGGACATAAGAGGGACATCTGGAGTGTCGTGTTTGCTCCAGACAGCAAGACATTTGCAAGCTCATCATATGACGAAACGGTTTGTGTGTGGCAGATGGAGACAGGCAAAATAAACCTTGGACCATTCCAAGTGTGCGGTGAGGCATACTCAGTGTCGTACTCTCCCGATGGGAGTAAACTAGCAGCAGGCGCCGAGACACGTATCATATTATGAGACGCAACGAATGGAGAAGAATTGCTGAAGATAGAACAACGGGCATGGCTGGTCGCGTTCACTCTAGATGGCCTCCGTCTTGTCAGTGGGAGTTTCAACGACATTCGAATCTCAGACGTTGCCACTGGAGAAATCATCAAACAATTTGACGTGCACACTGATCTTCTCCAGTCACTGGCCATTACTCCTGATGGCACGAAATTCGCCACCGCGTCAAGCGACAAAACGATACGTTTCTTTGACCTCACCACATTGGAACCCTTCGGCGAGCCACTTGAGTACCCTGACGCACTGTACTGTGTCACTTTTTCCGAGGACAGCCAGTTCATCGCGACTGGCTGTGTTGATAAACTCGTTCGCATATGGGGAATTGATCGGGTTGAGTCAAAAGAGTTCCAGCAGGCGAGCAGTCTCTCATGTCGTGTCATGCTTCATACTCACATATCATACAGTCTGTACACAAGGTTTCTAGATCCCTCAGACACACCCGCATATATACTGACTTCTGATGACACACAGGATCCACGCCGCGCTCGGTTTTCCTAACCAGATGTACGCTTTCCCATTCGTCCTTTTCCGCCATCGCTGACTTCACTCCTACTGGGAAGTCTTGACCAAAACGCGTTGGAATCTCTCGAGGGTTCTTCGATGATGTAAGACTTCATGTTGCAGTAGATTCATCTCAGCCTGCTCATCTCACTATGCTTCCAGTTTGATATGCGCTCCCGACCTCAACGCAACACTCGCACTGTTTTAACCTCATCACAGCATCATGTCGAAGATTCCCGCATGAAACAATTCATGAATAGTCTCTCGTTTCGTTCCTCGATCTCTCAGAGTCCTACTCCACGCACCGGTAAGATCGCTGTTGCGGACATCTTCGCCACACGGTAAATATGTATGTCTTCTGTGACGGTCTTGTATCCTTCCGTTATTCATCGATTCCCCTGTAGCGCAATGCGAATGCTATCAGTGGGAAAAGGCATTTAGCGCGACCAACACATCCTCCTCGCAAGAAAGCCCACACCTCTACTGCTGGTGTCCCGAGCGCCAATACCAGTGCAACGGGGATGTCCGATATTACTAACGGAGCAAGCATGTGGACCACAACAACTACCCGCTTCCGCAATGACCGGCGAACGTCCATCACTAGACGTTGAACTTGTTCCGGAGACGAAGTGCTTGACAGTTCTTGCCAGGTGGTTCTCGTGTGGCAGAGTCCACTGAACTTGTATAACCTACAGTGCACCTCATTCTCGGATGTATATGTACCTACCAGCTATCCTACTTACCTCAGGCCGACCTCTGTCCAATGCGGCTGTGCTATTTCCCCTGACACCAATCAGAATCTCGAAATGTTTGCTCAGAGTTCGGGAAGGCGAGGGTTATTGGAAATCGTATTACAGGTCAAGTCAGGATTGACAAACAACATTTTAGAACTGAGTACGAGTAGTATCCCTTATGATTGACAAGACACGAGGCAAGTGATGTACGTACTAACTGCTTAGGGACGCTTGACAGTTGTGGGAGAGGTAGAACAAGCACTTACGAGAACTGGTCCTGAACTTAGATATACATACCGGCCTGCACGGGTTTGCAATTATAAATATCATGTATGTGCTGAATGATTCTCCCTACCGTCGACCATGACCGGTTTAGGTTCCTTTCTGCGTGGACGCAGAAGAGAAGCCTCGCGTTCACCTGAACCAGCTCCTCGCGAGCTAGCCCCTTACCCTTTTGACCGATCGCAACATTCTGCTCCAGGCACTATCCAGAGTAGTCCATCTTTCAACGCACGACCCACCGCCTTCTCCAACCCCCTCATCCACCGCATCTGCCTAGTCCCGCACGTCGATTCCAACCACACCTTCCATTTCGAGCCCATCTCCTGCGACCTCAGATATGGCGACATCCCCGTCAGCATCGGTCGCTTCACATCTCGATCAGACAGAGGGGAGATAGTTTTCAAAAGCAAAGTAGTCTCTCACTTTCATGCAGAGATCTGGGTAGACAATGGCAAGTTCTACATCAAGGACACCAAATCGTCATCAGGCACTTTCCTCAATCATATCCGCCTTAGCCCTGCAGGCTCTGAGAGCGCACCACATCAGTTAAAACATGGCGATATCGTACAGCTCGGCGTCGATTATCAGGGCGGTACGGAGGATATCTGGAAATCCGTTAGGATAAGGATTGAAGTCGGACGCGAATTACAGGAGTCGAAAAGGATCAAGGACGACGAATGAAACACAGACACACCGACTCTTTACTCTTAATGAGAGACAGGTATGCTTTCCCATTATTTTCCCTCCTGTTTGTTTAATCTAACGTCGTCCTCGGCGGCAATATACAGCCCCGCATCCACATCACCAACAACTTCAACGAGCTATCTAGTGATGATGACAGCACAAACACTCACTCCCGGGAAAGTCACTATGGGCCCGGCAGTTATTTATCATTCGACGTAGGTCGTTTGACTTCGATGCTTATACCGAATGTGAGCATACTTGGTACAGATTGCGGCTCCTACAAATACTGCGGTCCACGACGCATGGATAGCTCGAGACTTACATACCTCTGGAGAGCTGCTGACGAAGGAGATCGACGCTGACCACGACAATCACCACTCCTATGCAAGTCGCTCTGTTGTAAGGGCACGACGTTTTGAGTGGGACAATGCGCTTCAAGATGCACTCATAGTAAGATGTACTCCTGAGTCTGATCATGACACTATTGATGACAGGTATTTCTTCTCGGTGATATAGTCCATTGTCATCCAACCCTCATTAAAGGGCTATATTTCTAAAGGCATTGCCCTCTGCGGCAAGCAACAGCTTTGGGATGCCATGGAAGCTTTTGATCTTGCTCTCTCATTTTCAATTCACAATCGAATGACTGTCGAAATTTTACTAATTAAGGTATTCTCTTCGTTATTTTCAATGGTGTGTTGTCATGCTAATATTCCAATGTCATTTTCATTAGGCCATTGCGCTTTTTAACTCAAGTCGCCACGATGAGGCGATACGACGGGTTCAAGATTTAACCGCCGCTTGTCAGTCCTCAGAGACACTTCAGTGCCGCATCGTCGATGTGAGTCCTACGTCAGACCTCACGGGTTTTTTCTTATTTTAGAATATACTTGTCAGTCATATCTATGTGTGCAGCGTGCAAAGTCGGCTTCGAGGGTGGGCGCTACAGCGAGGCCGCTGATCAACTCACGGCCAGTATTACTACTATAGCCGACTTGTTCCTACGTCCGACAATTCATGAACCCACGCTAGATGAGCCCGGGCCTAGACTGGATGGGCACACAGATACGTTCAAGGAGGTACGTCACTATGAGGCCGCAGAGGATACACCCACTGATTGATCATGTGCACTGCACAGTTCTTCGACTGGGACTTCAGTTCGTTATGGCAGACCGCCAACCAAAGACGTTGTGAAGCATTTCTCTGTGCTGATCGCGTGATCGAAGCGGTTGAATCTCATCAGTATATGATGCGCGTGATTAGCGAGGCTGCGAAGCCCAGTTACCTCGAATGGTCTGTTGGTGAGTGGTAGTGGACAATTTGAAAATTGAGACTCATTCTGGTGTCCATCAGCCTTCAAGCACAAATGTACTTTGCGCTGTATCACGAAGGGAGACGATGCTGTTTCTGCGAGCAATTATGAGATGGCTGTTGAACTGTATTCAACAGGGATACGCCTAGACTCTTCATGCGAGGCTCTTTTTGCACAGCGAAGTAAGGCAAATTTGACACGGAACCTTTTTGCAGAGGCCCTCCATGACGCAGAAAAGGTGGAGATGATGTCCATTTGTGGAGCAGTTGTGCTGATCCCGCTGATGCACAGGTCATTGAACTGAGCCCTTCGTCCTATACTGGGTACAAACTGAAGTATGCAGTGCTTCATGAAGTACAACGTTACGATGAAGCAATCGAGGCGTTCAAAATCATGCTTTCCAAGTTGGACAATGCATCCGACCCGCAGATACGAGGTAAGCACTGAGTATCTATGTCAACTAGACGGTGGTTAATTCATTTTCCAGAGTTGCGTCAGCAATACGTCAGTCCATCCGATGCACATGACGCCATTCAAAAAGCTATTCACGCTCAACTGGAAAATGCACCACTTCGTCTCATCAACACCTACACCGGGCGTTTGTGCGACAGACAGACACAGATCAACGCCTTCAGCAAAAGCGAAAAGTACAAAAAAGTCTTGTCATCATCGATTGGGCATGCAGCCCTCCAAATGGAGTCCATCAGGGCAACAGTCGTGAAGTATTTCAGTTGGGTCATGTTATCCCACAGGTGGGAGAGCAAGGAACCGCGACTGCACGATATCCGGGGCAAGGACGTGTACACCTTAGATCCAGTCGGAACCATAGTGAAGTTGCAGGCCTTCTGCAAAACTGCCCGTGATGCGGGGTATCGCTGGGCATGGAGTGATACATGCTGCATCGACCAGAGCAACAATTTTGAACTTCAAGAATCAGTCAACTCCATGTTTGTCTGGTATCGTCACTCAGCGCTCACAATTGTCTATCTGGCGGATGTTCCGCCTTCGTCGGAACCCGGGGCACTGGCAAATAGCACCTGGAATACGCGAGGGTGGACTGTGCAGGAGTTCCTCGCTCCCAACACTGTTATCTTTTATCGAGCGGATTGGACCTTATACCTCGATGACCCCTCTCCCAACCACAAAGAGTCTGCCACTATCATGCAGGAGTTGGAGGATTCGACAGGCATAGATGCACAGGCCCTTGTCGCCTTCCGCCCGGGCATGACAGGCGCCCGAGAGAAACTTCGTTGGGCATCCAGCCGTGTCACGACTCTGCAAGAAGACATTGCGTATTCCCTATTTGGCATCTTCCGCGTTCACCTCCCTGTAATCTATGGCGAGAAGAGACAAAACGCGCTCGGACGACTCTTGCAGGAGATCATTGCACATTCGGGCGACATCACTGCTCCTTGACTGGATCGGAAAAGCATCCGAGTTCAATAGCTGTCTTCCAGCTGACATTACATCATACAAAGCTCCGCCGTGCATGTTGTCATCTGTGTCTGAGGATGAGATGCAGATTTCTGTCTCCATGCTGCGAAACGCTGTGTCAGTGGAGTCAGCTTCGAAACTGTATACCCTCCTTGACAGCCTCAGTGCTCCTCGTTTCGCACACTCCAGACTGCATCTGCCGTGCATCACATTTCCCATCACAGAACTCAAGCGGAGGTGTGGTCCAGACCCGGAGACATGTTTCACTTATGACGTCAAGGCGGATGGTCTTCAAGACCTACTAATCACCTCCGAAAACAAGCTGATTCAGTTCTCGCCGGCACGCCCCATTCAGCAGACATTTTTGCTTGTCCGTCCATGGAATCGTCATGATCTTGGGCTACCTGACTTTGCAGAGCCTGATTTGCAGATGATGCACAGAGCGTGGACGATTGGCCTGAGCCTGGGCCTCCTCTAGACGAATCTGTCAGTGGTTCTCTTGTAGACTCTAAGCTGGCTGATTCGGAGGCTCACTCGCGAGAGTTGAGGTTGGTTGTTCGCCTTGGACAGCCTTTTGGTGCGCTTTTGCTAGCACAGCAGCGTGGTGGGGAGTATAAGAGAGTCGCGTCGGATCACCTTATCATAGCCAGAGTCAAGGACATGGCTTCTATTGAAGACATGATGGACATCAGGACGCTAGAGATTTTGTAGTCGTGAAGCACGAAGATCTGTGATGCATTTTAATCTATGTTTTGATATCATATATACATATGCTGACTCGGACTTACGACTTGATCGAATTGTCCGCGTCACTAGTGACAATGACAGGCATTTGATGTTTATGAACAGGGACAGTGGTGAGGAATGAAATCCACGTCCCAGCATAGCAGGGAGTCATCGATTATGCCAATGCGATACTAGACTATGCAAGATCTCCAAAGTCCGTCTCTCTTCAACTTCAATTGTTATTGACTGCCTGTCTCTGTAGTTCCGTGAAGTCGCTCGTAATGCTGGGCGTGGAGTGATCATGCTGCATCAAACAGAACAACAGGGAATTGATTGTGGTATGTCACGGAAACACATACCTCGGGAGGCGAGAATGGCTCACAACTTACGCACGGGGTATAGTGTCATAGCCTACATTCTATTTGCGGCCGGTAATGCATCTGAGTGGCAAGTCTATGGTTATCCTCGAAAAATCTTCATCTCCCCTGGTGCATCTACTGCTGGAAAATCGGTGTATCCCTTCCCAGTATGATCTCCGGCAAGGTAGAATGTTGCACGGTCGTACTTGGCAAGCGGAAGGTCGTATATAAGTCGGGCAGGGAGGTCAGGCTGTTGGAAGAGCATGGAGAGTAGGTAGTGATGAAGGGGGAATACGAAAAGATTGGCCCAGGCGCAGGAAGAGAACGTTGTCAGCACACGTCGGCGAAGAGAATGGACACGGAGACACAGAGGGACTTACATTCGGAATATACAACCTGCCAAATGCTATCATGCCCCCGTGCTCCTGCGCTGTCTCAATCGCAGTCTGTCGTGTGTACCCACCCGCACTGATGAATACGCCGTTCTTGCCCTCCTTGCACCATATCTCACGCAGGAAATCGTTACTACTCTGTGGTGGTGCATCCACATCGATATTTCCACCAATACGTGGCTCGGTGACGTGTAGGTAGGCGAGGTCGTACTTCCGGAGCTGGCTTACGAGGTAGGAGAATTGTGGTTTTGGATCGGGGAGGCCCATGTCTGCATAAAGGTTGTTCCAGCGTGAAATGAGCAACAGAGACGGAACGCACCTTGAAACGGACTCCATGGACTCAATCTAATGCCGACCCTCTCAGCGCCGACCTCCTTTACAAGCGCATCCACGACCTCAATCGCAAATCTTGCTCGCTTCTCGATACTCCCTCCCCAGGCATCCTCTCGGGTATTACTCACCTCTTGCAAGAACTGGTCGATGAGGTATCCGTTTGCACTATGGATTTCGACGCCATCGAAGCCTGCTGCGATGGCATTCCTGGCGGCGGTAACATAATTCTCTATGTACGCCTTTATCTCTGGCTCAGTGAGGGCATGCGGAACCGCAGTAGGGTTGGTAGAAAGCGGGATAGGAGAGGCAGATACAAACGGAGAGTTATTCTCCTTGAAGAGGACGTCCGGGCCTGCAGCTCGCCCAAGTGCCCACAGCTGGCAGAATATAAAACTACCCTTCTCATGCACGGCATCCGTGACCTTTCTCCATCCCTCTACATGTTCCTGAGTATAGATACCCGGGACAAAGTCTATCCCGCCAGCAGCTTGGGAGATAAAGGTGGCCTCTGAGACAAGGAGTGTTCCAGGGACAGAGCCACGTTGTGCGTAGTAGGTGGCTGCATGGGGCCCAGGGACATGAGTTGGGTAGGCGCGAACACGGGTGAGGGGGGCGAGGACGATGCGGTGGCTGAGGTTCATGCGCCCTACTCGGATGGGTGCGAAGAGTGCGGTTGTCATTGTGGGCCCAGTGAACAAGGTGTGTAAGGGTGGTCTTTGGGCTGTGCAAGGTATAAGTACTCAGGCTTCAGTCACAGGCGCTGTGCACAGGCGTGGAATGGTGTGGACTAGTCGGCCGCCATGAGAAAACCTTCCCACCAAAATATGCATCGATGCACTCTGCCACCTGTGACGCATCATGTGGAGTTTGAACGTGGCTCCCAGTGGGATTTCGATATCCCATGGACTGGCCGGCCGTCTCGCATAATTTGTCTGAGGCTCTGGGCCCAGTTCGCGCGAGCATACACGCACGACATATCAAACTTCGAAGAAGTCACAACGCTCTCGACACCATGACTTGAACTGATGATAGATATGAAATCTGCTCGGTGATCCTTGGTCTTCAGTCGGAAGAGCCAGAGCGTGCTATAGGTGAATCTAGTGTTGCTTGCCTAATTCCATGACTTGCAGCGGCCAGTCCAAGTTTGGATGTCACCTACCCACTGAACACTGAGTTGAATTGCATCACGTTGGAAAACAGGAAACTCGCCATATTTATCGCCCCGCTCGGTGAAGGTGAGCCAGGGCTTTATGCGAGGCTGTGTGTCTGGGACGTTCGTGATAAGAGGCTACCCCGGAAGACTAGGGGATATGGTGCAGGGTTTTTCTTGTTGAACATCTCCGACACCAGCAAGACATAGGTCCAGCCGAGCGACGTTGGTGAGGGTCAACATGACCTACGAGGACAAGCAAGAGGTTGAGTATTGAGCGAGTGGATATCAATAAGAGGGGACATGGTGTACTTATATTGAAAAACTGTGCATGTGCACCCGCATCGTGACCAATAGCCCCGAATTTCTGGAATAGAAACGTTTACATGGTATCGAGTGGTTGACTCCAATGAAACAAAGAGCCAGCTTACGCGGCAAAGCCCGCTACCCTCTGCTACATTTCTCCGAGTCGGTGCTCAGTAGCTCTAAATTAGACATTCATGAAGCAGATGTTAGTTTGCGCCAGCACCGCACTAGGTTAGTAAGCCTTGTGAATAGCCACAACAACGTCAACATCAGGAGCACTTACTTCGATGAACGAGCATGGGAAGAGAATGTGAACAGTACTCACCTTAGAAAATATATGGATCATCAATGTTTCACTGACAAGTGTTGTACCTGCACACCGTCCAAGTGAATTCCCAGAGATTCCCAGTCATCCGTGTCTGCATACCCATCTTTTGAGAATCAGTCCCGTGAAAATATTGAGCACGGAAGAACAAGATCAGTCGTAAACAGCCAGCTTACACAGCCGCTGTCAGGAATCCATACCCCATGTGTACCTCGGGAGGTGAAAATGGCTCACAACTTACATACAGGGTATGGTATCATAGCCCACGTTCTATTTGAGGTCGACGCAGCACTACATCTCGGAGGCGAGTCTATGGTTATCCTCGAAAGATCTTCAAGTCCCCTGCAACACACCTCCCGATCTTGGCGATTCAGAGACGCTCACCTTCACCATCTTAGCCTTTACAACTTCTATTTACTGGTATATCTGCCGCTGGAAAATCGGTGTATCCCTTCTCAGTAAGATCTCCGGCGAGGTAGAATGTTGCACGGTCATACTTAGCAAGCGGCAGGTCGTATATAAGTCGGGCAGGGAGGTCAGGCTGTTGGAAGAGCGTGGAGAGTAGGTGGTGATAGAGGTGGAATACGAAAAGATTGACACAGGCGTAGGAAGAGAACGTTGTCAGCACACGTCGGCAAAGAGAACGGACACGGAGACACAGAAGGACGTACATTCGGAATATACAACCTGCCAAATGCTATCATACCCCCGTGCTCCTGCGCTGTCTCAATCGCAGTCTGTCGTGTGTATCCACCCGCACTGATAAATACGCAGTTCTTGCCTTCCTTGCACCATATCTCACGCAGGAAATCATTACTACTCTGTGGTGGTGCATCCACATCAACGCCTCCACCGATACGTGGCTCGATGATGTGTAGGTAGGCGAGGTCGTACTTCCTGAGCTGGCTTACGAGGTAGGAGAATTGTGGTTTTGGATCGGGGAGGCCCATGTCTGCATAAAGGTTAGCCCAGCGTGAAATAAAGAACAGAGACCCAACGTGCCTTGATACGGACTCCATGGACTCAATCTAATACCGACCCTCTCAGCGCCGACCTCCTTTACAAGCGCATCCACGACCTCAATCGCAAATCTTGCTCGCTTCTCGATACTCCCACCCCATCCATCCTCCCGGGTATTGCTCACCTCTTGCAAGAACTGATCGACGAGGTATCCGTTTGCACCATGGATTTCGACGCCATCGAAGCCTGCTGCGATGGCGTTCCTGGCACCAGTGGCGAAGTTGGTAATGTATGATTTTATTTCCGGCTCTGTGAGGACGTGCGGGACTGCAGTAGGGCGGGAGGAAAGTGGGATAGGAGAGGCAGATACAAGCGGGGAGTCATTCTCCTTGGCAAGGACATCCGGGACTGCGGCTCTCCCAAGTGCCCACAGCTGGCAAAATATAAAGCTACCCTTCTCATGCACGGCATCGGTGACCCTTTCCCATCCTTCTACCTGTTCCTGGGTATAGATTCCCTGGGGCGAACTCCATCCCACCAGCAGCCTGGGAGATGATGGTTGCTTCGGAAATGAGGAGTGTTCCCGGGACAGATGCACGTTGTGCGTAGTAGGTGGGTGCATGGGGTCCGAGAAAGTGGGTGGGGTAGGCGCGAAAACGGCTGAGGGGTGCAAGGACGATACGGTGGCTGATGCCCATGTGACCCACTTGGATGGGCGTAAAGAGAGTGGGCGTCATCGTGAGTCAGAAGAGCGATCTTGGGCTGTCCCAGGAGATACGTACGGGTATTTAAAACATCGAAGAACGAGGTGCCAGTACTGTGGAGCTGATACTAATCTTTGACGTGGCGGGTGGGGCAAAAATATCTGAGCAAGGGAGATTACCTAGTGATTCTGAAGCGAGCGAGCGGATCGTATGGTCACCATGGTGCAGCGCTGCAGCTATGAAGAAACAAGCACCAGTACCTGGGCAAACACCCCTAATCGTCACCACCGTCTGCTGTGGGAATTTCCTCAAAAAATAGATTCATTTAGATGGAAACAAACACGACTTGCTGCTTGCAGATATTCACGTCCAAAACAGAAGTACAGATTTGTAGCAGCAGCCCTAAACAGACCCTATTCAGACTGTCATCACAACTAACCAAAACAACCTTTGACTTCGCAAGACAACCTCTTTCTTCACCCAAAACCGCGTCCGTTTTTTGTACAAATGTGTTATAAAGTTTCTCCACCCTTTCTCGACCCTAGCCTCCTTGGCGCCAAAAAGTATGTCTTGCACTTTTTTTTCAAGTCCGTCAAATGCAAACTCAGCAACTTCATCCCAAGCCCCCTCCGTCCTCCCTTTTGGCGCACTTTTGCTGACGCAGCAGCGCAGTATACGAGCATCCCAGGTCAAGGGTGAAGCTTGTGTCAATGGAATGTCGGACGTCAGGACGCTAGCTGAAGGAACGGATCTAACGTGGTTTCAATCATACCTTGATATCACCTGTACGGGGCAATATTTACCCTTCGTATCGCTATCGTATGCTGACATGCAATGTGACATGGAACAACTTACCACGATTGTATGATCAAATCATACGGTATTGATCACGCAGTCCTCCCACCGGTGGGCTACATACCTTCAGCCTCACGTTGCAATTCGCGGAAGATTACATCTAAGCGTATCTGAGATGAAGACACCGGACCCATATTCACGCGCCACGTGTTATCAAATAGTGATCACGCCCTCTTCTACTGAGATTATATGAGGTGAGTCTAAGTCGTACACGACCTCATGACTTGAAGGAAGGAAGCCATACTAAAATTTAAACACTCAATGCTCCAGCTTCCCAACACCATGGGTGGGTTTCAAGTTCTTCCTCTGTTCCTACACAATCGCTATGATTGCAGACCAAGCCAGGAACTCAGCTTTTCTGCGTAACTCTCCTGCCTGATGTGACTGTGTTTGCTGAAGATAATTGTCAGAAGCGATCTTTGCACGCTTACCCTCGCTCACGCTTCCTGATTTGTACGTTCACTGGGCCTCAAAATGTCTGCCACTAGCTTCTATATGAGCTCTACCCTCTTTAAGGTCTAGTTCTTACCTTAAATTGAACTGTAAGTAATGTCCGAGCTTCATCTTCGCACCTATCTCACCGGCGCCAGATAAGGTTAGGTCCGCTATTTATATTCAGCTTGATAGTAGCAATCTGTTGCTGGTTTTTGAGTGTCATATTACTCGAGATACGACTCTCGACACCACTCTCGTACGTACTTTTGATTCTCCGTCTCAATCAGCGTATTAAATTCTCTCCTCATCAAATAATCTCCCTCAGTCTTTTGATCCAAGACTGAGTCCCTTTCCTGTTCCTAGTCCGAACCTCCTCATTCGTAAGGGTATTGCAAGTGCCAGTTATGATGGCTTCCCCAAGTTCGAATTCGCACTCAGAACATACCAGGGACGAAGCAGTTCTTGCCAGGTTGGGATATAAGCAAGAGTTTCGCAGGGAGTTTTCTCCATTAGAGGTGGGTCCTCATCAGAGCCTTGGGCATGCATGACAACGTCCTTACACAGGTCTTTGGTGTTGCATTCAGCATCGTGGGGCTCCTTCCATCCATTGCGTATGATGCGTTATTCTACCGAGACGAATTGTTCGCTGATACAATGTTTGTTCAGATCGGTGCTCTTCAATGCCATGCCCAACGGTGGTCCTCTTGCAATGGTTTGGGGTGTAAGGCTTTACATGTTAAAAGTATCGGATCTTGTACTCATTCCGTTATACAGTGGCTGTTTGCCTGTGCTTTTATCATGTGTATCGGTTTGGCCATGGCGGAGCTTGCATCTGCGGCACCAACCTCAGGTGGAGTATGTCCTTCATCCTGTCGCCGATACAGACCCGACCTCTCACAAGTATCTAGTTGTATTACTGGACCTATTCACTTGCCTCCCCTCGTTGTCGGAATTTTCTCTCGTGGATAGTTGGGTGTGAGTATGACCTTTCCTTTCAAACTCGTTTCACTGACATATGCCATCACGCAGATTCTAATACGATCGCGTCTATCGCAGCACTTGGTGAGAAACTCAATGTGCCATGAAAAATTCGCTTATTGAGTACGAAACTAGCTTCAGTAGATTGGGCATGCGCGATCCAGATCACAGCGGCAGTTAGTATTGCATCTAATCAAGTATACGTGGACAACCAATGGAGAGATCTAGCGAATGTTTTTATGTCTCGTCGATTTGTCAGGCTTCCCTGATCCCTCGCAGTGGTATATTTGCAGCGTTGGTGTTATCCCATGCTGTCCTTGTGAGCCTCGGGACACAAATCCTGGCAAGACTTCAAAGACTATATATCCTCCTAAATGTGTGGTAGGTGTTATATTTCCGTCTTGTACTAGTTTCTTCAGGTTCACTGCCTGAGGCAGCCTCTGCTTTATAGTCATCATCGCGCTTCCAATCGCAACGCCATCAGAATTCAGAAACAGCGCCAGCTACGCACTCGGAGACTTTACTAACTGTATGTGACATGTACTATTGCCATCTCCATCTCATATTTTTTTGTCAGTGGACGGCTGGCCATCTGGATTTGCGTTCATATTGAGTCTATTGGCGCCTCTTCTGGACGATAGGTTTGGCTTATCCCTTATTGCTCCCATTTTATTTGACAACCTAACAGGTGGCTATGATTCAAGTGTACACATAAAGTTGAGGAGGCATCCAATGCCACTACCCGCCATACCATGGGCCATTGTGAGTAGCACTATAAAAACTGTAGCCACAATACCAATGCTAGCAGATCGGCTCCATTGCAATATCTGCAGCCCTTGGCTGGGGTGCGTGTCACGTTGTCGAATATATTGTTACTAATTTAATATCTTCCAGGCATCAATGTCTCCCTTGCATTTTGCATGGGCAGTGACCTCGAAGGCATCTTGAGCAGTCCGATCGGTCAACCTATGGCGCAGATATTTTACAACTCTTTTGGGCAAAAAGGAGCGTTAGCCCTCTGGTCTCTCGTCATTGTGGCACAGTGTGTTCTTCAGATATCAGGCTCCCCTTACTGCTCTAAAAGAGGAACAGATATATGATGGGATCGAGCATGCTGCTTGTCGGTTCCCGCCAGACGTTCGCGTTTTCTCGTGATGGCGGTCTACCGTTCTCGCGATATTTTTACCGAATCAATAGCTACACAGGAACGCCAGTCAATACTGTTTGGCTCGATGCTTTGCTTACTCTTGCGATCGGTCTTCTGGCGTTCGCGAGCACACAGGCTATCGACGCAATATTTACCCTCGCAGTCACCTCTTCATACATATCTTACATCACCCACCCCAATCGCAACCCGTTCGCTTCAAGAATGATTTCAAGCCCGGTCCATTTAATCTTGGGAAATTTGTGAGTCAGAAAGCAATGGATGTGATCTTAGACTTATGTCTCTTGCAGAGCTTTCCTGTCGCAGCAATCGCTGTGTCATGGATGGTCTTCATGAATATGGTTTTCCTTCTTTCCCACGACCCCACAGACTACTGCGCAAGAGATGAACTATACAGTGGTCGTCCTAGGTGGTTTCATGTCCTCGCTGTTTTCTGGTATTACTGCCCGGTTATACGGAGGAGTACACTGGTTCAATGGACCTGTATCGAATCTAGTGTCAGCCGAGAAGGGGCAAGATGATGAATCGGCGTCAGAGAAGACGGGGAAAGGGCGAGGAGTAGATGCTTGATCGTGGACGCATCAGTCTAGTTCTCAATGTTATGACTGTTGTAACATGATTATGCCCTGCTTTAGTCCCTAGTCACTCGAAGCCTTCATAAATACGTAGCGTTGACTTGAGTAAGAACTCCATAGCTAACATGAATCTTTGAGGGATTATCCGGTATGAATCTCAGAAACCATCAGGAACGCTTGAAACAGAGCTGCGCCGATCTGTAAAACACCCAAGTTCTCGCTTAGTAGTGGAAGAAGTTTGATGTGTTACGAACGCTTACGACTCAGTGATGCAGCTTGCCAATTGGTGGAATTGGCATCAGCAAAAGACCCATAATTTTCGCTTGTCAAAAAGAAGTTTGATGCTTACGGTGAGCTTACGGCGCTGCTAATGGAGCAACGCAATTGGTGGAACTGATTTTCCGGTAGTTACAATGAATTATTCTAATAGTGGTATTCAAAGTTAAAAACAATACGGAACAGACAACGCTCAGAAACTTGGACGACACCATTAAAACTCCGAATTATAACTCCGTCTTGCTTACACATCACTGTACTACACTGATAAGATCAGCCCATTACTTATGCCTCACATATTGCTTCGAAAACAACAACTATGAGCCCTCAAAAATGCACACAATGACCTTGTATTAGCCCGCTATGTAGAGCTTGTGCAGCATGCACTTGATGAGCTCCTGAAGAACCAGACTCTGAAGATGACAGTTACAGTACTTCCTCTAATGACAGCAGTGGATCCAAATCCATTGGCATGTCGGTTTGTTCAATGTCATCAGATGAATCTTTGGACTCCCTGATGACCGGTATCACAATCACAAGTGCCTACTCACTCACATCCTCCCAGTTCTCATTGGATGTGCCACAGATGGCCAGTCGAGCATTTACGGAGTTTATAGATGCTGTTTGTGCTTTGCACAACGAAGTAGAGATCAGCCGTGTCCTTCTCTGCCGAAAGCTTTGTGTGTGCCCTGCCGTTTTCGACAAGCTCGTCGAACATATCCAACCACACGCAATTTTCTACAACAACTCTAACAACCCACAGCTTCCTATCCCCATTCAACTTGCGGTTTTTCTCAATGGCATAGGCCACTATGGAAATGCTGCCACAATGCAGGATTTGGCCGAATGGGCAGGGGTATCCGTCGGAACTGTGTATAACTGCTTCAAAAGAGTTATGATCGCACTTTTGAAGCACCATGATGATGTGGTCCACTTTGATCCGCTTGATTGAGAAGATCAAGAGGAATGGAAAAGAGTGCAGCAGTGGGTTGAGGGGAAGACATGCCAGGAATGGCGTGGTGGCTTCCTCTGTGTCGATGGCACCCCGTTCAACTTATTTTGGAAGCCTGGGTGGCATGGCAAGGGGTTTTTGACAAAAATTCAAACTACTCTCTCACTGCTCAGGTACGTTAATTTTTCCCCTTCATCAGATGAGCTTATGCTTTCAAAAGGTTGTCATTCCTCCGCACAATCTCCGTATTGTCAACTATGTAATTGGTGTACCTGGTAGTCTTCATGACTCTACTGTTTTTGGACGAACCAGGGTCGCACGCACCCCAAACAATTTTTTTGGCGCGAACCATTGGCTATGGGCCGACTCCGCATATGCTTCGCAAGTATGGTGTGTCACGCCATTCAAACAACCACCTGGAGGGGCGTTGATGAGGGATCAGAGAACGTTCAACTATCACCTTTCCAAAGTAAGTGTGAATGGATGGCTTCGGAATGTCGCTTACATACTTGTAGGTCTGTGTTCGGTCTGAGCACTTTTTCAGTTCGATCAAGGGCAGATTCCAGAGCCTACGAGAGCTTCAGTTTCTGATCCAAGGCAAGAAAGAGCTGGATTATTCCAACATGTGGATCCGCTGCTGTCTAATCTTGCATAACTTGATTGTTGAGATTGAGGAGACTCTTGGCATCGCAAGTACCGGTGACGATTTTTACGAGGAACTGACTGAGCAGAGGATAGATCTGAATGTCGAGGAGGAGGAGGAGGGAGAGGAGGGGCAGGGCAACGAGACTTATATCAGGACAGTGGGACAAGAATTTCGGAATGCTTTAATGGCGTGTTTGCTTCTCAAGCTTCAGTAGATGTAGCAGCGGAATTTGTGTATTCAAATGCTTATATCAAAACACTGGCAGTACTCGAACAACAGAAAATTTATCAACACAAAAACAACAAAGATAACACGAAGTAACAAACCAAGAGGCAACACGCGAAGATGACAACACAAGACTCAATTTTGACCCAGGTTCTGCTCCATTGCAATACACCAAATCCTTGCCTCCTCTTCTTCTCGACATGCACGGGCGAGCTCAAGCTCTAGCTTTGCATGCTCCAGTTGGTGACCCATGAGCTCATGTTTGTGCAGGTGGTCTTGCTCAGCGAGACACATAGCATGTTCTCGTTCATCGTGAGCATTGCGTACTTTAAGTTCCCTAGCCCACATGTCACTCTCAAGCTTCAATCGCTTGTAGCAATCGTGCTCGACACGACCATTGTGCTTTTCGCCAACTTGCTGGATCAGTGGCTGCGCTGTTTCAGAGCCACTCGGCGGCAGCAGCAGTGGAAGCTTGATCATTGTTGGCACATTTGCATGATGGAGGACGAGACGAGGTGACTTGACATAATTGAGGTGATGCGCTATGAGTAGATCCTCCAGATAGCTTCATGATTTGTGATGCCGGATGTCCTCGAGCAGGACTTCCTTTATGTGAATCAACCTGCAAACCCCTCATTGCATTGCTGGCGCTGACATCAGAGTCAGAGTCATGTGGAGTGGCATTGTGGCTGGAGGTTGGTTTTTTGAAGCTGGAAAAAAAAGGATATTGGCTGTTGGACTGGTCTTCATGTAGAGGCTCCGGAGAGTTGAGCGACACTGCAGTTTGGTCAGAATAATGTGTTGATATAGGTGTGATTGGTGGGCAAAGACATGGTAAGGAAGTGTATGAGCCTGTAGAGGTAGATCCACGAAAAAAACTGGGGGTTGATGATGAACAGGAGGACGCTGGTGTGTGTTGCATGTGGAAGAACTGATCTTGTTCCATCACAATATCGTCATCTGCTTGTCCTGCAGCATCTTCATCAGTGGCATCTATGGGGTCTTGATGGATGTCGACATTTGCATCGACAACATCCATGTCAACAATTTCCCCATCCTCAATATTGGTGTGAAAGAGTAATAGCGACTAGGCAGTTAGAAACTAACGCTACTTATCCAAATAGGTGCGAGTGTAGTATTTGACCCAAGAGGACTGCTATTGAAGCAACTCCCTACTAATATGCAAGGGAAGCGATTGGCATGAAGGACTAATAACCTATAGCGACCTAAGACCAAAAAACCGATGAGTAGTGCTATAGCGATCAGTGACAAGGGAGTTCCGACAGAGAAACGTGCGTATAAGTGAGAAGCGCTATGCAAGTCGTTTTATGCGATAGCGCTATGTGACGTCTGACTAGCGACAGCGAGAAGAAATCAAAGGGAGCGAAAGTGAGGAGTAAGGTAAGACAGTGCAAGCGAAATGCCTGATAGCAACTAGATTGTAGCGCGACTACCAATAGCGATCCCGACGTTACGAAAGTCAAACTTAAGAGGGAACTTTAGTGATGCGCACTTAAAGTCAAGCGACATGCAATCAGAGAGATTGGCAAGAGCAGAATCAATTGCACCAAGACTAGAATATAGCAACTAAAGTGACTCCGACACCAGCAAAGGTCCAGGGAGGGGAAGTACTGTACTGTATGTGCAATGGGTCATTTTATCATACTGCGTAAAAGTTTGGGAGTGCGTAGGCGAGATTAGTAGCGACACTGGCGAGGGCGACAAGTAATAAGACATGCAGCGCAGCGGAACACGAGGATACATGTAATAAGACCTGCGACTGATCAGTAGCAACATTTAAGGAAAAAAAACGCACCAGCGGAGGTAGGTGGACATAGGCAGGACATGGGAGGACGGAAAACCTAGGCGTCGGACCGGGCAGCGCGCTATGGGAGAAAAGTGATTCCAAAGCGGATAGCTTGGGAGTTGATAGCGCTGGTGACTAGCGCCTTACTCTTTTCCTCTAGGCAAGGCAGAATATGCCTATGACACTCATACGCGCCCAGTGCTGGTATGATTGTCACATCAGCATCCTCTTGTGGCTCATTTTCATCAGCAGGGAGTTGTGCGTCCTCACAGTCAGGCACACGGAAGTGTTGTAGTGCAGCAGATTTGTAGTTTTGTCCAGGATCAGCGGTTGAGAATACAGTGTTATAGGCAGGATTTGTCCTCCACCAACCGTGAAGGTCTGGCCACCATGGGAATTTGTCCAGTTGCGAATCTGCAAGAAATGGATAAATAAAATTGACAGACGCGCATGAGAACAACCCACCAATGAGCATCTTGTTCTGCAGGTTCTTCTGTAGCTCATCATATGTTAATCCGGCGCCTGTCTGTTTGGGGGACTTGTTGAACTTGTTGTATTTTCTTTTGAGCCTGAAGCATCTGATCAGCAACGAAATGGTATAAATTTGTAATTCATATCAGATGCAAGAAGATCGGAGGTTACTTATGTTCCAAATCAAGTCTGAACAGGCTTGATCAAAGCGCCAGGCTTTGTCTGGAAGAGGAGCCGTACTTCAGGATCCTCATCATTTGAAAATATAGCATTTGCGAGCTGCGAGTAGCATGTTTCTTTTGGAGCAGCACTCTGCTTTTTCTTCCTCCCCTTGTCTTTGGCATCCTTCACAGAATCAGAGAAGAGTTTGATGCGTGCATCATCATTAGCTTTGCACCAGGCGATGAGGCGAGAGGTGTGAGCACTGTAGGCCCCCTCCCAATGGATAGCCAGCTTTTTTTTGGTGTTGGGAGCAGGACTGATCACAGGTTGTAGGCCATCATCTTGGTGCATTTGTGCTTGCAGGAGCTTTCTCCTTTGCTCATCTGGATTGTGTTTGACTGTGATTTCCTCCAGCTCCACCTCTAGTAGTATGTGCCATCTTCTAAATGGTTCCCCAAGAACAGAGCAAGTGACAAATAAAGGGTGATTAGGGATCAGATAACACCAGCAAGGTCAACACCAACGACAACATCGGCGGCTTGTTGATCGGCAGGACAGCGGTCAGAGGGCAGGACAGACTGTGAAAAGTATGCCATGCTGCCGGTGTTTGCCTCTCATTTTCTCAGCACAGGTGCAAACTTTGAATACCACTAATATCTCGATATTCAACCATTAGTCTAAGGTATGCATTCCCAAACCCTAGGCTAGGGCCACTCATTAGTAGTGAAATCTTGACAGCGATTAATACATGGATTCAAAACTATGTTGCTATTGTGAGCTACCGATACTATGCAAACTCTGTACTCAACGTGTGATAACTCTCCTTATCTGCGAAATTGTTCAGAAAAAAACAGTCGTAGCTCTCTAAACAAATGGTCAAAGAAATCTTTTCATCTATCTTTTCACAATATTCTGGGATTAACTCAACAGTGTGTGTTACACTTGTCAATGGGACCACACCACCACATCTGTGTTTACCATGTTGGTCTTCCACATATGAACGCTTGACTGTCCATATTGCGAGTTCAGGGTGGTCGTTAGGACTGGCAACAAAGTGGTAATACTGAATCTAGAGGAGCAGACAGGATATATATGATGGCAAGACCAGGTTAGAAGCACGTGGAAGATTAGGCTGAAAAATAAGTCGAACTTGTGCAACACGAGTTGCTGTTTAATCTTGTTAGTCTTGGAACATGAACACAAGAATAGACATACTGATTTGGCCATCGTCGCCTGTGATGTTGATGAGGACATTATTGCAGTTTCCGAGGGGGAAACTTTCACCAGGTGGATATGCCTGTACCACTCTGCTTGGCATGATCAGCCATGGCTGGAAGGCAGAATGAAGTTGCAGTCGAAATTTTTTCCACGTGCTAAAGTGCCTGTATCTGTGGTCCCAGCAGGTATGCTCACTGGTGGAGAAAGAAAAATGTCCTATGAACTGAGAGAGCACATGATCAAAGTCAATGAGCGAATATACACTATGAATATCGGTTGGTGACAAAAATTTAAAATCCGGTGTCAGTGTCAGATGGAAGGCAGTGAGGGCATCTCCAGAAAGGATGCCCTTGAGGAAATGGTTGCGAACTGGTCGAGGACCATGAACAGAGTGCATTTTGTCAGGGAGAATACAAGAAATCCAGGAGAGCGCTGGATTGATAGTTGTCGCAGCCTCGTCTTCAGTAGATATCACATTGACAAGTGATGCGCCACGAGAGTGTAACAACACATACAGCTTAAACAATTTGATCAACTCCTGCCGATTAAGAATTCATACAGACTGCTCCACAAAGTCGTTGGCCTGCCAATTTGTTTGTACAAAGAGATCTTTGCAGTGAGTGATGAGCAAACACTCTGTCATATCTGCCAAAAACTGCATCAAAGTGCCCAGTCTCTCGACTGTGCCTCTAAAACTTTGTAGCAGTTTGAGTTTGGGAATGAAAAGTCTTCCTTAGAACCCTTTTTTCCCCTCCTTGCCTGGGCCTCAATGATAGCATCTTTGAATGCGTGAAAGTCTGAAAGAGCCTGCACCATTGACAGCAGGGTGTCTGCAGAATGAACTGGATTTGGGCAAGATAAATGAACTCAATGAGGGCGTGGAGTGCATGAATAAATCTAGGTGGAGCAGCACCTGCAATTGAAGCAACAATGGTGCACTGGATATCCTGATGCTCATGGCCTGTCATTTGGTTGACGTGTGTGATGCCTTTGGTGAAGTGGTGCGTCCCCACCCGCTTGTGCTGAGCGATGAAGCGAGCATCAAGCTCAGGTTTTCCTACTACCCTCCTTGGTCCAGTTGAGCGGATGGTCGGCAAAAAACTTTGAGGCAGGTATGCAATATCTTGCCAGTGAGACAGACAGATGGGCATGCATATATCCAATCATGCAAATATGGCATGTGAACTCCAGATAGATTGACTGCTTTGGCTGCCTTCTGGAATTTGTCAAGATCCAAAACATCAGTTGTTTTGGAGATCTCGCAGATAAGTTGTAGCGTATGTTGACCAGTACGAGGAGGATAGAGAACTCCATCACCAAAATTTTCTTGTAATGCCATCATTATAGGAGACACATTTTTGCTGACCGCAGCTATCATGGAAGCCTCTGGAAGGTTGCATACGTGAGCGACAAGTGGCATAAAGACATAATGAATGAATCTGGAAGGATCAGGCATAATGCTGCCAGTTTGAGGTTGGCGCAGACAAGATCAACACACTTATGCCACAACCGCACCTGAAGAATTGTTTGATAATCGGGATGCACACGAAACTTAGCGATGGGCATGTAAGCGATACAGCGCCAAGCTTGGAGTGTGGCCTTAGAGTGAACCTCTGAATCAAGATTACTGATAGTGATGAAAATGGAGTGCATCTCAAGCCCCCCGGTGGTTCTCGTCATGGGAGTTTTATCAGACCCTAAGATGATTGGGACTTGCGTAGCACCTAATGGGAGACAGTCCTATATGAAATCAATCTTTGAGTCTTAGACTAAGCAGGGAAAACTGACCTGAATTTTCTATGCCAAATCGGTGCTCATATAATCTCCATACTCATGCTAATTCCTGACATTGAGTATGTGTGGCTGAAAGGTAATGTGATTGGCAAAAACTGGGTCGCTGAAAAGTTGTTTGACAACCTCTAAAGCATCGCGCCAAATGAGTTGGATGAGACGAATTGTCTTGTAGCCCGTTGTAGAGACTCGATCCTGAGTAGCCTCACAATGGCATATTGCAACATAGGTCGAGTCTACAGTAATATGCATGCAACGCGACACTTGCGCGATAAACGCGATGCACGTGACATAGGCGACACTTCCCGCGACATAGGCGACACTTCCGCGACATAGGCGACACTTCCGCGACTTGCGCGCGCTTTAGGCAAACTTTCCCGCGCCTAAGCGCTATAGGGCGCCTGACTTCCCACTGTGTTTCCCATGTCCAACCAAGTTCCCAGGTATGCATTTCTCCATTTATCATTTGTTTCAAACATTGTACCATGTTTATTTTCACTTGGTACACATTTTTCATTACACATTTTTTTACTTAACACAACACACATTACCACGGACCACCATCATCATAGACAGTCACCATCTCCGAGTTTTTATTATGTTTTGAATAAATCATCGCAAGCCCTAGTAGCAGTTAGCTCTAGTGGCCATATCCGCATCAGTTGTCTTATCGGCATCTCAGTACACCTCTTAACATCTCACTATCGCTCGCATACCACTTGTCACCCAGTTCCGCTTTTCGACGCGCGACTTTCCCGCGCTTCGCGCGCCTATAGCGCCTTTGTTCCCGCGCTTTCGCCTTATCACGCGCTTTCGCCTTATCACGCGCTTTGCGCATTCCCCCTAGAGTTGACCAGTGGATATTTGCTTTCTCCGCTTCCCCTAAGGGATGAACATATCGCACTCATATTTTCCTCCCTTCAACAATTATATCAGCTGCACCCTCAGCTGAGTTGAAGATCCTCACCGTAAACTCTAGATTTGAAACTTTCCATTCTGCAAAGCAGGGTAGAGCATCCATCCAGTCCAGAAGTTGATCTTTTGAGGTGAAGGACGGTTTTGGGTGAGTGTTCAACTATGAAAGAAGAGTCAGACTGGTGGAATAGTACTACTTAGAGTCTCCTACCCATTTCAGCTTCAAGAACTTGTCAATCTGCATCTGGTTCAGGTTTTCGACCAAGAACCTAGCTAGTTCCCACTCCCCTTCATCATGAAAAGGATAGTAAGTGTTTACCTCCCGCCGATAATTATACTGGTCTTCCTGCACCTGTCAAATAGGTTTTTGCCAAGACCAAAAACATATCCAGAGTGAGGATGAAAATGGCCAGTAGTGTACGATGTCGATGGATGTGAACCTCGCAACCCAAGAGGAACGGGCGATTGTTGTGGATGTGCTTCGTGTGGCCAACAGGTAGACTGTGAATTGAGATGTAGAACAACTGCTTCGATGGAAGAGAACTCCCCACTGCAGTTGGGACACAGCCTGTTAAAGGTACATGCATGGATAAGCATACTGGTAACAGTGAACGATACATATATTTGCTTTGGGCGATGAGCTCAGTGTTGCAGTCAGAAATGCCTAAGTCTTTCATACTCCGCTGCTTGCAATGCTGACTGTATTCACAGTGTGACAGGATATCAATGTATCAGCTTGCAATTGAAGGCTGGAGAGATATTAAGGCCAAAGAAACACTAGGCTGAAGTGACACAGTTTCCTGAACTATTTTCAGTCGCTCTTTGACCCAGCATGCCCCCTTCACTTCCATCTTCATCTCCGACACGGCACAGCAGTTGCCCCCCTCCATCAAGCAGTCCCCCATTGTCTCCTCTATCAGCTTGTTCTTCAATTCCTGGGTCACCTTTTTTCATTTCAACTCACATCTCAGGGAGCTCTCCTGATACCAGACATTCCAACCTAAGTACTTCACTTAAAGGTATCTCAGTGGAGATGACACCACCGCCTATGACTCTGGCTTCTGCGACCAAAGGCCTATTTGATAATCCATCCACATCTCCGGACCCCTCCCGCAATGCTTGACATCAGTTCATACATGAACGGATGAGCAGAAAGCTTGTTCCATACCCCCCCCCAACCCAGCTCCACTTGAGGTTCATTTTGCAGCTCATCTTATGGGGTGAGAATGCAAACCATATGTATCCTGTGAATCTCTTGTCAAGGTATAATATATATTTCCATTATCCAGTTCCAAATACTTATCTATATGCTATAAAGCATGCTGGACACTTAGAAAATGGCCTCTCGCAAATGTGTCCTTCAACACTGTACAAAGGATACCAAGCACAACTTGCTGCTCGTGAAACTGCGCGCCAGCGCATGCTGGCTACCATGTGGGAAATTGAAGAAGCTGAGCACTTCATTGCATTCCTCAATGCCATGCACACCGATAACGAAGACTGGCTCAAATTTATGGACGCTCAGTTACATAGCTTTAGGAGCCTTTTTTCTGAGCGTGACTACACAGAGGTCGACGATAATCGAGACTACCTTCAAGCAGTCTATGAAGACGAACGCAAAATTCTCAAGGTCATCTCATATCAAGCTGAGCATGTGGCGAAGGTTTTAGGCTCGCATGTCGGCAATGCTTTCCAATCTGGAGTTGGAGCATCCAGATTCCCCTCATCACAACCTGAGGTTATTGATGATGAAGATGACGGTGTCAGCAGGGCATCTATGAAATCTGGGGGATCCAGATCCCCCACCAGCAGTGGGGCTCTGGATGATGAAGACGACCCCAAATATCTAGGAACCTGTGCAGACTATACTGCAAGCCTTGGCATTCATCCCGAAGCCTCGTGCAGTGCTGCAATGTAAGTTCCTATCGTGGTAAGTGGAGTACACATGTCTGTTCATTATTCCACACTGATCTATTGATAAGGAACATTGTAATACACGCATCGTTCTTCCCTCATAGCACTTTTCTTGACTCTATTGGTTTGTCATATGCATACTGTTTTTTTACATCCTTACCCCTTTATTTCTCCAATTCTTTAGCTCACATTACAAGTACCAATCACTGAGTCACAAGATGTAAAGTTTGTTTGCGTTGTTTGTGTCCTTCAATTTGTATTAGAACTGTAATCAATGCACCCTTTGCCCTCCCCCAAATGATTCTTCCTGGATGACTAGCAAATGTCCCCCACAGCACAAAGGTAAAACAAAAATTGCAAAACCTCCTCAAGGGTCCGGTCTCAACCCTTCCCACAAACCCACGGACACGCAGATCAATCTCCCTGATGAACAGCCACCACCTCTAGCTCAAATGTTCACCTTCAATCCACATCAGTGGCAGCACCATTTAAACACACACAGCCAGTAAGTGCACCTATCTATTCTTCTGTATACTACTAAAATTACTGGTAGGCCGAGCCCGAGTCATTCAAACCCTGGCCACTACCTGGATTCTTTCAGCACCAGCTGTGCAAACCCAAGCTACCCAGATTCCTCATACTACAACTACTCTAGCGCCAGGTACACTAATTCGCTGTCTGGCGCCGGCTACACTACCCATTCTCAGCAGGACTTTGCTGCCCATTCTCAGTAGGACCCCACTGCCCATTTTCAGCAAGACTTTGGCCATTCTCAGCAGGACTTTGCATATGCTGTACCATCAGGTAAGTTCTTGCCTGCACTAACAAGTCTAGCACTTAACCTTAACTGAACTTTCCACCATAGCACCCAGTTGGGTCGGTGATGACGAGGAATTCCAAGCCCTTTTGGTCCCACCACCGGATCTCCAACACTTATGGCCAATGTTGATGGGTGAGATCTCCAAGTCCCATGTGATACATGTAAGTATCATTAGTTTCCACGCCATTGAAAATAAGCCTGACAATACTAGACCACAGGGCCCGCAAGGACATCCAAAACATGTCATCGTGCAAGACACATGCCCCCCACACCACGTCTTGTTATTCCCTCTGTGACACCCACAATGACAGGGACAGCAGTGGCACCTGCACCTGCAGAATCTGCTGAAAGTCCCGCCACTGAGATCAGTCCCAAGACACGCAAAGAAGCAATCTCAGTCTCGAAAGAGCACATCCTATCCATTATCTTTTCCAAAGACGCATTAGTGTCCCTCGCAGCTGACAAAAATGCATTGTCAAACAAGTCATTTGTGATGTGAGACCTGGAATACCAGCACTTCTCGGTATGTATCGACATGCAAATACTGACTTATATTGGTTCTTTGACCCTACTAGTTGCAGCTCAATGGATGGCTAATGACAAGGACGTCGGAAATATTTGGTGCACAGTGACAAAATTTTGCACTGCATTCACAACAATCATCCGCCAAGCTGTTGTGATGGGATATTCCCTCTTCCCTCCACAGGGCTGTGATGTCCCCCCAGATACCTTTCACGTTGATTGGGTACAGCGCCTCATTGTAGATTATTCTTTAGCGTTCATGCATCAATACTCCTTTACTGCAGTAAGTTTAATCTATTTTTGAGAACACATTTATTTTATTTTGTTAGGACGGTGCGCTTGTCTATTCTATGATTGCAATTAGATTAGATCAGATAAGATAGTATCACGTGACTCATTTCCAGAACATTCTATTATGTAAACATCATATGATTCCTTTTCTATTTAATGATTGGCTAGTTAGTTCATACTCAGATTCAATCTCCATTTCAATATATGTATATAGGTAGCTTGATGTAGTCAGTAGTTCTTCAGTTCAAACCTCTTGTGTATTAGCTTATTGCTAGCAATCCAAGATGTACCTGCTATTCTCTATCCTCTCGTTGTGATAACCTTGTTTGAGTCCTAGTCTCTGCCCCTGCATTAATTCATTATAAGGGTTGTGACATTAAGTTTGAACTATAGGGGACTCCAACTCTACACATTACCGCTTGCACACTTTTTCTCTTTGATCTGAGCATCCTGCAACTATCCGCGATCCTCACGTCAAACAGAACCGTTACATGTTTTACATTGCCTGGCTTAACAGCTGTGACCTTGATTCTATCACTCTCCCCTTTGCTCATTTGAGTGTATTCATACCTATCCATTTTTGTAGTTAGTAGTCCTATACCAGGCCCTGCCTTACACTGCAGCCACCAGTATATGGAGGTGTTCACGACATTAGGTGTGTCACTACAACTTTGAGTGCTGGCCCAAGACCCTGCCTGCTCAACGTTACTATAATTTTCTTTTTACCTATCATCTTTCTTCATACGATACATAGGCTACTCTACCCAAGTAACTAGAGGAATTTCCTAGTCCAGACTCAGCCACTTGTAAGCTTTGGCTGGAAGAGCACCTTGGCATTCTAGTTTTCCCACTTGGCGAGTATAGTTGTTACATACAAACTTTTCTTAGTCAGTATCTAGGGAAGAGTCAGTTGGGTTTTACCAGGACCCTTTGACCCTGAAGTACAAGGTTGATCCGATCAGATATTGGGGACCACTTCAGTTTTCCATTTATGTATTCCTTTTCCCACTTCCTTTTCATCATCTTTCCCTTCCAGAAGAGCCGTTACAACTAGCTCTTCACAGACATCAGTAAATCGGGTTCCAGAAAACAACTGGTACTATGTCTGAATCCACTAGACCAAGGATGCCTACAAACATCAAAGAGTTTGTGCAATACGTACAAGATGCAATTGCTGCAAACAGTGTACTGTGGCAAACACAGATTATGAACTTTCAGACAAAAAATGATGAGCTAGAAACAAAAAACAAAGATCTAGCTCTACGTATTCAGATGCAACAAGCCGAAATTGCAAAACTCTCCGCAACACCTTCCTTTGGTACATCTGCATCTGCCACCTCAGCCTTGATCAAGATGGCCAAACCCACAGAATTCACAGGTGACAAAGATTCCATCAATGCCAAGATGTGGGCAACACAAGTAGCACTCTATATGACACAGTGGTCCAGCATCACAGAAAGGCAAAGAATCTCAGTCATGCTTTCTTTTATGAAAGGATCTGCTGCTAAATGGGCACAATCCTACATTGAAGAACATGCTGATGGAAATCTGACTTTAGACAAGTTAGATGAAGATTTCACTGCCATGTGGGGCCAGGAAGACCTTGAAGGCAAGGCAATTCAAGAATTAGATTCCCTAAGACAAGGATTTTCTTCTGTTCCAGAGTACGCAGCCACTTTTAGGCAAAAGGCTGCACACACCAAATTCTCAGACTACGACCAATGCCAGAAGTTCAGAGCAGGACTTCAAGACCATGTCAAAACACAACTCGCTCATATCACCTATAAAGAAATGGATAGCATGAAGAAACTTGTAGAACAAGCTATCCAAATAGGACGAAACTTTGAGGAGTTAGATGCAGAGAAGAAGAAGACTTCTTTTTGGACCCCTAACAGGGACACAAGAAACTTTGAACCAAGGGCTGGTCCTAGTCGAGACAGTAATGCCATGGATGTCGATGCCAACAAACAGAGAGGAACTCCTAAACCTCAAGGAAAGACAGGTTCTTTCAACTGTTACCATTGTGGTGAAGAAGGCCATATGGCAAGAAACTGCAAAGGCGCCCCTAAAGCGCAAGTGAAGGCTACTGAAGTGCCAAAGGAAGACTCAATGCCTCAATGGTTTAAGGACTACATCAAAGCCAAAGAGGATAAGGGTTTTTAGAGAGGTCTGAGTTAGAGTCTGCGGACTTAGACCTGAACAATCATTTCTCAATCCTATCTACGTTCTCGGATGTAACAGAAGTATATTTGCGATCAAAATCAGAGCATTTTTACATTCCGATTACCCTGAAAGGACATAATCGACAAGCAGACATAAAAGCACTTGTAGACTGTGGAGCATCAACATTATTTATCAATGAGAAGTTTGTAAGAAAGAATGATGTAATATCCCATAAATTATTGAGGCCTATTCTGGTTAAAAACATAGATGGCTCGTTAAATGCCGCTGGATCAATGACTCATTTTGCTGAATTAGGTCTCAAGATCAGTAATCATGTAGAAGACAAAGCAGCCTTCATGATTACAGACTTAGGAAGCGATGACATTATTATCAGCATTGATTGGCCAAGATACCATAATCCGGAAATAGACTGGAATGCAGGACAGTTTTTGTTATCTAGGTGTCCGATTAAATGTATTACAAAAAAGAACAAAGACAAAAAAATAAAGAAAATAGAAAAGTATCAAAACAGGTAGATACAGTAGATAGAGTACCAGATCTGATTCCCACAGAAGAGGATGACAATGAAGATATGGAGATGAAGAAGGCAACATGTGAAGAGGTAGAAGATGAGGAAAGTCCTGAAAGATGGATTAGATATAGAGCCTCAGTTGCCACGGAGCAGAAAGTAGCAGAAGAAGCTACAAAAAAGAAGAAGTCTGTTGAAGAGATGGTCCCAGACTGGCTTCATGATTACCTAGGAGTATTCTCAGAAGAAGAATCCAAACGTTTTCCTGAAAGAAAGAAATGGGATCACACAGTAGATCTTAAGGACGATAATGATCTTCCTCCGAATGCGAAACCCTATCCCTTGTCACCTAAAGAGATGGACACTTTGAAATATTGGTTAAAAGCTGAAACTGCACTAGGACGTATTAGAGATTCACAATCTCCAGTTGCAGCACCTTTCTTCTTTGTGGCCAAGAAAGATGGCAAACTTGGACCTGTAATGGACTATAGAAGGCTTAATGAGAAGACGGTGTGAAAGAGAAATAGCGACTAGGCTGTTAGTAAACTAGTGCCACTTATCCAAATAGGTGCGATTGTAGTATTCGACCCAAGAGGACTGCTATTGAAGCAACTCCCTACTAATATGCAAGGGAAGCAATAGTGCGAAGGGCTAAAACCTATGGTGACCTAAGACCAAAAACTGATGAGTAGTGCTATAGTGATCAGCGACAAGTGAGTTCCGACAGAGAAATGTGCATATAAGTGAGAAGCGCTATGCAAGTTGTTTTATGCGATAGCGCTATGCGACGTCCGACTAGCGACAGCGAGAAGAAATCAAAGGGAGCGAGAGCGAGAAGTAAGATAAGACAGTGCAAGTGAAATGCCTGGTAGCGACTAGATTGTAGCACGACTACCAATAGCGATCCCAACGTTGCGAAAGTCAAACTCAAGAGGGAGCTTTAACAATGTGCACTTAAAGCAAGTCAAGCGACACACAATCAGAGAGATTGGCAAGAGTGGAATCGATTGCACCAAGACTAGGATATAGCGACTAAAGTGACTCCAACACCAGCAAAGGTCCGGGGAAGGGAAGTATTGTACTGTATGTGCGACAGATCATTTTATCATACTGTGTAAGGGTTCGGAATTGCGTAGGCAAGTGTAGTAGCGACACTGGCGAGGGCACGATGTAGCGACAGGTAATAAAACATGCAGCGCTGCAGAACATGAGGATACATGCAAAAGACCTGCGACTGATCAGTAGCAACATTTAAGGACAAATAATGCACCAGCGGAGGTAGGTGGATATAGGCAGGACATGGGAGGACGGAATACCTAGGCATTGGACCAGGTAGCGCACTATGGGAGAAAAGTGATTCCAAAGCGGATAGTTTGGGAGTTGATAGCGCTGGTGACTAGCGCTTTACTCTTTTCCTCTAGGCAAGGCAAAATATGCCTATGACACTCATATGCGCCCAGCGCTGGTATGATTGTCACAACGGTTAAAAATGCATATCCACTACCAAGATCTCAAGACCTGATTCATGCCCCTACTGGTGCTACAATGTAATCCAAGATGGATGTACGATGGGGGTATAACAATATTCCGATGAAAGAAGGAGATGAGTGGAAGGCAGCTTTCAAAACACCTTATGGTCACCATGAACCAACCGTAATGTATTTTGGGTTGACAAACTCTCCAGCAACTTTCCAAACCATGATGAATGAAATATTCAGAGATTTAATAGACAGCAAAACAGTGGTCGTTTATATCGATGACATCTTGGTTTTTACAAATGGAAATAGAGAGCAACACCTGCGCCCGTCATTGCAGAAGAGTTTTCCTGCTATTGCATTTTTACCGTTCCATCAGTTTTGAACCACGCTTTTGTCATCTGGAACCAGTCTTTTTTTAATTTGCCATCCATGCACAACTTACGTGCTCATCTTGCATATATTTGCACCTCACTTGCATTTATCATTGTCTATGACTTTGCATCTTTTGCCTTTATC